TCTTGTTGCTAATGGCTGCCAGCCCCACTATTTTGACACATCTCTACTGTCACTATTATACAATCCATGTAGTTTGTCCTTGGTCTATATTTCAGCTAATTATGACTCTTTATCAGATGAGGTGACCTATTCCTTCCTTCTTAGAAGACCGAGACTTTCCTGGTCGTGTCTGTAAGGGGTAGCTGCCATATTCCTCTAAGTTTTTCCACTGTGTATAGCAGTAGCAGCAGGTGTACACCAAAGTTCTGTGGGGCTCAAAAATACTTTTCTCTGACTTCATTTGTGCAGCAGAAATTCTCTCTTCTTGAAAATCAGGATCCATCACCCCAGTCAACACAATAACTCTTTTTGCTTGTTGGTTCAATAGCGTAACGATCCCAACATGCTTATGTAACAGTCTCAAACCCATTTCATTAGAGCCTTTGTGTGGGAGTCTCCAATGGTAAATTAGGCTTTATTATGTCCACAGATGGTATCACTAACAAAACCACGGTGGTGCGAAGGGCAGATACATATACAGGAAAAGCATCTGTTCCACAGAGGAAAACTTGCTGCCCAGTGCAGAATGGGAAATAAGCTGACTGCCATCCACAGAGCAGGTCCTCTTATTCAACTGATTATTGAAAGCCTCTTTTGGGGCAGATATACCTTGGTGAACATTCACAAGGAATGCTCATTTCCACACTCCACAGACCCATTCTTGGAAGTCCATTCATATACTTCTTCCCTAGCCTGCCTTGCTATCAACCCTCCAGTCTTGTTCCTTCCGAGTCCTAAATATCTGAACCAAAAAAATCATACGCTCCTCATCAACCAGAGTAGATATATTTTTACCTACTTCCTCCCAGGCTGAGCAATAAAATGTACTTTTTGCAGTTGTGCCCCTAGAGAGAATTATGAAAACTTGTTGAATGTGGCTAAAGTAGTGCTGAGAGGGAAATCTATAGCTTTTAAGGTTTAGAGTATAAATAAGTAAACAAACAATGAGTAAAAAGAAATAAGCTAAGCCTCCAAGTCTATACATTATAAAACGAGTTGAGTAAAGCCAGAGAAATTAGAAGAAATATTTCAAAATCAGAATTAAGAAAATTAATATAGAAATTAAGGAGCATTTAAAAGGATTCCCAAGACAGCTGCTTTTTTTATTTTAATGTAGTCTTTTTTTAGAAAAGATTTATTTATTTTTAGAGAGAGGGTAAAGAAGAGAAGGAAAGAAACATCAATGTGGTTGCCTCTCACACACCCCCTGGCCCACAATCCATGGGGACCTGGCCCACAACCCAGGCATGTGCTCTGATTGGGAGTCAAACTGACAACCCTTTGATTTACAGGCCAGCATTCAATCCACTGAGCCACACCAGTCAGGGCCAAGAGAGCTTTGAAAAGAGAAAAACTAGGCAAACATCTGGTAAGACAGATTTTTTTAAAAGTTAGACTAGGCATTATGAATAGAAATGTTAGGAGTGAAAAGTGTATAATACAAGTATGGCAGAGATTTTTAAATACGATAAATTCATTGCAGTAAATTTTAAAAGTGATTAACTGAACATTGTGCTAGGAAAACATAACTTATTCAAGAAATTAAAAAGAAAAAAACACCTGAGTACAACTAAATTGAATTTCAAGGAAATTGAATCAGTGGTTTAAAATCTACCATCGCCCACATGAAATCCTTTACGTCTAAGCAGTTTTATCAAACCCAAAGAGCAGATATCCCTAAAGTCATACACTTTTATATAGAAAAGTTGTGAATGCTCTCACAGCTCACTTAATAAAGCATCATATAATTTTATACATAAATACCAGTTTGTATCCCTAAGAAAAATGGCCTTTTTCTTTTGGAAAGTACAATGACAATATCACTTTCCTACCCAAATGGTAACAGGATATGCATCTGCAGCTTTTACTTTATTGGGGTCACACCTTATACGTAATATTGTCTACTGGCTTTTCCACATCAACATGCTATAGAGCATTCCATGTTGCAAGGTGTTCACAACACTGGCTGTGCGGGTGCATGTGGTCAACATATAGCTTCTTCCTTCACCATGGCTTTTGGTGGCTGCAAATGATGGTGCAGCGAGCAGCTCTACAGTGCCAAAGTCACTGTGTATACTTGACTGTCTCTTACAGTTAAACAGAGCGAGGATGCTTCCTACCTGCTTGTTCTATCCTGCCACACAGGGGGTGTGGTATCACAGGCCTGTTCCCTGCACCTTGCCAGCAGAACAACAGAAGCCTTCATTTGTTGCACTTTGAAATTACTTTTTGTTTAGTTGGATTCTGTGTTGTTTTAGTTACTAGTGAAGGAGAAGTGCTTTCTTATTGTGGCTATTTTACTGGCCACCTGGATTTCTCTTGAGCGTCAAGCAGCAGGTAACAGAGGACATGGGTGTGAGCAACGGAGAATAACAGGTTCTGGCAGGATGTGCTTCTAGCTACCTCTACCTCCTAAACTCAGGGTCTACAAAATCAAGGGGCCACAGCTAATAACTCAGGCAGGCTACTTCCCTCACAGGAAGTATCCCACTGCTTGTTCCAGAAGCGCAACCTAAGTAAAGCCAGAAAGGAAAAAAGCAGAACCCCTCTCTTCTGGGCAAACAGCCTGGTTCAAAATCTGGTGTGGAGCCCTGACTGGTGTGGCTCAGTTGGTTGAGTGTCATCCTGCTAAGCGAAAGGTCACCAGTTTGGTTTCCAGTCAGGGCACACGCCTGGGTTGCAGGCCCGGTCCCAGTTGGAGGGTGTGCAGGAGGCAACTGATTGTTGTTTCTCTCACATTGACGTTTTTCTCCCTCACTTCCCCGCTTTCGCCCCCTCTCGAAAGATAAATAAATAAAATCTTTTTAAAATCTCTGGTGTGGAGTATAGAGTTGGCTCAACAGAAGGAGAGGCAAAAGAGATGGTTCAAAAGAGCAGCAGTTCCCAGCCACTACCCTGTGCCATGGCCAGACCCTGACTCAGGTGGTCCAGGGCCCAGGCAGGAACCTTTAAAAGGTTCCTAGCTGCCACCGCAGCTGTGTAGTCCATGTGGGTATTGCCATCAGAACCTGAGTAAAGTTCCCAGGAAGAGACCGTTCACCTCTCTCACTGCTCCTGTGTCTCATCTTTTCTTTCAACCCCCTTGCAGAAGAGGGAGCTGGTCAGAGAAGGGCTCCTACATGCCTTTGTTCACCCTCTTAGAAGCATGAAGCCCATCCCTAGAGAGCCAGCCACCAGCCACTACCCAGGGCGCAGGTGGTCTAACAGCTCCATCGTACTGCAGCCTACCCCCTTCTCCCACGCACATCCACTGGCTCCACCAGCAGTGACCAGTTAGAGACAAGATGTCCTAAGAAACAACAGTCCCTATGCCTGCAAGGGCCTGCCCTGCACCAAACTCCAGCTTTCTTTGCCATAGATTACCATGTGCCTTTGCAGCCCAGTGGCCACCATCAGCCTGGGGAACAGGCCGTCTAACACAGCTGCAGGTCCTGAAGACACCTGCCTGGGACTGTACTTGTCCTCATTTATAGACTCAAAAAGATGCCCCCATACTGGGTTGAATGGTAGTCCCCCCAAAATATGCATACTTTCTGACTCCCAGAACTTGTGAATGTGACCTTATTTGGAAAAACTATCTTTGTGGATATAAGGTACACATCTTGAGGTGAGATCCTCCTGAATGGCATAGGTGAGTCCTAAATTCAGTGACTTGTGTCCTTGTAAGAGAAAGAAGAGAAGACATGGTCAGACAAGGAGAAGAGTTCATGTAACCATGGAGGCAGAGAGTGGAGTGGCACATCTACCGGCCAAGGAACACCAAGGGCTGCCACCAGATGCTGGGAGAGTGGCCTGGAACCGATTCTTCAGTTTGTGCTATTGTGCTTCAGTTTGTGGACAGGAATCAACCCTGTCCACAGCTGGATTTCAGATTTCTGGCCTCCAAAACTGTTAAAGAATGAATTCCTGGTGTTTTAAGCCATCGAGTTTGTGGTCATTTGTTATAGCAGCCATGGGGAACTAATACATCCCAAAAAACTAGAAGTGCTCTTGAGAAAAACTGCAGTACTATGATTTAAATGTAGCACCTATGGGTAAGAACCTGACTTCACCTTTAATTTTTTCCCCAAGCACAATCTGCATTTAGGCTCCTGGGCCTCAGGACAGGAAAGTCACTCCCACCCCTGGAGATACCAAGAAACCCTCCCAGTCCAGGCTTGTTTTCAGAATAGGCTGCTGGCCATCTTCCAGCACTAGATGTAAATCCTACTTCTAGTCAACCCTCTCACTGTCAGGTAGCAAAATACCCTGTGAGAAGGCCCAGGGATGGATTTGCAACATCCCATTCCTACACGGGGGAACTTGGAGGAAGGCAGGATCAAGGGCCAGGGCACCAAGAATCAAATGATGTGTATTCTTCCTCCACTGTCTTTTTTTTTTTTTTAAACAACATTGCAGGGTAAATGCCTATGGCTTTGACATCCTAGGAAATGTTCAGAATCTTGCAAAACAACAAGCAAGAGTCCTCAGGTGTTCGTAATCTGCCAGTGATTGCCAGGTGGCTTGTATTTGCAAAGCCAGGGCATTTGGGGCTGATGCAGGGAACAGCATCCCAAACTTCTGGAATGTGATGAAACCTGGCCACCGCCACTCATGCTGGATGGCAATGCTCTCAGGGAGAACAGCAGCATGCTTCGCTGTTGGGAAAAGGAAAGGAAAAGTGTACTTGTGAAAAGCATCGCCCGTCAGACCATGACGTGGCTGCAACCCCAAACACAAAGCAGTGGAGGAAAGGTGCATAAATGTGACGACACAAAGATAACAAACTTTAAGTCCAAAACATGCTAGTACAAAGGCACAGTAGGAAAAGGTCATTGCAGCTTCCATCACACAGGACAGCTGATCCCACTAATGACCAAAGAGCTCCTACAAACCAGGGAACAAATAGTAACAGCCCAATAGAAAAACGGGCAAAAAATACAAACAAGCCATTCACGCTAGAATTGAAAAAGAACCCGGAAGCTCTGAAAGATACTCAAGCTCACCCTTTAATAGTGCACTACACACCTGGCAGATGGCAAAAGCCCACAGGTTGACACCCTTCACTGGGGCAAGGCTATGGGGAATGAGGGGAGAGCAGGAAACCACACTGCGGGGCACCAGCACCATCTACCCCATTTGCACATGCTCTGTGCGGCCACTTCTAAGAATCCGACCCAAAGACACACATGATTGATGCACATGGATTTTCACTGCAGTGTTATTTATGGCAATAAAATGACGGACAATGCTGTGGTGCAGCTTCCCAGTGGAACAGCACACAGCCCTTGAGTGCACCGGCACCACAGTGTGCTGGACCTGGGCTGAAAGGAAGGGCCCCCTCCCATCTCAAGCTGTGAAGCAGTTCTGAGAGACCCGGCCTTGACTCTTGACTTCCCCAGTTGAGGTGGAAGAAGGAGCCCCAGAGGCGAGTGGTTCAAGCAGACAGAACGAACAGAAAGAGCAGCACATCAGACCCAGTGGGTTGCTGTGTACCCTAGAAGACGCCAACCAGCAGACGGGGGAGCTGAAGCAGAAATCCCTGCAGCTAGTTCTTGGGGCTCAAAGAAGTAGCCTGCTCTTTGTCACCTAGCCTGTAATTCAGGACTAGGCAGGCAAGAGAGGAAAGTACAAATTGCACTGTCCTGGGCTGGTCATCGGCAGGCAGCCCTACTGAATGCACTCCATGACATGTATCTGCAGGGTGTCCATATCAGGAGCCTGATACTGGCACTTGGGACAACAGTAGTCAGGTGGCTCCTCTGGGGGGCTTCTCCTCTGGCTGGGCAAGGGAAAGGACTGGTGAGCTGCAGAAAGAGAACGGGCACCGGTTATAGCACAAACTGCAGGGAGGGAAGGAGAGAAAGTACTGAGACTTGATGGGACCATAGGATCCAACTGCCAGGGTCACTACCACCTTCCCTTTAGCACCCCCCGGAGGAGGGGGACACCAATAAGGAGGGGCAGCCAATGCAAACATCTACCACCTAGGCTCCATGCTCTGTCAACACCCTGCCCTCCCCTGCCCCTTCTCCTGCAGCTCACTCACCTGGGACAGGGGCTAAGGGGGGCTGGGAGACCTCTACATGCCGCTTCCTCATATCTTCAATCCTTTAAAAGAAACCATCCAATCGGTAAGTGCAAGCCAAACTCCAACTGGTGTACAAAGCTGATGGAAGGACAAGAGTGGTAGGAGGGGAGACAGAGGACCAGCTCACCCCACCTGGACAAGCCAGAAGCACTCAGTCTCTCATGCATACTGCTCGAGCCCCCAAAGTGCCCACCCTCTTCTGCACGCGGCATGTGCTCCAAGGCCTACCTGGCGGACTCCTGACAGCTGGCCTTCAACCTGCTATACTCCCGCTGCAGCTGCTCCAGCTGCTCCTGCAGGAGCTCCTTCTTCTCAGCCAGCTTCTCCCGCGCCTGCCTCTCAGCCTGGAAATCCGCCTTGTAGATATCCGCCTGGCAAAGCCAAGAGAGGGGGCCGTGGCCTCCGCCCATCAGCCACTCACTCAATGGGCACTCCATGCTAGGCACCAGGGGGCAAAGCAGAGCCCACTCCCACCTTCCCACAGCCCATGGCACAGAGAGTGTCACCCCAAGTGCACTGAGAGGTCAAGGAACAGTGCAAGGGGCTCGAAGAGCTTTCCGGGAAGCCACCGCAAAATGACACCAGAGACATGCCAGGTCCAAGCACCAGTGGGCTGGTCTACTCACCCTCATGTAAACCACAGAGCAGAGCCCTCACCTGGGCCTTCAGCACCGGAACAGTCTCCATCACAATCTTGTGCTCCTCAGCCTCTTCTTTCAGCTTGTCAATCACTTCCTGTTTAGCCACCAGGGCCTCCTCAGCCTGCTGGAGCTGCTGCTTGAGATCTTCCAGCTGCATTCCCTAGGGATGGGCGAGGGGGAGCTGACAAAGCTGGAGCCGGCCCAGGACTGGGGTCAGGCCACCCACAGGCTGGCTGCTACTGCAGGCGAGAAGAACCAAGAGGGAAAAAGATCGGACCCAGCTGGCCCACCGACCGCAAGATGTCAGCGTATGCGAGGCACAGGAAAGGTGGAAGCTGAAGAGGGGACTTCTGAGGTTATCTGGCACAACCTCCCTCCCAGGCTGACATCCCCTTCCCAGAATCCCCAGCTGGACCGCCCTCCTCCAACCCTTCAAAGGATAGGGGCCACACTCCCCCCTGAGGCCCCCCACTTCACGCTGAGCTGGTCTCCAAACTAACATTCCACTACGTGCCCACTAAGCCAAAACCCATCATTGGTCCTTCCACTCTGCCACCTAGTCAGGGGTCTGCTGTTTCCTCACACACACACTCACAGACAGACACAACACTCAGACACAGTACAAATACGTGAGTACACAAACAAATGCAACACAGACACACATACAGATAGACAGATGCACAGATGCACTCCCACAGACACACAGATGCACGCGCACACACCACCCGGCCTTCCCTCTAGGGATCAAAAGGCCACAGTTTTGTAATGAACTCTTCTTGAGTAACCAGTTTCAGGCTTTACTCTTCAAAGTCTCCTCTGGGTATCTTCCTATTTCACAAGCTCCTTCTTAAAATGTGATTGCTAGAAACTGGACCCAGTACAGGTCTAATTAGGACAAACTAGAAAAGGGTTCCCAGTCGACTTTAACACTGGAATGGAAACATTCCCAGGGAAATCCGAGCCAGGAGCCAAATAGTGATGGGTAGTGAGAGGACTGAGCACAGTCCACCACAGGCAGCAAGCGGCACAGCCCAAGGGCCGTCTCCCCATGGGCTGTCCTGAGCCATCACACTGCAGCCTTGACAAAACTCTCGGACGAGTCTCGTATCCCTCCCAAAAGCCAATATCCCCGAATTTGGGAGAGCAGGCCCCATGAGAGGAACGAAGGTCAGCTCAGCCCTAGGTAGTCCTGGGGGTGTCCCTGCTATACTCACTCTGTTTCGCTCACTGCTCACCATGCTGCTCTTGATGTGGTTGTCATAATCTTGGAAGAGCTGGTGATAGGCTACCTGTAGCTGGGCCAGTTTCCGCCTAAGAAAAAGGAGCTTTCACTGGAGAAACCACCTTGTCCTGATCCAACCGCAGCTTTTCCTGCTTCCGACTCCACCCTCTTTCTTCCTTCCACAAACCCGAATGGGGCTCCCAAGGCACCTTTGTGCCTTAAGGGCTATCAGCTCCGAGGCATGCTTGGCTAAATAGTTAGTATCATTTTCCTTAAAACTAGTATGTTTTGAAGTATGAAAAGAAATGTTTATGGTAAAATGGAACTGTCCCGCACGCTTTAACAAGGTCAACTTCAGCCCTGGCCGGTGTGGCTCAGTGGACTTGAGTGCTGGCCCGCAAACCAAAGGGTCGCCAGTTTGATTCCCAGTCAGGACACATACAAGGTCCCCAGTTGGGGGCGAGCGAGAGAGGGAACAAATGTTTCTCTCCTTCTCCTTCTCCCTCCTTTCCCCTCTCTCTAAAAATAAATAAATAAAATCTTTAAAAGGAAAAAAAAGGTCAAATTCATAAAAAACATAGAAAGGCAGGACTAGTCTAGATTAAAGGATACTCAAAAGGCACACCAGCAAAAAGAATGAAGGATCCTGGACCAGATGCTGTTAATGTGTGAGCCAAATGGTGGAGTCTGAATGCGGACTGGAAAATGGAGAATGTTACCGTACCAAAGATGAATCATTTGGGCATGATAATGGTAAGGCACCAATCCAGCCCTCAGCCACATAGTTCCTAGAAGGGCTTCCACCGAAGGCAGAAAGCCACCAACAGCCGTCTGGTCTCCATCCCTCCTGTATCAAGTGCCCACTCACTTCTCCTCCGAGGCAGCCTGGCGTTCCATGCGCAGGGCAGCCTCCATACTCTGGTTCTGCATGCGCAACTGATCCACCTGCACGCTGTGCTGCTGCTGCAGCGCCTCCCGCTCGCTTTCCAGCTGCCGGGCCTGCTCGCTGGCTGCCCGGGCCCTGGCATGGAAGAAAGGGGAGGTCATGGTAGGGTCCCAGCAGGAGCGAGGGTGCTCACAGCATCCCTGCTGTGCTGAGAAGGACTGCCGGCAGAAGGAAGGTGGGAGCCAGAACTAGAAGCTCTGCAGTCTGCGGGGAGAGGATGGGCACTGGGAGCAGGGCACAGGGAGGAGTCAAGGTTCAGAACAGCCTGTCAATGCAAAGCCGACACAGGATGAGAAAGGGGGAGGCACTGCCACTGGACACGGGGACAACTGCACGGCACCAGGTTAGTGGCAACATGTTTGTGTCAATGCAGGGCCTGGCCAGCAACCAAGTGCAGGTGGCAAGGAGACCTGGAGCTGAAGTTCAGGTTTATAACATGCACTATGTAAGCCCCTTCGAAAGGAAAAGAGGTAATCCCAAAAGAGGACACTGCTGGGGCCGGGGGGAGAGGAGCCCCCAGGAACCACCCATTAGATTCCAACAGGTGGGTGCTGGGGGCCCTCGCCAGGGCATTCTCGGTGGAAGGGTCAGGAGAGATTGGGAGGCGAGGAAGTGGAGGCAGCCACCAAAGATAGGCCTTTCTAGAAGATGGGGGAAGGGGGAAGGTGAGAAATGAGGTGGGGCAACTGGGGGGAGGCAGGGTCAGTGTGCCCAGGCACCTCCGTCCCTTGCACTCACTGGTCTAGAAGTGGCAAGGAGATGGCTGGCCTACCTCGATGGCTCATCTGGAGACCCAAACATCCACACCTGTAAGGAGAGCCTCCCACCTGCCTACCTGGGAGAGGGCAATAGCCTTGGCAGGGCACTCCTCTTTCCCTCTATACTCCCACTGTGACAGCTCATCTCTTGCCCCCCAGATCCCCCCACAGCCCTCAGTCTTCTAATCCAGGCCTCGTATGCCCCACGGCCCCCAAGCTCCCGTCTCCACACTCATATTTCCTAATTCTCCAGTTCTAGGTTGCAGCCGCGTCATCCTACTATCCTGAAGCCGTCCACGGTCCCCACTGTGAGGGTAACGGTGAGTGTTCCTGGGTGGGATGAGGTTACTGGGGGTTTTCACTGGTCTGCTTTTCTACATCCGTCCAAATATACTGAACACACACAATCCATCTGTGATCAGATACAAGTTAGGTGCTGTTATCACCATCACCAGATGGAAATGCTGCCTGCCAGCAGCCCTGGAAACGGGGGGAGGATCATTCCAATGTGACAGTCCAGGGGCTCCGAGGGCAGGCATGTGTACGAGGTTGGAAGCTGTTTCAACGGTCACATCGAATGATCTGAGATGCAAGCAAGGCTTTGTGCCCTGAGCAGTCCAGCTCAGCATTTATACGCTCGGCCACATCCGGGAGGGGCAGGAAAAGAGGCTGCCCAAGAGCGTACGCCTGCCAGAGGAAATGCCCCTGCAGGGTGGTTAACTGACCCAAGTCGGCTGCAAAACTGCACTGCCAGCATAAATCCTCCAGCAGCTTCTTCTATGTGCCCAGAAAAAAGACCGGCAAGAAAGACACCAAACTGTCCTAAAAACAACACGTGATTTTAGAAACATGGAGGTACAGAAGAGTATATAGGAGAAAACGCCAGCATGCCACGAGCCAGAGACAAGGAGGCTCAGCTTTTCCTCGCAGTCCGATTTCTAGATGGAAGCGCGTTCACACTGTCTTCCATATCGCTCTGACGATGGGAGGGGGAAACTCCTGACTGTTCCTCTAGCCTCTTTCAGGAAAGTGCCCCTGACACACGCAGCGCACCCTGATCAGCTCCTGCACTGGGACAGCTGGGGCTACCCCTGTCCGCGGGACATCCTTCTACAGCTAGGCAGCAGCTAGGTGGCACGGGAACCACAGAAACATCCGTGTCTGCTGACCCAATGACTTCACTTACAGGAGCCCCTCTATGCAGAAAAAGGCGACTGGCAGGCCCGAGGCAACCAGCTTCCAAAGGGCTGCTTGCAAGGTTGGCCCTCAAGTGGCACATGCGCAATGAGCTGGTGCAAGTCCCCTAGGACCATTTCCCTACTGATGATGGTGGTCCCTGCGGAGCACCTGCTTTCCTTTGGGAGTGGGAAATTTGGTATGTGCCTGGCACAGGGGGGCCAATAAAACCCGGGGCACTGGGTCTCAAGTGGGTTGATTCCCTGGGTCTGCAATGATACATTATTTTGCTGCTGAAGAGGGGAGAGTACTTGGCAGGCCGCCCAGGAGATTGAGAGAGAGGAATCCTAAGACCTGGGGCTCTCCACCCCTGACCTGTGTCCTCTGTCCTTGTGGGTCCTGGAGTGCGCCCTTCCCTGTGATAAATCTCAGCCACGAAGGCACTGGGAGTGCTTCCAGGGAAGTGTCCTATGGATCTCAGGTATGCTCTTGCCCTCTGCAAATGCCACCTAAGGAAATAATTCAAACTCCAGCAAAAGGTCAGAGAGCCCGGAAGTGCTGCTGGGACCCAGGTCCCAGACGGCCAGTTCACAGCTGAGCTAAGCACCTGCCCCAAAGCCCCATGCACCCACTCACCAAGTCCTCCGGTCCCTCCTCTCACAGGGCAACCCCTGAAGGCTCCTAAACGGCCTCATTCTTCTCAGGTACCCTCACAGTGGCCTCAAGGGCGGGCTTTCCCTCCCCACTCACCTGCCCTCCAAAGCCTGCCGATCCTTGGTAGCAGCCTCCAAGCGACTCTGGCTCTCCTGGAGCTCCCCCAGCAAGGATGTGACCTGGGCTTTCACCGAGGCCTTGTCCTCGGCCATCTGCTACAAGGAAAAAAAGCCACTTCCTGTCAGCAACGCTTTCTCACCAGCTGCCCACTCATGGTGGCCCCAAACCCTAGGGCAGCCTGCAGGTGCTAAGATGCGTCACCCTGAGGGCTTCTCTCCCGCCCTTAGCACCCTTACTCTTTTCACCTCTCACCTCCAGTGGTTTGCCAACCCCAGCAAGGCAACTGAGGCAGTGGAAAGGGATCGAGTCCCATGAGCCCATACTCCCAAGCCCCTCCTCATCTCTACAGACAAGCAAGGTATGATGGGACCCAGGGACACCAGAGCACAGAGGGACCTCATCTCAGAATGCTGACGACCAGGTCATGAGGGCTGAGCCCCGCGGGAATCTCGCAGCCTCTCTGAGACGCGATGCCCAGGGAGGTGAGACACAAAGACAGCAACGAAAGTACATGCTCCCTTCCACATGCCCAGGGCTACTAGAAGGTAAGATGGACTGACACTGTTTCCAGAAGACCTCCACCAGCAACAAAATTCAAGAGTTGTCCAAACTCTCCATTGACTGACTGCGCTCATCGAACTGTCCGGACCCAGGTCCCCCGTGACCTCAGGCTGCTCCAGCCCAGGGCTGAGACTCGGTCCTCCCCCTCCCTGACCCCTCTGCGGTAACCCCTCTGTAGTAACCACCAGTCTTGAGGTTGTTCTTGGGGACCTCTTTGGAAACAGTGACGTCCCTGTGGATTTTAAGAATGCATGTGGCTGGTGACACAGGTGGCCCGAGACCCTAGCTCTCCCATTCCTGAGGAAGGGCCTGAGCTGCCCCCTTTGCTACCTGTTGGCATCTCTTTAGGCGCTCCACCTCCTGCAGGGCCTGCTCCCTCTGCCTCTTCAGGTCAAGCTTCTCCAGATTCAGTCTCTCCACCAGTTTCCTGGCCTCCTGAAATTTCTGTACGAGGAACTCCTTCTCCTCCCTCTGGCTGCCTTGAAAACGCTGAAGCTCCTCACAGCACTCTCTCAGCATTTGGTTGCTCTGCCGGATGGCATCTGGTAGCAGAGGAGACAGCGGAGGGGAGGTGAGGTTTGGGAGCTGGCCCTCCCTGGGCCTGTTATGGTGCCTTCCCCATGATACCATGCTGCCTCTCACACAGAGAGATGGCTTCAAAACACTTTCATTTCATAAAACGCTTTCAAAATCAATTATGCTAATGGTATGCCCCAAGATTTCTCCCAACAAAATACTGAGCACATCAGCTTTACTTAGAGGTGTGTGCCAAATGTCACTTTATTTGTAAGTGATTCTGGAACTCATGTGTATGCTGGTGGCGGTCAGAGGCAAGCTGCCCTAGAGCACTCGGTCACTCACTGTCTTTGGGATTAGGAGGCCAGAGCCCACCTGAAGACTCGGGGGACAAGCACTAGGGCAAATTTCCCTGTGACATTGCTGGCTGCAGCCTGGGAGGGCCAGAAGGCTTGAAGAGGACTAGTTACTTGCCTCTCTGAGACTCACTGCCCTCATCTGTATGTTCAGTGGGGACGATCGCGCCCATCTCACAAGATGAGGAGGGTTAAATGAAAAAGCAGACAAAGTACCTGGTGCACAACACAAACTCAAGAAACAGCCAGTCCCGCTCTGACCAGGCTGAAAGATGAGCATTTGTAAATGCCACACAATCAGCAGAAGCCACAGAAAGGAGAGCCACACACCCAGGGGACATCCCAAGCAGCAGCAGGCCATCAGGGGTGACAAAACTGATCAGTGATGCGCAAAGGTTCTAGAAAATACAGAGCTGTGTAAGACGGGGGCAGGCAGTAGCTTCATGTCACCCCTCTGGTCAAAACCCTTGACTACCTAACCAGTTCCTGCTGATGTAATACTTCTTTCACTGGAACTTCAGCGGCTTCTGAGCCTGGCTCCAAAGCTACCTTCTGCATTCTATCGTCCCCGTGTGACTCATCCCCTGCAGGAGCTCAAAGGCCTCCTGCCCCGGGCACACTGTTCCCCCCACCAACCTCCACCTGCTGCAGTCCTGCCCAGTCCCTGTCCAAGGCTCAGCTCATGTACAACTTCTTTTTTCATTGAGGTAAAATGCACAGAACATCACATTCATCGTTTTAACTTTAGGAATTGATTTTGAAAAAGAAGAAAAAAGAGGAAAAAATTCATGAACATGGAAACAGTGTGGGGATTGCCAGGGAGAGGGAAGTGGGGGGGGGCGGTGGAGGAGGTATGGGAGGGATAAATGGTGATGGAAGGACACTCAGCTTGGGGTGGTGAATACACAATGCAGTGTACAGATGATGTGTTGCAGAATTGGGCACCTGAAAGCTGTATAATTTTGTTAATCAGTGTCACCCAAATAAATTCAATAAAAAGGGGAAAAATTTATTTTAAAGCACAGTTGACCCCTGACCAACATGGGTTTGAACTGCTCAGGCCCACTTATATCTGGATTTTTTCCAATAAATATGCAGTGTGCCCTCAGCATCTCTGGGTTTCACATCTGCAGATTCTACCAATCTCAGATTGAAATGGTGTGTTTGATCCATGGCTGGGAATCCGTGGATGAGCAGGGCCTACTGTATGCATTATTCTCCGCCTTTTCATATAAGGGAACTGAGCATCTGCAGATTTTAGCATGGGGTTGGGAAACAGTCCTGGGCCCAGTCCCTCGTGGATGCTGAGAGAGGACTATAGTTAAGTTTTTGGTGAATCGAGTTATACACAGATATTCAGCTGTGCGTGGGTCAGTACCCGACTGTCATGTTATTAAAGGGTAAATTACATACAGTCATTCGGTGGTTTTAATGTATTCACAAAGCTGTCCATCCATCACCTCTAATTAGTTCCAGAACATTTCCATCACTTCTGAAAGAAACCCCATGCCCACTGGCAGTCACTTCTCCAATGTCCCCAGCCCCTGGCAACCACTCATCTGTTTCTCTCTCTGGACTTGCCTCTCGGGGACATGTCACATAAATGGACTCCTACACTAGATACATGCAACTTCTTCCATACAATTTCCCCCAAAACATTCCATTCAAAGCCTATGTCCTCCCTTCTGTCCCCTCCTCCATAGACACAATCATGAGCATCAAGGGGGATAGGCACCTTCGAGACCTCAGGGTTTTGGCCCCAGGCCTAACACCCAGCACCTGTTTAGCAGAAACGCGTGGGGCCAACCCACTGCACAAGTGTGCGTCAGGTCGCGCAGGTGAAGGCCATGTATCCACAAGGTCTCCACCTGCCCCTGGAGCCGGAGCTCACTGTGGGGGAACTGGAGATGCCATGGTCCTTGTGCTGATGGCTTACCACACTCATTCCAGAGTCCCCCTTGCCAGAGCGCTCTCCTGGGGATAAGCAGAGGACACACACATAGCTGTGGAGGATGAGCTGTCTTCCCACCCCCAACCTGGCTGCCAACTCCACATAGCCCCAACACAGCAAGACAGTTGACAACCTCTGCGGACACTGTTGGTGATCATAACTGGAGGGTTGCTACTAGCAACTAGCGGGTAAAAGGCAGAGATGCTGTTCAATACCCCGCAGTGCCCAGACATCAATGGATGTCTGAGCGCTGAGATGGAGAACTCAGCCCCAAAGGCAGGCAGGTCTTGTTGGCTCTCTGTGCTCCAAACAGGGCTGTCTCCAAAGCAGGCCAGGCCTCCAAGAGACCAGCCAGCCCCTTGGGGGCAAGCTGACTGCACTGGACTCCTCCCATCCTGGAAGGAAAGGCAATTGCTCTTGACAGGAAGAAGAGACATTACATCAGGCACAAGTTTGGTGCTCTCACTGCAGGGCCTCAGCTAAGACCACTCTCTGAGGCTTACAGAGCACATGACTTGTCAGCACAGGTGCCCCCTTAATCTCCCATCACACAAGGGAACACACTATCCAGCAAAAGAGGTGGAAGAGTGGCCCTATGACTGTGGCCTCTACTGGCCGTGTCGCACGCCAACTCACCAGTCCGCTACAGCAGTGGGTGGCTGGTTGAGAACAACTGAAACACTGGCCTGGATGAGGCACCTTCCTCTAGGATATGGCATACAGGACCTGTGACCTTTATAAGCCCTAAGTTCCCAGTATGAACCAAGAGATGAAGCAAAAGGGGCCGTGTGCCCCATCACTGCCCATGACCCACCTGGGGAGTCCGTGCCACTCCTCCCGCAGCTCTGGGCTCAGCAGTTTAGAAGGTCCCCACAGCAGAAACATAAGAGTCTCATTGAATTAGAAGCCTGGGGTGCCAGCTGGGCACCTGGGGCTACTCATAAGTACCAAAGGAGTAGCAGGCCAGGATTGGAGCCCCAAGGGCATGATCACGAGGAGGGGGCCCACTGTCACACAGGAGAGGCGGGGGATGTACCGCACCCAAGGACAGCCATGTCACCTGAGGGGCACAGTACAACAGCCGCTGGGACGTGGAAAAGCTGCTCCCGATACAGGTGAGGACAGAGAGTGAGTGGGGGCTGTGACGGAAACAGGGATGGGATGGCCAGGAAAAAACTCGACTACCAGCCACTGGCGGGGAGGGGGCTGCTGAAAGAACGACCTTCAGCTGAGGGCTCCTCACAAAGTTGCCAGGCACCTGGCTCGGGGCCAGGAGCCAAAGACGCCTCCCTTTCCCACAGCAGGCCGCACCCCCCTCTCAGGAGACCCAAAGCATGCCATGCTCCTTCCCAGGATAGCTAGCCCTTAATGACCAACCAGCATGGAAATAGAAAGGGCTGGCCATGTTGGCCCAACCTGGGACAACTCGGAAGGGTCATTCCAGATCCCCGTAGGGTCAACCTGCACTACAGCCCAGCTTCTCCCTCTGCCCACCCGTTTCTTCCCTGTCCTTCCCTTCTCTTCACCAGTTTTGGTCCTCAGAGCACTAAGAACACAAGAAACTTCCTGCACATTAATCTCCATCTCACAGTGTGCTTCCAGGGAAGCCCACCTGAAACAAAGAGGGAGGGTGACTGAGCTCGAATTGCCAGCGGGCTCTTAGACACACCACCAGACCCAGTGCACAGAGTGGTCCGGGTGGGAAGAATAAGCCTTCCGCCCAGCCCAAATGGGTCTCCTGACTTTTTACCCCGCACACCCACTGTCCTCCTCACCTCGGAGCTCTTGATTCTCCTCCAGACAGCGCTGGAGGGTCTCAGGAGTACCCTGCTCTGAAGGCAGGTGGAGCATGGCCGACTTCCCCAGAGAAGATTCTTCACCCAGCACGTCCTGGTCCCCGGCCGGGCCACCACTGGGCTGCACCATCTCACAGAGCTGGCTCTTCCAGGGGGGCCTGATCATCCAACAAGTCAAGGTCTGGAAGAAAAAGGCAGCACAGGTGTCACATAAGATCTGAATTCCTCTTACCCTGCAGGACAAGGAGCATAGTCTGTGCAGCAGTTTGGGGGCCACACCTGAAGCAGAATGCCGAGCACTTTGTCAAGTGTAATAGGATATTAAAAATAGGCTTTTCGGTCTAAAAGGTGACACATACTCCTATTCCAAAGGGAGGCGTGTGCCCAGATGTAGGACTTGGAAAGGCCATGCTTCAGCACTGGTTATAAACTCTTGTCTAGCACCTGTCTCTGGGCTATAAGTTGAAATTAAGAATATCACCAAAGGGGACAAATCACAGGATTGCTTTTGGGGGGAGGTTTCAGTGTGCTGGGAATCCTACCCCATACACACGTCTCCAAGCAGGACTGAAGGGTGTTGGCCTTTCACCTAGTCAGTGGGTTGAATGATGGCTACCAACAGGATATGTCCATGTCCTGACCCCCAGAATCTGTGGGCGTGACCGTATTTGGAAAAAGGGTCTTTGCAGATGTAGTTAAGTGAAGGACCTTGAGAGATCATCCTGGATTAGCGCGGTCCATAAATCCAATGACACGTGTCCTTATTAGAGATAAAACAGAAGACACAGACACACAGGAAAAGCCATGTGAAAAGTGGAGGCAGAGACCGGAGTGATGTGGCTACAAGCCATGGAATGCCTGGAGCCCCCAGAAGCTGGAAAAAGCAGGAAAGATCCTCCCCTGCAGCCTCTGGAGGGAGCAGGGCCCTGCCAATACTTGATTTCATACTTCTGGCCTTCAGAACTAGGAAAGGATAAATTTCCGTTGTTTTAAGCCACTCGGCTTGTTGTCATCCTTTACAGCAGCCCTAGGAAATCAATACAGTTAGTAAGAGGGACTTCAAGGAAACCAATCAGAACTTGAGTGTTCCCTGGAACTGAGGGGGCCAAAGGGGACATCTGGTACCTGACATGTGCTGAGGAATCTCAAAGCGGGAGCTGGGTTCATAGCCTAAGACAGTGAGGTGGAGAGACATGCTGAGCCGTTCCCAGTCTTCTGTGAACTACAGTAGAGGTAGGCCATGTGTGACAGCACTGGCCTGGAGCCCTTTAAAATGCTGCTCAGGAAGACTGACTACCTGGAGTAACAGGCCAATATCAATACAAATTTCCAGGCCTGAGCTGACAGGCTTTAACACCAGATAAACTTGGTCATTTGACTATTACACTGAATGCCCCACTAACCCATCAGCTCTATCTGATCAGCCACTATCCTTCCTTAAGCTTCCAGAACAACTCACTCTCCTAGTTTTCCCTCTACCTCACTGGCTGCTCGTTTCAGTATCTTTCAATGAATCCTCCTCCTCAGTCCATCCACTTATGCTGTGGTACCCCAGGGCTATGTTCTGGGATCTCTTCTCTTGTCTGCCTATAGTTGCTCCAGTATTATTCCATCCAGCCACACAGCTTTAACCCCCACCTTAACGCTTATGATACCCAAAATTAGACCTCTTTCCTGACCTCTAGACTCATATATCAAACTCAACATCTCCAAGGAACCTAGTGGTCCTCTCAAAATTAATCTCTCTAAAAATGCACTCCTGACAGTCCCCAAAAGCCAGTTCCCCACAGCCTTCCTTATCGTTTGATGGCAAGTCCATCCTCCAGTCACCAGGACAAATATCTTAGAATCTTTCTTGACTTCTCTGTCTCTCACAGCTCACATCTAATCCATTAGGAAATGCTAACAAAATGTATCCCAGAATCTATCTGATGACACTAAGCAATTAATGTTAATCATTTTTAGTGTGATAGTGGTATTGTGGTTATGTTTTTTTTCAAAGTCCTTTTTTAGAGATGCACACTGAAATATTTACAGATGGTGTCTGAAATTCACTTCAAAATAATGGGGGGACTCCTAGGTGTATATGTGGAAGAAATGAAAACACACATCTACACACAAATGCTCACGGCAGCATTACTCATAACAGCCAAAGCGTGCAAACATCCATCAACTGATGAATAAACAAAATCTAGTACACTCACACACTACAACATGGACAAATCTTGCAAACAGTATGCTAAGAAAAAGAAACAACTCACAAAAGGCCACATACTGTATGACTCCATTTATATGAAATGTACAGAATAAGCAAATATATAAACACAGAAAGATTAGTGGATGCTTAGAGTAGGGGAGATGGAGTGACGAGGGTGATATCTAAACGGTAAGGGGTTTCTTTTTGGAGTGACAAAAATATTCAGGAATTACAGGTGATGGTTGTAGAGCTCTGTGAATACACTAAAAACCAGTGAATTGTACACTGTAAATGGGTGAATTTTGTGGTATGTGTATTATATCTCAATAAAGCTGTTATTGCAAATAATAATAAGAGATTGTAAAGGGTATAAACTAAACAATATTAGCCATGAGTTGATAACTGTCGAAGCTGGGATGTGGGTACATGGGGTTTACAATAGTATTCTTCCTACTTTTGTACATCTTTAAAACTTTTCATAATGAAATACTCAAAGCACCATCGTCTCTCACTTGGATTATTACTGCAATAACTTCCTAACGGGTCACCCTGTTCCTAAACTTAATCATTACATTCGACCAGAAAAATCGGCCTAAAAAATAATTCCAATCACGTCCCTCCTCTAGTCAGATCTACCACGGCTCCTCGTTGCCCTTCGTGTAAAACCCAAAGTCCCTATAATGGCCTACAAGATCCTGTACCATCTGATCCCCCATTGCTTCCTCTCCAAGTACCTCACTCACTCTGCTCCAGCTATAGTGGCCTCCTTGATGTAAACATGCCAGAATGGGCCCATTCATCCTCTAGTCACACAAATGGTATGAGATCAGGTAGACACTAATCATTTTTGCAAAGTGAACAAATGGAGGCACATAAAGTAAGACAGCTGCCAAACTGCATTGGGGCCTTTTTAAAGAATTTAACAACCTCAAATGCAGTCAAGTTTGATGAACAGAAAATGTCTCCGAACTAGAGTCATCCATGAACTAGGGGTGTGGTCAAACTCCGCGGCAGCGGAGGAGGAACAGGCGGAAACAGTCCCGCTCGCCGCCAAAGTAACTTGGGTCCTGCATCGGCCCCGCCTGGGCCGGTGCTCTAGAAACGGGAGGTAGAGAAACACCGGGGCCCAACACGAGTAGGAAGCCTGGATGTTCGCGGGAACCTAGGAGGCGGCGGAACGCCCACTAATGGTACCCTATCTTCCTGTCTTCAGGGAAGAGGACCACACCTGTCAGCAGAACCGGTCCGACGTGAGATGGGCGGGAGCAGCGGGCCGCGAGCGCTCCTCGGGCGCCGTAGCTCCAAGAAAGTCCCGAGTCCGCAGTAGCTCTGCCCTTCTCCCGCTGCAGAAATTCCCACTTCCGGCTTCCGGTGTCGTAGCTGTGGGATCCGGAAGTAAAATACGCAAGTACCCTCCCCCCCGGACTCCGGTAAGAGGTGTGAAGAAGGTTGTTTTAGAAGGATGCCCGAGCCCTCCAGCCTCGGCTGGCCCTCGGGGCGCGCTCCAGTGATATCCACCACCCGCTCCTTTTCCCGGGGTCAAACGTACACCTCCCCTTCCTTGGGTCTCGAGTGACGGCAGCCCGCCTACGGTTGCTCTGCTGCCCCGCCCCTGCCAGAGGAGGAGCCACAACGAGGCAATTTAATAGGATTGGTTTGACCCCAGCCAGCGACCGGTCCAGACGTGGGCGCGGGGCTATGCCTCGAACTTGGTCCAGGAGGCGGGGCCACGCAGCCGGCGGATGTGGAGCCCTTTGCCAGGGCGCAGGGCCGCTGGGGGTGGGGGAGAAATCTGGGTTGTAAGGGTGGGGACTATCCTGCGATGGATACGTGAGCAACCCGCGCGGAGCTGCACGAGGATCTGCTAGGCGTAGGGTACGCGGCACGGCACAGCACAGCGACGCGGCAAAGCGGCCGGCGCTGGTGCCCAAGGGGCGGGGCGGGGCGGGGCGGGGCGGGGCGGGCCAGGCCAGGCCAGGCCAAGGCAGGGGGCCTCGCGCCGGGGACCAGCCTGGGATGCGCGCGCACCTGCCCGCGCCCCGCCCTCTCAAGGGAGGGACCCTTGGAGGCCACGCCCGCGCGCCTCGTCTGAGGCGGTCAGCTCAGACCAGGCGCCCGCCCCCGCTGGTTAAATGGACCGGCGGGTCTCAACCCCCGGAAACAGGCAGGAACTCCAGGGCTGTGAGCGCGACGGGCGGCGGCGGCAAGGCGCAGGTAACGAGGTGGTGGGTGTCACCCCGGCGGACGGGTGTCCCGCGCCGCGAGGCCCTTCAGTGTGCCATGCTTGGGAGCAGGGCAAAATCAAAGGGTCTTATCCCATCCCATTGTCCCCATTGGACCCCTGAGGAGACTGAGACCCTGAGACGGGCGGTGATGTACCCAGGTTTCCCAGCTTGGCAGGAGGGCTGGAGCTGCAGGGTCTAACATGCTCCAGCTCTTTGTGGACTTTCCATCTGATTTCCAGAGTGATGTGAACCTAGACAGGTCGTGCGATAATCCAGCAGGATTTTACTCAGTCTCCCCAGAACTGAGGCTTTAGTTGGAATCCACTGGTGCTTTGGGTAATTTTATAACGTACGCTGTAAAAGAAGGCTGCCGGGGAGTATGGCCAGAGCCCAGAGCCAAAACTTTCTAACCCCTAACCATCCTGCCGCTGCCCCTACCCCCACCATTCATAGCAAGTGGCTTTAATAATCAGACCTCAGCTGGGTGAGAGCCCAAAAGACCTCTCAAGAAAGGTGCCAACTTCTCAATGCTCTTCTGTTCTCCTGCCTTGTTAACAAGCCTTTCTTTCACCAGAGAGCATCATGGCAGAGCAGGTGGCCCTGAGCCGGACCCAGGTGTGCGGGATCCTGCGGGAAGAGCTGTACCAGGGTGAGGCCTTCCATCAGTCCGAAACATATGTCTTCATCATCATGGGTGCATCGGTGAGTCTTCCCCAGGCTCTGCATCTTAAAATCCAAACTTAGAGTGTGACGTCCCTTAAGGTCCCTTCCTGTTGGGTGCCTGATCTTTCCCAACTGATTGTCATAGGGCCACTTGGCCTCTGCTTAGTTGAGCTTTCCCTCTTGCTGCTGCCTGTGTGCCACTATCACCCCAGCACCACCTGGTACACACTCACTTCAGGGCATTTCTGAAATCTATGCATAGCCGTTGACTATAGACCTGAGTGTAGAGCTGGGGGGGAGGTGCTTAGGGACTGTCTGATTGGACCTCCTCCTCCCTGGGGAAAACGGTGATGCGAACAGGAGAGGCTATTCATTGTGTCTATCTTTTTCAAACCTGTTTGTGACTTGACAATTGTCACACAGTCAGTTAGTTGCAGGGGCAGGATCTGAGGCTCAATCTCTACCTTGTCTCTCTCTACCACGTCAAGGTCCCTGGGGACAAACATTCAGCTTTTGTTTGAACACTATCTCTTTGCCCCAACTTCCAAGGCCTGCTGAGTAGCTGTGACCCGCCCCATTTCCTAGCCAGTGGCACTGCCATTTTGCTCTGATAGGAAAAGCTGTGACCCCCACACTAATGCCCCCACCCAGTGTGAAGTGTAGAAAAGAAATCTGGGTGGCAAGATGTGTACAGGGCTTCATCTCAAAGGAAAAGCAGCCTCTTCATTTTAACCCTGGACATAACCAAGAATCTGCTGAGCATCACAGGACCATTTTTGCCTGTAACTTATTGTATAAGCTAGAGCAAGAATTCTACCAGAACTAGTTAGATCTTGACAGAGTAGGCATTGTCTCTCTGTACCTTTCATGCCACAGTGCCCTCAGTCTAGAGGACCTTGGTTCTTTGTTCATGCATCATAACGTACGGCTGCCCTTTGCAGAGCCTATTCCCTGCCAAGTTTGAGATTCTAATCAGAATTGAAAAAGGAGAGCCAGAATGCAGGGTGGGAGGCAGAGGAGGGAAGAAGGGCTCTGCCCGTGGGAGGGAAAGGAGGTCCTCTGACTTCCCATGAGCCCAAGTCTGGGGAGTAAATAGGAGGAGCACACAGGGGAAGCCTTGGCCTCTACCCCGGCCCCAGCCTGGTCCCCTTAAAGGAGCTATACCCGTGTTGGACGCCAACCTTAACACCTAGGACTCTGACCATTAGGCCCTTTTTCTAAGAAGTAGTTTGGAGGAGAAAGCAACTCGGGATTATTTCTCCTCCTTCCCTCATCTCCATACCAGCCTATCACAGGATGCTCCAAAAGAGCATCCCAGACCACAATAAATGGCTTACAACTCCAGGCCCTCAACTCTTAGACACGTCATTGAAAGCATCCAGGCTTGCTGTGTAACTTCGGGCAAGTGTCTTTCCTTCTCTGAACCTGTGTTTCCAAATAGCAAATGAGGGCTTTGAAGCAAGTCTCAGGGTGCTCAGCCTCTGCCAAGCTGATTCTGTGACTCCTTACTGACTTCACCTGTGGCTAGCTTGGGGTTGGGCAACTTTGTTTTTTTGTAATCAGTAGGGTTCCCCTTTGCTCTCCTCTGCTCTGGGAGTGATAAACAGAGGCTTCTAGAGCAGAAGTGGGAAGTGCCACTCCAGCAGGGGGGAATGGGAAAAGACAAGGTGTCCTCCAAAGAAGAGCCTTCTTGTTTGTTTCTCCATCCTCCTATTCAAGGGGGCTAGAACGGGGTGGGCTGGCCTCCCACACGCAGGTAGCACCTAGAACAGCTCCCAGAATCCGACCTCCCATGTCTGCTCCTTCCATGTAGAAGGTAGGCAGGGTGGTACTGTGGGAAACCAGTGAGTTTTCTGTTTATTCATCCAACAAACGGCAATCGAGTGCCTCCTCTGTCATGCAGAGGCACAGGCCCTGTCCTCCTCCTGGGACCTGTGTACTGAGGGATCACGACCCAAGGTGAGTTAGCAGCCCTGTAAGAATTCAGAGTGGCACATGTGACAGAAGACACAAATAGGCCCTTGTGTCCCCAGCCTCATCCCTCAGCACACGGATCTCATGGGGAGGGCCTTCAGAACGAGGCCTGCGGAGCCAGGGCTGGGAGCACACACAGAGCACACAGTGGCTGCTGGGTCCCCCAGGGCAGGCTGGACCCCTGTGGTCATCATCTCTTCCTTCCTCCTCCCTCGCCCGCTTACCCAACCCTTGCCCACATGCCCAACTTCCTTCCTGAGGGCATGATGGTGTTACCCAATGGGCTTAGAGCTGGTCTCTATTCCCTCTGCCATGTAGCCACTTACCCCCCGTCTCAAGATTCCCAACCCCAAGCAGGAAGAGAATGGAGGTACTTACTGTCCCAGTCCAGAAAGCTCTGGAATAAAAGAAACCAGCTTCTCCCTACAGACCAGCATGAGGTGAAGAACCTTGGGCCTGGCAGATCACTTCCCCATCTGACAGGACCTCAGCCAGACTGGAATGACTCTTCCAGGGGATGTGGAGAGGAATGGGGGTAAGAGAAAGAGATAGAACTGGGGGTCCACTTGGGCAGGATAGGCTTACTGAATGGTCCTCAGTGATCCCCTCATCTCTCTGGGCCACAAAGGCCATAGGCTCAATGCGTGCTCAGGACCCATCCCAGTGACGGGCCTATACAAGGAAGGGATGGCCCGGCAGCCCTGCCCCTCCCTTTCCTTGGGATGTTTCTGCACTGCCTTCCCCTTGGGCCGATAAGATTCTTGCTGTGTCATGATGATATTGGCAACCCCCCAAAGCCCTGGTGATTCATGAGCCCCAGGGTGGAGGAGGGAGGCCCTTTTGTTGGCTTTGCAGCCAAGCCTACCTCAGAGCCCCCAGTTCTCTCACCCATGGCAAGGAGCCATCTCTGCTCCACCCAGCACCCGGTCTCCACCCTGGGAGACCCAGCAGGCCCTTGACCTGAGTGACCCAAGGGCAGTGGGATGGCCCACCCCTGCAGGGCCTCCAGCTGGCAGCCAACCCCTGGAGAGCCCTGCCACACCTTCTGCTGTAAAACCCTCACAGACAGACAGCAGTGGTTTGGGCTTATAAGACAGGATACTGAAGTCAAACCTGAGCAACAACAAGCAGGTGGTAGCCCAGGTTCTTTTGCCCCAGCCAGGCCAGATACTGGTAGCTAGAGATCCCAATCAGGTCCTGCTTCTCCAGCTAAGTCACCATGTTCCCAAGCAGCTCCTCCCCAGCTATGATCCTTGAGCAAAATTGACGCATCCAGGGAAGCTTGACGTATCTCACCAAGAGCCCCTGTAATTGCTCCGCACCTACATATGGCGGGCTTAGATTCGGTCAATGTCTTCCCACATTCCTTGCAGAGGAGTCCAGCCCTGGCCAGCAGGGAGGGCAGCCCAAAGAGAGCAGCTCTCAGGCCACACACCAACCCCCCCCGCCCCCCCCCACCCCACCCCCCACAGCCCTGGGTCCCACATCACCTCTTCCGCAGGTGACTTAGAGACCAGCAGACCGCAGGTGACTTAGAGACCAGCAGACCGCTGGTTGCAGGGGCTGAGCTAAACAGAACAAGCAGGTTTATCGCTAATTAATCCCAAAGGCAACTGCGAGAACAAAGCTTGGGGTGTGGGGCACTGTGACTCAGCAGAAAGGGAACTAGTCCCCTGCCACCAATCTATTGCCTGTAGTCTATCCTGATTCCTCACAGCCTGCTGGAATTTGATGATAAGCAAGGCTTTCCTGCAATGAGGAAGGCTGAGAGAGGTTTGCAGGTTGCGTTTCTGATTGTTTCTCCTGGGGGCTAGTCCCCAGAAAGCCCTCTCTGGAACCAGCAGGGCCAACATGGAGCCAACATGACAGAAGCAGAGTCCCCATCCAGCCCCACCCATGGGAGAAGGCAGAGGTGGGCACTGACAATTGGCTATGAGTAGTACTGCTGCGAGGGCATTGGGCCCTGAGGGACGTGGAGGGGAAGCTCAGAGCCCAGACTGGGGGGTCAGAGCTGGACCTTGAAGGACCAGTGAGGGCAGCCATCTGATGGGGTGGTGGCAGTGCTTCACGTGGAAGGCAGCAGTCACAGTAGGGACCCACTCCAGGGCATTTGGGAGAGCAGTTGTGAGGAGTTGGCAGTCTTGGGCGGGGCACTGACACAGAATACCCCAGTTTGGGGACTGCCCATTTTGGAAATCTGGGGTTCTAGTGGAGCCTGGAGGTGGCCAGTAGACATGTTGCTCATAGGAGCTTCATGCTCAGCAAACTCTGGGCTAGAAGACACTTGGAGTTGTCCACATGCAGGTCCCTGCCTTAGCCCCGGGTAGAGGTCAGGTCACCCACGGAGATTGGAGGAGAAGCAAAGAACAGAGGAACATGAACATTCAAGACATGGGGCATCCCTGAGCTCCCACAGAGCCTGCAGTCTCAGAAATGGCCTTCCCCCACCCCCAGCCATAGTAAGTAGGGATTTCCCACCCAGGAGTACCCTCCCTCAGGCCTCCAGCGCCTTCCTAACTGCCTGTCTCCAGGGGGATTTAACCAGATCGGGATTGCTTTGGTTCCAGTGGTATGGCTTCTTTTTTTTCTGCCTGGGGTGAATTCAGATCCACTCCAGCCTAGCATGCTCCCCCCGCCCCAAATGGTTGGCACCGCTCAGTGGAGCGTGGATTGTGCCCAGGCCCATCCCGTGCTCCAGTTACAGAGCTGGTAGATGAAAGGGCTCCCTGCCCTGTTCTTCTCCAGGAGCCTGTGACCATCCTTACTACTTCCTCTTCCACCTGGAGGGGGAATTCCGATGTCAGCTTACAAAGATCAAAGCCTGTTGGAACAGCTACAGTGACTCAAGTGGAGCTTGGGAAAGAAAAACTTTGATTCTTTCTAGTGAGGCTGCAGTCAGATTTGTGGGATTCACCATATTGTTGCTCACAGTTGCTATGTGTCACACCCTTGCTTTTCCTCTGAAATTGGAAAATTTCACAAGTACACAAAGGCAACAGAAGAGCTCTGTGAACAACCACTATTCATCACCTAGCTCCCACAGGGTTCTGCTGTCTTGCTTTACCCTCCCCCTACCCTCTGCTCAATTCTTGTTTTCTTCAGTCTTGTTCTTTTTTTTTTAGGCAAGATTTCTACACGTTGAAATACGCAAATCTTAACTGTGCAATTGGTTACAAGTCTTTATCACTGGTGTAGGATGTTTCCATCTCCCCAGAAAATTCTCCAATGGCCTTCCCAGTCAATCCACTCCCTGCTCCAGGCAACCACTGATAAAATTTCTATCACAATACATTAGTTTTTACCTATTCTAGAGCTTCATTTAAGTAAACTCAGAGTAATTTGCCTCAGCATGTTTTTGAGATTTGCCTGTGTTGGGTGGGTGGATCACCAGTTCATTGCTTATTGTCAGCTGAGTAGTGTCCCATTGAATGAATATACAGCTTGTCCATCTACCTGTTGGTTGGTTTGAGCATTTGGGTTGTTTTCAGCTTGGGGATATTGTAAACTAAGGCTGCTATGAACATCCATGTACAAGCATTTGCTTTCCATCCTCTCCATGTTTTGATGTTGTCCATGTTTCTGAGTACAGCCCGTTCCAGGGGGTGTGAAGTGGTATCTCGTTGTGCTTTAATTTGCATTTTTCTGACAACTGATGATTTTGAACACTTTCTCAGGTATTTATTAGCCATTCATTTCTCTTCCTTGTGAAGTACTTGATCAAGTCTTTTACCATTTTTAATTGGATTGTTTTCTTAACTTTCTTGCAGGAATGGCTTATATATTCTGGATATAGCTAAATTTGGTGAATATTTTCTCCCAGTCTGTGGCTTGTCTATTCTCCTTCTTAATAGTGTCTGATGAACAGGAGTTTTTAATTTTGATGAAGCCTTAATTTATCAGTTCTTTCCGGTTATTGCTTTCTGTGTTCTAAGAAATCTTTGCTTACTCTCATCTATTGATTTATTTAATCTAGCAACCTTGCTACACTCTCATTAATTATAATAATTTGTCTGTAGCTTAGTTTGAGTTGGCTCTGTTTAAATAGACAGATTGTCATCTGTTGTACAAGTAACACCATTTTTTTTTGTGTCCTTTCTCGCCCTTACACCATTTTCATTCTCCCACCTTGCTGGGCTGGCTGGGGCCTCTAGTTGGTCATTGACTGAAGAGCCAATAAGACCCTGGCCAGGTAGCCCAGTTAGAGCATCATCCCAATACACCAAGGTTGTGGGCTCCACCCTCAGTCAGAGCACATACAAGAATGAACCAATGAATACATAAATAAATGGAACAACAAATTGATGTTTTCTTCTTTCCCCTCCCTCCCCCTTCCTCTCCCCCAGTTAGTAAATTAAAAAAAAACTTTAAGCCAATAGAAAGCACTCTTCTTCCTCCCAGTCGGGTTTTTTTTTTTTTTAAAGATTTTATTCATTTATTTCTAGAGAGAAGGGAAGGAAGGGAGAAAGAGAGGGAGAGAAACATTGATGTGTGAGACGTACATCCATCAGTTGCCTCTCACACGCCCCCAACCGGGGACCTGGCACCTGGCCCACAACCCAGGCATGTGCCCTGACTGGGAATGGAACCAATGACCTTTGGGTTCACAGGCCAGCACTCAGTCCACTGAGCCACACCAGCCAGGGCACTCCTGGTTGTTGAAAGGAGATTATCTCAACATTCTCCCAATATGTATGATGTTTGTGGGGTTTTTATAGCTATCCTTTATCAAGTTAAGGAAGGAAGTTCCCTTTTATTCCTCATTTGATAAGAGTTCTTATCATTGTAGATGTTGAATTCTCTAGAATACTTTATCTACATCTGGTGAGTTTAGCAAGGTTCCTATGTTTTTAAAAATCAATAGATAGGAGTAGACAAAAGTTCCTTATAGCTTTTTCATTTACTCTGTTAATGTAGTGAATTTCAGTGATCTTTTGCTTTTGAATATTAAGCCAACCTTTTGTTTCCAGGATTCCTCCTAATTTGGTTCCAACACATAACATTTATAACATTGCAGGATTGGATTTGCTGCTTTTTTTTTTTGCAGGATTTTGCATCTGCATTTGTGGACGTGAATGAGATGAGCCGAAGAGCTCCCATGTGCCTCTCTTCCAGGTCTCAGTACCAAGCGTCTGCAGGCCCCATAAAGTGGCTTAATGAGTGCTCCCCATTCTGTTTGCAATAGAGCTTGGCTCAGACTGGAGCTCTCTTTTCTTGGCATTGTGGTAGAACCTGTTGGTGAAGATTCCTGTGTCAGGGTCAGGGTTGGGTTGCCTTGGTGGGAAGATTTAATGGCCGCAGGCCTATTTCCTTAATGACCATTGCCCACTCGGGTCCCTCGCTCCATTTTGATAGATTGGATTTTTCAAGAAATTTGTCCATTTCATCTAAGTCGTCAAATGTGGAATAAGGTTGTTCATAAAGCCCTCTTCTGTGTTGCCTGACTGTAATTTTGTCCCATTGCCTTCCTAATTCTTGGTACCTTTTAAAAAGCCATCTTGCCAAAGAGTTGTCCGTGTTTTATTAGTCTTTTCAAATACCAGCTTTTGGCTGTTCATCTTTTGGTTTGTTTTCCATTTTATTAGTTTGTTTATTGTTTCCTACCTTGTAATTTTTTTTAGCTTAAAAAACCTACTGTTCTTTTTCTAACTTCTTAAATTGAATGCTTAGCTCATTAGTTTCAAGCCATTCTTTTTTGCTAACATAAGCATTTAAGGCTACATGTCACGAGTTTTGATATGTGCAACTTCTATTGCCATTTGGTTCTAGTGGATGGAGTTTTCGAGTTTCCTTCTTTAGCCCATGAGCTGTTTAGAAGTGGGCCTTTTAGTTTGAGTTTGGTTCCACTTTCTTACACTGAGACCAAGGATCATGGTGTGTGTGATTGCCGGGAGGCCAGGGGGTCGTGGTGCCCTCCTGGCCAGCACGAGGTCCATCCACGTCAGTGTGCCTCCTGCGATATACGGGGGCGCTGTTAGTACGGGGTCAGGGTAAAGGGCTAGCACAGGCTCCTCTTATTACATACAGGAGCGAGACAGGTATGCTTGTAGTTCAGTGGTGACCCTGAGTGAGTACCGGATCTCCAAGTGGGGAAATGATCTAGGTCATGTCTCCAGCTTCTCCTAACCATGCCTGTTCCCTCTGCTACAGGGCGACCTGGCCAAGAAGAAGATCTACCCCACCATCTGGTAAGCAACCCTCTCCACCGCCCCAGGGCCCCTTGCCCTCCTCACCTTCCCTGCACTCCCTGCCCTGGTCACAGCCATGCTCTGCCCTCAGGTGGCTGTTCCGGGATGGTCTTCTACCCGAAAACACCTTCGTCGTGGGTTATGCCCGCTCCCGCCTCACAGTGGCTGATATCCGCAAGCAGAGCGAGCCCTTCTTCAAAGTGAGTAACTTCCGGGTTCTCTGAAGGCGGTACCCCCCCCGCCATCCCATTCAAGTGTGTCCTTCCCTCCTCCCACTCTCGCTCTCTGTTCCTCCTCCCCCCAGGCCCTGCCCTTCTCTCCCTGTCCTGATAGAGGGGCAGGGCCATGTTAGGACAGTCACCTGGGGCCACTCATGCCCAGGTATTTCTCATCTTTGCCCTCTGCAAAACCACCCACACCACACTGCAAAACTGACATGGAAAACTCTGCCTACCTGCTCCTGCCACTCCCTTGAAAACAGGAAGGGTGCAGGGAGCCTGAGACCCCTCTTTCCCAGCTCCCCCTCATGTGGACTCACTGTACCCCAGGGCTAGGGGCTGAGAAAGCCTCTTTTAAAGAAAAATTTTAGCCCTGGCTGGTGTGGCTCAGTGGATTGAGCGCCGGCCTGAGAACCAAAGGGTTGCCGGTACGATTCCAAGTATAGGGCACATGCCTGGGTTGCAGGCCAGGTCCCCAGCAGGGGGCACACAAAATGAAACTGCACATTGATACTTCTCTCCCTCTCTTTCTCCCTCTCTTCCCCTCTCTAAAAATAAATAAATAAAATCTTTTAAAAATATATTTAAAAATAAAAAATAAGAGAATTTTTTTAAAGATTTTACTTATTTACTTTTTAGAGAGGCAAAGGGAGGGAGAAAGAGAGGGAGAGGTATCAATTGGTTGCCTCTCACATGCCCCCTACTGAGGACCTGGCCCACAACCCAGGCACATGCCCGGACTGGGAATCAAACCGGTGACCATTCGGTTCACAGACTGGCACTCAGTCTACTGAGCCACACCAGCTGAGGCTGGGAAAGCCTCTTTACTATGGAAATCCTACACATTTGGGTTTTTCTAACACACTGTGGTTTGGTATAATGATTTTAGAGAGAGATTTTCCTCCGGTATGTTTCTCCCAGGTCAAACTTTCCTGAAGTTTGACTTCTGTCTTGGAGCACGAGGTTCCCAGGGGTGATTGTGCCCATCCTGGGTCTGGCCTGGGGCTGCTAGGCCCCATCTCCTGTAGTGGCACATGCCACGTTGGCCTCCCCCTTGAGTGGGAAAAACTGAGAAAACTGACAAAATGGGGGTGAGCCCAGTACGGGGCTAGGATGGCTGACTTCCAAAGGAGCCTGCCCTGGCTGTGGGAAGGACAAAGAAGGACCGACATCCCTGTGTCCATGTTTCCCAGGCCGCCCCAGAGGAGAAGCCCAAGCTGGAAGAGTTCTTTTCCCGCAACTCCTACGTGGCTGGCCAGTATGATCACGCAGCCTCCTATGAGCACCTCAATAACCACGTGAACACCCTCTGCCAGGGATCAGCAGCCAACCGCCTCTTCTACCTGGCCTTGCCCCCCACTGTCTATGAGGCCGTCACCAAGAACATCCGAGAGATCTGCATGAGCCAAACGTAAGACTTTTCTTTTGCCCTTCCTTCCTTCCTGCCTGCCTGCCTCCTTTCTGTGCCCTGCCTTGGTCTGGCCGGCCCTGGCAGCTGTCCATAGCCTCTGGGGCAAACTGGTCTAGGGAATCTGAAAAAGAGGGATGCCCGTTTGTTCACTACGTGAATTAGCTCAAAGAATGGAATAGGTTGTAAATACAGTAGCTTTCTGACGTTCTTGCTGAAAATGCTGCTACACGTATTTACATTTTAAATCCTCGTGTAAAACCCTCACCTGTATTACCGGTATCACTAGAAACCCAACTGTTCCTGGAAGCAGCCCCAATAGCACCACAAGGTGGCAGTATGGCTCCATGAAACTGCCCATTGCTGCTTCTCTGGCTTTCTGGCATTTCCCAAGGTTCCCTTCGTGATCACGAGGTGGTGGTGTCGCTCCACAAGAATCCTGCTGCCTGGGCTTGGGCACTCCATTGTTTTCCCAAAGCTGAAACCATAATCTTTAACTTTGTCCTGGTTTTGAAAGCAGAATACCACGTTAACTCTCAGTGGGGACTAAAAAGATAGGGACGTTTTCCCATTTTAAAACCCACGGAGATAACTGTGCCCGTGATGTCTCCTTCTTCTGCTCCCCGACTTGCCCTGGAGCCACTCCTGTCCCTCCCCCCTGAGGAGAGGTTATTGGGGATGATGAGGTTGAAGCTCCTGCTCCCCAGTGAGGGTGTGGGAGTGACGCGACTCTGGGCTCCTGCAGAGGCTGGAACCGTGTCATTGTGGAGAAGCCCTTTGGGAGAGACCTGCAGAGCTCTGATCGGCTGTCCAACCACATCTCCTCCCTTTTCTGCGAGGACCAGATCTACCGCATCGACCACTACCTGGGCAAGGAGATGGTCCAGAACCTCATGGTGCTGAGGTACAGCTGGGCCGGACAGGGGGTGGGGGGAGTGGGAGGCCTAGCCTGCCCTGCCGCTGCCCTGTCAGATGCAGCACCAGCCTCTGCCCTGCCCCTCCTGCAGGTTTGCCAACAGGATCTTCGGTCCCATCTGGAACAGGGATAATGTCGCCTGTGTCATCCTCACCTTCAAGGAGCCCTTTGGTACTGAAGGTCGCGGGGGCTACTTTGATGAATTTGGGATTATCCGGTAAGAACCCATCTCCTCTTCCTAGGAGACCTGTATGGGCATGGGGCACAGTCCTGCCTCCCTGCAGGGTCACCCTCCCTGTTCTAGGGGACTCCTCCTTCCCGACCCCAAAGTTCAAATTCTGCAGCAGGAGTGTCTGATTAGTCAGTGGTAGCTATGAAGGGAAGGTCACCGTCTCCTTCCTTGCCTTGAGGAGACCTGGCAGACACTGAGGATCAGGAAGCAACCTGTTGCCCAAAAGTCCCACTGAAAGCTCCAGCCTCTAGAACCTGGCCAACAGGGAGGAGGCTAAGGTGGGCTCACTTCTCACACCTTTCTTCCAACCTGGAAGCCCATGACCTGAGTTGTGCCTGCTTTCCTGCCAGGGACGTGATGCAGAACCACCTGCTGCAGATGCTGTGTCTGGTGGCCATGGAGAAGCCGGCCTCCACTGACTCGGACGATGTCCGCGATGAGAAGGTGGGTAGAGCTCCACCCCTCTGGTCCTTGCTACCAGCCCTGAGCAACGGGTGCACTGGACTGGGAGTCAGAATCCCAAGATGTCATGTGGCAGGACTAATGGTGACTGCTGTGACCAAGGGCAGACCCATTGCCTCTTTAAGCCTCAGCTTCAGGAAAAAAATGAGGATGTTTCGGGGAGGCCTTTGGGTCATGTGACTCCTCATGGTCTGCCCCATGCATGGAGCTGCTCCACCTTTTTACCCAAGGGACCCCTCTCTTCCCCCACCTCTGTGCCAGGTCAAGGTGTTGAAATGTATCGCAGAGGCAGAGTTGAAAAACGTGGTCTTGGGCCAGTATGTGGGGAATCCCAACGGAGAGGGTGAGGCCACCAAAGGGTACCTGGATGACCCCACAGTGCCGCATGGGTCCACCACTGCCACCTTCGCGGCTGTTGTCCTCTATGTGGAGAACGAGAGGTGGGATGGTAAGTGATACCTCTGAGCCTGGCAGGCAGGCAGGCTGGCGAGCCCTCGTGGAGCTCTTCTGCATGGGGTCCGACCCGCTCAGGGGCAGCAACCAGCCCACGTGAGACACTGGAAGGAAGAGGGCCAGTAGGGTGGGACCTTGCCACACACGTGCATGCATACACCTTCACTCACACACTCCCTCGCTCGCACCCTCACACGCATGCAGCATGTGGCCTGGTCTGCTAGCAGAGCCTGTTCTGAGGCCAACCTCGCCCCCCCCCCCCGCAGGGGTACCCTTCATCCTGCGCTGTGGCAAAGCTCTGAACGAGCGCAAGGCTGAGGTGCGTTTGCAGTTCCGCGATGTGGCTGGAGACATCTTCCAACAGCAGTGCAAGCGCAACGAGCTGGTGATCCGTGTGCAGCCCAACGAGGCCGTGTACACCAAGATGATGACCAAGAAGCCTGGCATGTTCTTTAACCCCGAGGAGTCAGAGCTGGACCTGACCTATGGTAACAGATACAAGGTGGGTACCCAGCCTGGAGTGGGGCCGGGGGCTCTGGGTGCACAGGTAGCCTCAGGGACACCCTCTCTTGCAGAACGTGAAGCTCCCTGATGCATATGAGCGCCTCATCCTGGATGTCTTCTGTGGGAGCCAGATGCACTTTGTGCGCAGGTGAGGAGGGGACCCATGCCATGTGCAACAGGGGCTAGGCTGGACTCCAGGCAGTGGGGGTGGCCCCTCCCTTCCCCTTCTCCCTCCACGTCCCCACATCCCGCCAAAGATGTAGTGTGTCCCCTCAGTGACGAGCTCCGGGAGGCCTGGCGGATCTTCACACCGCTGCTGCACAAGATCGAACATGAGAAGCCCCAGCCCATCCCCTACGTTTATGGCAGGTGAGGGGGTGGGCAGGGCAGGAGGGATGGGGTGGAGGACATGGGCTGGGGGCTCCCTCATGTCTCTCCTCTGCCTGTCTCTCTCTCAGCCGAGGCCCAGCGGAAGCAGATGAGCTAATGAAGAGAGTGGGTTTCCAGTACGAGGGTACCTACAAGTGGGTGAACCCTCACAAGCTCTAAGCACCAGGCCCTTCCCCACCGCCTGTCTGTCTCCGCCTTCCCCACCTCCCCACTGCCTGACCCCACATCATGAGGACTTTGGGACCATAGGCCTCAACCTCACATTCCTGGCCCCGGCCACAGCTACATTCCTCAACCACCGACACTCGACACTCACACTGTGATCATCCCCGGCCACCGCTGGCCCTGCCTGAGACAGCCTCTGTCTACGGGACTGAGCCCCAGTGGAGGGAAGAAAAAGAGGGGCCCTTCCATTTGTCCTAGGCTCCAGCCTGGGACAGGAGTTAGGGATGAGGTGGAGGATCAGTGGGACAGTGGCCGACCCACACCCCCACTGGCTATGGGCAAGCTCCTCAGAACCTGGGGAAAGGGGGCAAATGTGTCCACACCAGCCTCAGGGCCACTCTACATTCCTGATCTCCTGCTGGAGGGAACTTCCATGCTGCCCAGCAATCCCCCATGTCTTGGGCCCCCTGAACGTCCCTCTGCCCCACCAGGCCAACTCTGCACTCCATGACTCACCCCACCCATGGGTCCCCCCGCTTGCTACTAGAAAAGCAGAAGCAGCAGGTGGGATGCCCCACCTCAGCCCCCACCATTAAATGCACTGACAGACCCACCTGTCCCCTGGTGGTTTTCTTCCTGCCTCCTGTGACCATGAAGGAGGGTGCCTGCACCTGAGGCCAGCCTGCCTGGCAGAGGGGCCTCTGGCCACCTGCCTTTCTCGTGACCTCTCTCTCTCCCCCTCCCTGTCATCCACTTGCTGCTACTGGCTAGGCCAGGACCTGGATGTCCTTCACCCCGACCCTGTGTCCTGTCGTGACCCAGTCCTGCATCGCAGTGCCTCCGGAGCCCCCCTCACCTCTCTGCCTTCATTCTGCTCCTCTCCACAGGATACAAGGATAGACCAAGTTACTTTCACTTTCTGCCCGCATGCTTCACTAAGCACGCTGCCCACATGGATCGCCGCCCTGGCAGTGTTCCTGCCCCAGCCAGGTCACTTCAGGGAATCACTGAGGGCTGTTTGCACACATTGCCATCCCATGGAAGTGAGAAGTATTTAGGAAGGCAAGGCAACAGGATTTTGTGACTAACATCAGATGCTAAGCGGGAGAGGATAGATTAGGGAGGTACCACAGCCTGGCCACTCTGAAGCAAATGGCTGGGGTCCTGAGGTCATGGAGTCTCTGCTTGTATTTGTCCCCCAGAGCCACCGTAACAAAACAGCATTCCCTGGGGGGCTTAAGGCAACTTATTTGTCCTTTCACAGTTCTGGAGGCCAGATGTTTGAAATCAAGGAACGGGCAGGCTGCAGTGCTTCCAAGGCTTTAGGAGGGGCCGTCCTTGTCTCTTCTAGTTTCTGGTGTAGCTGGGGGTTCTTGGCTTGCAGGCGCATCGGTGTCTGCCTTCATCTTCATGCAGCCCTCCCCCTGTATCTGTCTCTGTTTTCTGTTGTTGCCTCCTTACATGGCCTTTCGTTTGTGCTTGGGGTGGGTCAGTTGCGGGGGGGGGGGGGGGGAGGGAGTTATATAGAGAGGAAGATATATTCTCTTTTTTTAAATCTTCACCTGAGGTTATGTTTATTGATTTGAGAGAGAGAAACAGTGATGTGAGAGAAAAATATCTATTGGTTGCCTCCCTATGCACCCCAACTGGGGATTGAACCTGCAACCTAGGAATGTGCCCTGACCAGGAGTCGAACCCACCACCTTTTGGTGTATGGGATGATGCTCCAGCCTACTGAGCAACCTGTCTAGGGCCGTCTTCCTGTTTTCTTTTAAGGAAATCATGTTTGATCATGGGCCCTTCACATTCCAGTGTGACCTCAGCCTAACTTACCTTGATTACCTCTGCAAACACCCTATTTTCAAATAAGGCCCCATTCTAAAGTTCTATGTAGACATGAATTTGAAGCGGGGGGAGACTGTTCAACCCCATATACTCCCAATAAAGGCTGTACCCTTCAGCATCTGTCCCTCCTCCCTGGTGCTCAGCTCAGCTCAGCTGAGCACCAGGGAGGATGGCGGCCACGGGCACTGGCGCCTGCATTCATGGGCCCGGGTTCTGTTAGATGCAGCCAACCAGCAAGAAAATGAACAGATAAAATAATCAGGTGGTGAGTGGTACATTTTCTGAGGGAACAAACCAGTAACCAAGGAAATGGCCAGGGGAGGAAAGCTCCATTCCCAGAGGGGTGAGAGCATGCACTGGAGCCGTGCAGCTGGTAGGGCTCCGTGTTAGAGAACTGTGACCTCAGGCTGTGAGCGAGAGCTCGGCCACCACGGCCCCTCCCTCCAACTTGGCCTGTGGTCCCTTTGTCCCTCACCCCTGCTTGAGAAGGCAATTGCCCAGGGCTTTTCCCTCCAACCATGCTTGGCCTGCCATTGAAAGTCAGCTGTTCTTAGTCCTGCACAGTCCCCCTGGGCTGGGGTGGCAACAGTTGGAAACCCAGTACAGTTTGACAGGTGGAGCAGCAGGCAGGAGGGATGGATGAGCCAAGGGTCCTGCCCGGGCCTCTGCAGAAACAGCCCATAGAAGAGATGAAGGAATTCAAATTGGGGGTTAGCCTGTTGCCATGCCATTAGCTAGGATGGTGCATCCCCCCTCACACACACAAGCATACACACCCCATGTACAAACTGCATCGCCAGACACCGTTCCTGCTCCCCCCATCTACTGTAGCCAGGGGAGGTGGCCCTCCAGGGTGTTGGAGGAGGGAGGTCAAATTCACCTGGACCCCACTGAGTAGGGAAAGGAGATTTATGGGAAAGGACCAAGTCACGAACCCTTGAGTAAAATGACTTTCCAAGACTGAATGTGGACGTCATGGTCCCTTCTAACCCAGGTCCGCACCGGGCACCTGAGAAGGCTCCATGTGGACAGGCTTTGGCTGGGGGACTGTGGCCTTGGTCCTCACTGCTGTGGTCTGGAGAAGGGGCAGCGGGGCCAGCCTCGGGACCCAGGCTCCCTGTAACACTTTGGCTCCAGGGGGCTACAGAGAGACTTACCCTTGACTCTTGAGGTGCAACCACATGGCTACCATGGGGACAGGCGAGGGTTTGCAAAAGGCCCAGGAAGACACAGCAACGGATCCCCAGGTGGGCGACCTGAATGGTACAGAGCCAGTCGAGGGAGCAGCCACACCTTCCCCCTGCTTACCACTGGAGGGCGCCATCCCCTTGCCTGATCCCACAGGGGTCTTCATGCTCAGAGCCCTTTCAAAGAGCTCCCCTTCCAACCCAGCACAGAAATTTACAGGTTGGGGGGGACCTAGCAGAGCTGTGTGCTGGGTGTAATCCTCCCAGATCTCCCGGTCCCCTGGGAAACCTGCTGGCACGGCATCACCAAGGGGAACACTCCCAAAAGTGTGGGAGGATCCAGATAGGGGCGGCAGGAGCCTGAGGTGGAGGAGGCACCCAACTCCTCCCGGGCCCCAGCATATGATGACCATGTGTGAGCAGGAAGGAAGGACAATAGGAACCTCTCCGTCTGATTCTGCTCCGAGCGTCTCCACTGTGACAGAGACATGAGGGCCCAAGAGAGGGCAATCAACTGGCACTTGAGATGTGAGTGTTACACTGAAGCATAGATGTGAGGACCCTGGTGAGGATACTCAACTGTCACCTGACCTCTGGGTGCCTATGAGGGAGAAAGAGGTGAAAGCCCTGGTGAGGACTGTCCTCTCATTTCAGCTCTAGGAGCCTGCAATGGGGAAGAAGCATGAGGCCCCAGTTTCAGAAATTCAGCTGTTACCTCCAGTCTGGGTACCTACAATGAGACACATGCATGAGGGACCGGTGAAGACAGTCATTCAACTGTCACCTCATCTCTGGGTGAATACATTCTGACACAGAGCTCAGGGCCTCACTGAATTGAGTCAAATGTCACCTCAGCTCTGGAGCCCTACAATGGGAAACAGATGACAGGCCTGGTGAGGAGGCATCTGTCACCCAGTGTGCTTACACTGGGGCAGATCCAACAGGTCTCAGATGAGGAAAAACACCTGTCACCTGCGCTCTGGGTGGCAACATTAATGCTGAGGTATAAAGGTTTTCAACTGGCACCAAATCTCTACAATGGGACAAAGCAGGAGGGCCATGCGAGGACAGCCAACAGTTCCCTCAGCTCTAGTGCCTACACTGGGGTAGAGGCATTGGGTCCAGGTTTTAGCATTCAACTAACATTTAACTTCTGGATGCCTAGACTAAGGTGAGGTTTAATGGCCCAAGAGTGGACAGCCACCTTTCACAGCGCTTTTTTTCAAAAAGATTTTATTTATTTTTAGGCAGATGGGAAGGGAAGAAATGAGGGGTTACCGTGTCCCACACAGAGTCCCCCCGGGGGGGGGCTGCAGATGGAGAAAAATAAAATAAGTCTTTCCAGACACTTCTCGGTCTGCCAGGGAAGGAGGGCGGTGATTCCCTCTAGTGGAGAATGCCCTGACCCCTCTCTTTAAGTGGCTTTTATTGAGAACAATATGCACAGGGGTATACAGCAAAGCTCATCAATCAATGTCAAAAGGCTCTGATTGAAGGAACTCAGAGATTTGCCTCAGGTCAGGGTCTGGTAGACAGGGTAGCTCCCACTCAGCCCTGAAACCTGGGAAACTGATCGCATTCTGTGCTCAACCCCAAACATCAGTACTTATTAACTCGAGGGCATTCTTAGCAAAGTAAATTTCATAGGATTTAATGCATTCCTTTTCCAGGCCTAATTGTTCCCAGGAACTGCCTGATCCAGTTTAGGGCTGTACCTCCCTCTAGCATTGTTTCACTGACCCGGTCAGGCGGCGGGCAGAGCAGCCAAGGGATAAGGAGCCTTCTTTCAGGTAGAGTGAGGACTCTGGCCATGACAAAGCCGAGGGGGGAGGGTCTCCGTGTCCCCCAAGTCCTTCCCTGATGGCCCCCGTGCAACTGTGCCTGTCTTAGGTTGCTCCTCAAGGGGTCTTACTCGTCATTGTTCAGCCATCCTCTGGGGCCAAGCAGGGTGATGTGAGGGAGGCAGAGGCTGCCCCCCTGCCAGAGGGACAGGTTTTGTCTCCTCAGTGGCCTATTTTCCCAAGGCCTCCTTGCTCAGCTCCTGCCTTGGGGCCTTTTCACCTGTCGGCGAGGATACAGTCCCTGAAACCAGGCAGGGCAGTTCCCAACAAAGAAAAGAGGGAGAGAAGCATTGATATGTGAGAGATGCGTCAACTGGCTGCCTCTCACATGCCCCCAACCAGGGACCTGGCCCGCAAACCAGGCATGTGCCCTGACTGGGAATCAAACCAGGGACCCTTTGGTTCACAGGCTGGTGCTTAATCCACTGAACCACACCAGCCAGGGTGAGTGGTGTTGTCTTTTTTTAAATTGATTTTAGAGAGAGGAAGGGGAAGAGAAAGAGAAAAACATCAATTTGTTGTTCCACTTATTGATTCATTGGTTGCTTCTTGTATATGCCCTGACCGTGGATCGAACCCACAACCTTGGCATATTGGGTCGACGCTCTAACCAACTGGGCTATCTGGCCAGGGCCCCACATCAGCTCTTGATGCCTAACCTCAAGTAAAGGCATGAGGGACAGAGGAGGGTATTCAACTGTTACCTCAAATATGGATCCCTACCCTGAGGCAGAGCACAAGGACCCAAGACACAACACACAAGTAACACTTCAGTGATGGAGCTACACTGGGGCACACATAAGGGCACTTAAATGTCACCTCAGCCCTGTGTAGCTACTACACAAGTCAGAGACATTAGGGCCCAGGTGACAGTATCAACAACTGAAAGCCCAGATATTGATATTTATGCCAGACAGGAGAATGAGGGACTAGATAGAGCCCATAAAAGCATCCATGATCACTTTACACTGGGTGCCTGCACATGAGGGCCCACATGGAAACAGTCAACTGAAAGCACAAATTTTGGTGCTTACACAGGAAAGGGGAGTGAAGGACCATTAAGGTGATTCAGCTCTCACTTCAGCTCTGGGTGCCTACTCTGGGTAGAGGCAGGAGGTACTTGCACTGGGACAGAAGCACAAGGCACATATGATTATCATCAACCGACCATGCAATGGTCGGTGTCAACGCTGAGAGAAGGGAAAGAGGGATCAGTTGGTGGTATCAGCTGTCACCTCAGGTCTGGGTGCCTACGCAGAGGCAAGGACATGAGGACCCAAGGAAAAACAGTCATCTGGGACCGTAATTATGGGAGCTACACTGGGACACAACCAAGAGGGCCCAGAAAAGAAATTCTCTGCCACCTCATGCTGGTTGCCTGTACTGGAGCAGGGACATGAGGACCTGTGACATAACAGTCTAATCCTCTCTATGTTTCCAGTGAAAAACAGTCCCAGAGAGGGACTTCCGATCAAGATGGTGGCACAGGCAGACATGGCTCTCCTCTTCGCACAACCACATCAATATTACAACAAAAATGTAGAACAACAATCACTCAGAACAGACAGAAATTGAATTGAATGAACATCTGACAACTATGGAATTAAAGAAACCACATCCATCCAGACTGGTAGGAGGGTCACACATGCAGATGAAGCTGGTCCCACACCCATGTATGGTGGGTGAAAATTTGGGAGGGACATCTAGGGAGCGAGGAGTCCCAGTCCCACACCGGGCCCCCCAGCCCAGGGCTCCAGTGCCAGGAAGGTAAGTCCCCACAACTTCTCGCCTCAAAAACCAGTGGGGACTGAATCAGTGGACAAAACTTCTGGAGCCCCAAGCAGTTTCTCTTAAAGATCCCACACACGGACTCACCTACTCAGACTCACTCCCTCTGGACTCCAGCACTGGGGTAGCAGCTTGAAAGGCACCAGTGGCATAGCGGGAGACACTGAAGTGTCTGGCATCGAGGTGAACAGAGGCCATTGTCCCTTTTCTAAACCACACCCTCCACCAGAGCCACAGAGCCAGAAAGTTGGTGCCATCTCTGAAACGCCATCCACCTGGCAAACACTGTTTAACCTGCCCTGGAGATCCCCAGAGACTCCGCCCCAGCCACCTCATGGGCCCACCCAAGCTGCTTTTCCGTTTGAATGGCTGGTCTCTGCTCCTGCTGCACAGCTTCCTAAATCCTCCCAAACAAGCAACAGCTGGCCTCAGTGAGCCCCAGGCCAGCACTAGCAGCAGCCAGCCTAGTTGCACAGCTTGGCTTTGCCTGGGAATCTCTAAGCCCTGCACAAGTAGCAGCCATCTCAGATAGCTTTATAGATCAGGCAGGGTGCCCCCGGGCAAAACACAGGTGGGGGCTGAATTTGGCCTGTACCACCCAGGAAACCCCAGGGCCAGCGCACCCAGGGGACAGCTACAGACCACGTTTGGAGCACCCCCACTCTGCCCCTGCACAGCTGATCCTCCACACAGGGCAGAGGTTGGTGGTCAGTGGTCACAGCCAGTCCTTGCAACTGATTGACCTGAGTAAATCCCTCCCATTGAGCTGCCAACAGCAACCAAGGCTCAACTACAAGAGGAGGGTGTAGTCAGCCCACACAATGGGTGCACCTCAAGTACCCAGCTTGGGTGATAGGGGAGGCTGTGCCACTGGACCCTACAGGACACGAATTATATTAGGCCACACCACCAAGACAGGGAGTCAAAGCAGCTCTACCTAATACATACAAACAAGCACAGGGAGGAGACAAAGAAACATGGTCCAAATGAGGAGACAAAGAAACATGGTCTGAATGAAAGAACAGATCAAAACCCCAGAAAAAGAACTAAATATAATGAAGAGAAGTGATCTACCAGATGCAGAGTTCAAAACTCTGGTTATTAGGATGCTCAAGGAACTCATTGGTACTTCAGCAGCATAAAAGAGACCCAGGCAGAAATAAAGGTTACACTAATTGAAATAAAGAAAAATTTACAGGGAATCAACAATGAATTGGATGAAGCTGAGATTCAAATCATCGATTTGGAACATAAGGAAGAAAAAAACATTCAATCGGAACAGAAAGAAGAAAAAGAAATTCAAAAAAATGAGGATAGCCTAAGGAGCCTCTGGGACAACTTCAAACATGCCAACATTTGAATCATAGGGGTGCTGGAAGGAGAAGAGAAAGAGCAAGAAATTGAAAACTTATATGAAAAAATAATGAAAGAAAACTTCCCTAATTTGGTGAAGAAAATAGACATGCAAGTCCAGGAAGTACAGAGAGTCCCAATCAACATGGACACAAAGAGGCCCACACCAAAACATATCATAATTAAAATGCCAAAGGTTAAAGATAAGGAGAGAATCTTAATAGCAAGAGAAGAGAGTTATGTACAAGGTGTTCCCGTAAGACTGTCAGCTGATTTCTCAAAGGAAACTTTGCAGCTTCATTGTCCCTGGCTAGTGGCATTCTGGTGTTTTCTCTCATGTACTCCTCTCTAGCTCCATGTTTCTAAAAAACAGACAATAAATCAACTTTAAAACAAATTCTGCCCTGGCTGGTGTGGCTCAGTGGATTGAGAGCCCCCCGGCAAACTGCAAGGTCGCTGGTTGATTCCCAAGTCAGGGCACAGGCCTGTGTTGCGGACCAGGTCCCCAGTAGGGGGCGTATGAGAGGCAAGCAATCGACGTCTCTATCTCTTGCACGTCGATGTTTCTCTCTCTTTCTCCCTCCCTTCCCCTCTCTCTAAAAATCAGTAAATAATATCCTGAGGGGAGAAAAACAATTTTTTTCTTTTTTTTCTTTTTTTATTGTTGTTCAAGTACAGTTGTCTCCATTTTTCCCTCCACCAACAATTTCTAATTACGTCCCCGGATCCATCTGCCTTTTCCTGGGCTTCAGAAATCCGACTGCAGAGCACCAGCGTAGCCCCACCACTCGAAGTCTAGGAAGCTGGAATCTCCCACGAAAGAGGAGTCTGGTAGGAGACTTCTGGGGCGGAGCATATTTAAAGTTAGTGTCGGGGCGGGGCGGGACTGGCGCGGGCCAGTCCCACGCGGTGGCAAGAGCAAATGGTGGAGGCGGGACTGTGGGCGGCGCTTCGCAGGGCCAGGGGCGGGGCCTCTGCTGCTTTCCTCACCCAAACCTGGCAACAGAGATGCAAAGCCCCAGCCGAAGGCGGGGGTGTCGTCTGCGGGCTGTGGCCCCGCCCCGAGCCGCCATTGCCAGGCCTGTGTTACCGCGCTGCCACTGCTCTCGGTCCTTTCGCTGAGCAGAGGGGGGCGATCGGCCTGATAGGGCTGCCCCCAACTGAACTCGCATCTCCCCACGGATAGGCAACTCTCCGGCCGGCCCAACCCGCGTCGGTGGCCCCTGGGCCCCGAGGGGCAGCCTGAGCTCGGGGCCTCCCACAAGAGGGACCTGCGCCCAGGAGAACCCAATCTCAGAGGCTCCCGTGGGCACGATCAGCCTCGCACCTACGGGTTTCTGAGACCTCTTCCTGTGCCTACAGTGCTTCTTTCCGCGTTCCCGAGGAGCCTGGTCAGGTGGTTGGACGAACAAGTCGGTGCGCCGATCGCCCCCGTACCCGCAGCACTGGCTTATCCCTGACCCCCTACCCAAACCTGCTCTTCTGCTTTGTTGCTTCCAGAGCGCACGGTCCCCAAACAGTACATCTGCCGGCGGCCCCGACCCAGCGGGAGAAGTGGACATGAGGTTGGCAGGTGGGTGGCTTCCACAGTGAACGGGAGGAAGTTGGAAAGGGGACCCGGCTGGAGGCCCAGGTAACCACAGGTCTGTGTCTGGAGGGGCCCAGGTGGACCGCTAGGTTAGCCTTTGGAAACGGCGGACTGTGCACAAGCAGTCATAAATGACCTTGAACAAATCCTTTCACTTCCGAGGATTTCAGCTCTCCGAGCTGTGAGATGAGGACTAGGGTAGTGAATTTCTACCAGCTCGGGTAACTGGACGCTGTTTGAAAAATGAGTTGTGAAAGAGAGGTTCCAGGGGACTATGGGGGCTGGGTGGAGAGGCAGTAGTCTTAAAAGAAAAACTGACCAACTGTGAATTTCTCAGTTGGCTGTGAATTTCTCAGTTGGACAACAAAGATAAAGATGGATTGGGGAGGGACAGCTTGGGGGTTGAAGAATAGAACTGAAGAGTTGGAGTTCAGACCTGCTAAGGTTGCACTGTTATGAATGTATTCCGGTGGAGCCGGCCAGTGAGGAACTGGCTAGGGGAGTGTAGCCTCAAGGCTAGGGCAGGAAAATAGAGGGCCACTGCTCCCTGAGGGGTGAATTCAAGCCGGGAGTAGATGAGAGAACCTATGAGGAGGGTAGGGGAAGGAGAATAGAGTATAGGCAGAGAAGGCAGCCTGGGACAGAAGCCAGGGAAAGTCTAGCTTTTCAGGGGAGGGTAGAGGAGGACGATCTAAGCAAGGAGAATGAGGAGCATCTAGACAGGGTCAGAGTATGTTGTTCTGGGCAGTCAACTGAAAGGGGTCAAGGAAGATCAGGGCTGGTGGGTGACCTGGGGAGCTGACACCAGGAAGGTCATAAGTAGCCTTGGCAACAAGATGTTTTTTCAAAAATCCTCACCCGAGGATATGTTTATTGATTTTTAGAGAGAGAGGAAGGGAGAGAGAAAAGCATCCATGTGACAGAGAAGTATCTCGGTTGCCTTCCGTACATGCCCCATCCAGGGTTCAAACCCACAGCCTAGGTATATGCTCTGACCTAGAGTCGAACCCACAACCTTTTGGTGTACGTGACAGTGCTCCAAACAACTGAGCCACCCGGCCAGGGCGGCAAGAAACTGTTTTGGTGGGGTTATGGAGGCAAGGCCAGATTGGAATAGGCTGTGAGAGAGTGGAAGACCCCCTCTATGGAAAGAGCCAGTGTAGATGTTTTGAAGGAGCTGATGGGGAAGAGGAAGGATGGAGACAGAGGGAGATCGGCGGTTCAGTGGGATGTGATTCTCAAGGAGGGCTTTTCTTTCTGTGCTTTCTTTTAAAGTATATTTTATTTATTTACTTTTAGAGAAAGAGAGGGAGAGAAACATCAATAACATCGATCTGTTGCCTCCAACCAGGGACCTGGCCTGCAGCCCAGGCATGTGCCCTGACGGAATCAAACTGGCGACTTTTCTGTTCATGGGATGATGCCCAACCCACCGAGCCACACCAGTCAGGACTTCTATGCTTTGTTATGAGGAAAGGTCACATTTGAAAATAGAAGAGAAAGACTGAGACTGAATGGCTGATACAAGAAACTTGAGCAGGGAGGAGAGCTCGGGGTCCAAGTCGTAGCAGGTGAAGGGGCTGGTCTTCAAAAAGAGTAGGGACCTCTTCTGTCATAACTGGAAAAAAGAGGATATAATAGGTGGAACACAAATATCGGCAGCCTCAGAGGGAAGAAGTTAGGAGGTTCCTGGGGGAGTGCTGGAGCCCCCTTGAGCAGTGAATTCTGGAAGGCCCCTCCACGTGTGCCAGGGAGAACCCGGCTGGTGTGGCTCTTTGGATTGAGTGCCAGCCTGTGAACCAAAGGGTCACTGGTTTCATTACCAATCAGGGCAGGGTTGCGGGCCAGGTCCCCAGTAAGATGCACACAAGAGGCAACCACACATTGATGTTTCTCTCTCCCTCCCTTCCCCTCTCTCTTAAAAAAAGGGGGGGGGGCAGAACTCATTTCCTCCTCTCCTTCCACCTGCCAGGAGCTTGAATCAAAACCTTGTATCCCGCCTGGTGGATGACAACAGGTCTCCACCTTCATTTCCTCTGGTCGCTTCTTCCAAAATGGATGGGGAGATCCAGTCATAAGAGGACCTAGGGCCTTTTGGGAACTCACTGGCCTTCTCTTGTCTGTCCTGCCTCCAGGCCCCCTCCGCATCGTTGTCCTGGTTGCGACTGTTGGCCTCACCTGGATCGTAGTCAGCATCCTCCTGGGTGGGCCTGGCAGTGGCTTTCCTCGCATCCAGCAGCTCTTCACCAGTGAGTGTGAGACTCTTCCTCTCCCCACCACGGAGGTCCCCAGGGCAGTCACCTGGGTCTGTGGGCTGAGGTTCAGGGTGAGGGTGGGGGAAGCCTGGGTTTTCTTGCCCTTCCTGGAAGGCCCCCTCTAGCTGCCCTCAGTCTGTCTCCTGGCATCCAATGCAGCTGGGAAGTTGCTTTGGCTGGGAAGCCAATCCCTGCTGATTAGAATGCTGAGCCCATGTGGATTGGGTGGGACTTAAGTGAGAGGCAGGGGAACTTCTGCTGAACTTTGGGGTTGACACCCTGGTTGCTCCCTGCAGGCTTTCCACTGAGCTTTGAGATGGGGAGGAGACTCTACACCTTGTCTCTGGTGTTGGGTCACCTGAGTACTTTCTACAATTCCAGTTTACCCTCTTCGTGGATCAGGGAGCTTTGCGTAGGAACATCATTTAGACTTCAGCAGGAGCATGGCACGATCAGCCTGGCTTAGCCCTCAGCCTCTGAGCCTGCTGCCCCACCACCTTGCCTGCAAGGCGCAGGGCCAGGCTGCCCTGCCGCAGGCCCTAGGAGGCCTCTACACTAACAGAAACAACTCTCTGTGCCCACAGGCCCAGAGAACTCAGTGACCGCAGGTAAGGCTCCTGTCGTACCCCTTGCTCCTCCTCTGGGCCTGCCCCTCATACTGTTTATGTGATACCCCTGCCTGTCCCCAGTTCTCCAGGGTTTCTATCCTCCATTTATCTGTCCCCAGACTAGATCACACAGCCTGCTGCAGCTGCTTGCATGTGTGAACCTAAAAAACAAGTTACCCACTTCCAGAATACTCTGGTAGGACAGGCAGGGGATAGACATACCCATTCCAAAATGGAGATATTGGAAGAAATAAAGGAGCCACCAGTTTCAAACAAGTCCAAAACCCAGCAGGGAAAATGCCGTTAGGTTTCAAGGCCCCAGAAGAATCTTCTGGGGCCCAATGCTCTGTCCTCTGGGCCCCCTAGTCGGTGGGGGGGGATCTGAAAAGGAGGAGATGGTCCTGCCCTCTGGTCCTGGGTTATCTCTGGCCTCAGCAGCCACCCTCTGTCCATTGAATCATCCTTCCTTCCATCCTTTCTCTGTCCCTTTCAGTTCAGGCTGGCAGTGTTTCTGCTGTTATAAAATTCTCAAAAAACCTTGTTGGTCCCCTGTACAATTCATGAGGGTCTAAGCTATAGGACAGTAGGGTCCTCCAGATCTTTCTTGGGTAACCCCATCTCTATTCCTGGCTTCTGCTGACATGGCTGAGTGGATCCATAAGTCACACACCTCGGCTTTTTGGAGAAGAGTTGTTTGGCCACGCCCTTGGTGTTCTCTCCAGGGCATGCTTTCTTATTGTTCGCAATATGATTAGGCTGAAAATTCCCCATATCTTCATGTTCTGGTTCCTTTATGCTTAACGATTCCTTTCTCACTGTACTCACTCCTTTCACATTTTACTATGAGACGGTTCCAGGGAAGACAGGCCCTGCCCTCAACGCTTTACTTGGAAATCTCAACGAAATACCCAAGTTCAGCATTTACAAGTTCTACCTTCCCCCAAAACACTAGAACACAATTTGGCCAAGTTCTTTGTCACTTTATGACAAGGATGGCCTTGCCTCCAGCGTCCAATAACATGTTCCCCACTTCCATCTGAGATCTCACCAAAACAGCCTTCATAGCATTCACACTTCTGGCAACGTTCTGGTCATCATCACATGTGTATTCCCCAAAACGATAGAAGTTTTCTCTATTGCTCTTCTCTCTCGCTGAGCCCTCACAACAGTCCCCTTTAATGTCAACATTTCTGCTAATAGTCTCTTCAAGGCAATCAAGGCCTTTTCTAACACGCAGCTCAAAAGTCTACAGCTTCTGCACATCACTCAGTTCCAAAGCCATGTCCACATTTCCAGGGATTTGTTACAGTAGCACTCCACTTCCTGGGGTCAAAATACGAATCAATTTCCTGGGGCGGCCTTACCCTCTGCAGACTCTAGGGGAGGATCCTTGCTGCCTCTTCCAGCTTCTGGTGGCCCCTGTTGTTCCTTGGCTCGTGGTCACATCATTCCAGTGTCTGCCTTCATCTTCACATGGCCTTCTCCTCCATGTCTGTGTCTTCTCTTCTGTGTCTTATAAGGACACTTCTCATTGGAGTGAGGGCCACCCTATTCTTACTCTAAGATGATCTCATCTTAATGAATTATATCTTCAATGACCCTGTTTCCAAAAAGGGTAACATTATGAGATAGTGCGAGTTAGAATTTCAACAAATCTTCCGTGGGGACACGATGCAATCTGTGGCAGAGGCTGTCTTCCTCCTGTCCTTCCACCTCCGCCCTGCGGGAACCGGGTGCTCTCTTTGTTACTGCTTTCCTGCGGTCTGTTCTGGCCCAGCTCTCATCCATGCAGTTGCCCTCCCATTTGCTCCTTTCTCTCCTCTGACCAGTGGCAGAAAAGCTTCCCTGGGGTCCCTGTCACCTTGCCCTGAGGCCAGCCCCAGCAGATGCACAATGTCAATGGAAATGTCCCTGGCCTGAACAATGGTCCCTCCCTGCACTGGTCCTCTGCTCTGTGACCACTTATTCCTCCCTACGGGCTGGTCCTGACCTCCCCCTCCCAGACTTCGAGTGACCGCAGGGCCAGGCCCATGGGTCATCCCTGCTGTCCCCACCCAGAGCCGCGGGCCAGGAAGTATAAGTGTGGCCTGCCCCAGCCATGTCCTGAAGAGCACCTGGCCTTCCGCATGGTCAGCGGGGCTGCCAACGTCATCGGACCCAAGATCTGCCTCGAAGACAAGATGTGAGCTCCTTGGGGAGTACGGGTGGGGTGGGGTGGGGAAGGGGATGGGTGACTGGAAGCTGGGTCTGCAAGGGCAGGTGAGCAGAGCAGACGTGCCACTTGAGAGCTGTCTCCTTGCTAGGCTCATGAGCAGTGTCAAGGACAATGTGGGCCGCGGACTGAACATTGCCCTGGTGAATGGTGAGTTCCCTGTGATGTGCGGTCAGAGTTTGGTTCAGGAAAGTGGGACCCTGCTGTGACCTTCCCCACCCCTTCCCCACAAGGAGGAGGCATCTGGGCGTTTGTCTTGGCCCGCCCTTCCCCTCCAGAATTCCCAGGGAGGGGTGGAAGGGGTCCGTGCGAGCTCAAGTCTCCACAGAAGTGATTCAATGAACAAAAGCATGGTAGCTGTAAGGAATGAGAAGTTTCCAGGAAGTCGAAAGGTGCTTTGAGTCCCCCTGGAGGGACTCAAATGCCAGGCAGAAGCCCTGCAGCCTTGGGTGGGCCGCAGCTGTCTGAATAAGGGGCACAGTTGGCATGAATATGGGGGGATATTTGAAAACTTCCAGAGGGGCTGCACCCAGGGGCCATGCCATGTCGTGAGCCCGGTCTGGGAGGACTGAGGTGGGAGGGCGGAATTGCCCTGGCAGCTTGCCCAGCGAGATCCCCATCCTCCCTCTTGACTCAGGGGTCAGCGGTGAGCTCATCGAGGCCCGGGCCTTCGACATGTGGGCAGGAGGTGAGTGGCTGCCATGGCCTCCCACATCTTGACTGTACAGCAGAATGACTGGGTGTCCTTCCCCTGAAACACTGCTCTTTCTCTGTCCATTTGCTGGGGGCTTCTCGAGTTCTTCCTTGGGTTCAGAAAAGGCAGGGGAAGGACAGGCATGTGGTCATGGGGAGTGCCCTGGCCAGTTTGTCCCTGTACCCACTCAGTGACCCTTAATGGGGTGTGTACCTGGCCTGATCCCTGCTTTAAGTGTCCTTGTTTGGAGAACGGGTTGGTGGGGAAGGGATGCTCAGTGGTGCCTGCTGCTGCATGTTCGGTGGAACCTGTGCTCCCAGATGTCAACGAGCTACTGAAGTTTATTCGGCCACTGCATGAAGGCACTCTGGTGTTCGTGGCATCCTATGACGACCCAGCCACCAAGTAAGTGATTGCCTACGCCAGCCTCAGCCTCACCCTCCTATGGCGACAGCTCACATCTCTTCCTTCTTGTGCGGCAGGATGAATGAAGAGACTAGGAAGCTTTTCAGCGATCTGGGCAGCAAGAACGTCAAGGACCTGGCCTTTCGGGACAGCTGGGTGTTTGTGGGGGCCAAGGGTGTGCAGAACAAGAGCCCCTTCGAACAGGTATGGGTGGCAAGCCTGGCCCCTCCGCTTCCCAGCTCAGGGCGGCTGGCCTGGCCCTCCCGCCTGCCTCCTGTGAGGTCCCCTTCTGTTCGTGCTGCAGCCTTCCCTGAATTCTGCCCCAGCATCCCCGCCTGAGGCAGCCCTAGCCCCCTCCCAGTCTGCCCAGGGAGGACAGCAACTTTGACAGTCCTTGTCGTGTATGGATTTCACCCTAAAGGGTCTTTACATGGCAAAGCTTTCACACTGGCAAGACTCATAAATAAGAAACTTTCCTCCCAAACATCTTCAAGATGTTTGGTCCCGTCCCGTCCTCCCAAAACCTAATACCCCGATTCACATTGTGTGCCCTTCCCCCACCAGCCCTGGCTGCCGTCTGGCCAAATGCTCCTCTGGGGCCCCATGTGTCAGGTCCCATGTCAGGGCCTGGTGAGCCCCAGATGTGATCCTCATCTGTGGGAGGCTCTGAGCTCTGGGAAAGCCACGTTGTCCCCAAGCCCCGCTCCCCACAGCAGGACAAGAACAACAGGCTGTTTCACTGGTGTCTGGAAGGTCCTGGCTGTCGAAAGAACAGCTTAACCCCCAGAGAAGACACACCCCTGCTGCCCTTGGTCTTCTCGTAGCTTCCAGCAGCTCCGTGTGGGCTGGGTAAAGGCAGAGACAGACAGACTCCCTCCTTACCTTCCCAGCGTGTGCCCGGCCCACACAAGTGCAGAGAAGTTGACCCCCCTCACTCCACCAGTGCGGGGGCCAGTGCAGCCATCGTTATCTTTAGATGAGAAAATCAAGGTGCTGGGACAGAGAGAGGGGGCGAGTGCCTTGAGAATGCACGGTTGGTTGACAACACCGCAAGGGGACTGAGAGTTCTGTGTCTCCTGTGCCTGAGGCTGAGGCTGTGACTTCCTGCTCCCCGACCCCGCAGCACGTGAAGAACAGTAGGCACACCAATAAGTACGAAGGCTGGCCTGAGGCGCTGGAGATGGAAGGCTGCATTCCTAGGAAAACCACGGCCAGCTAGCCAACTGGGCCCAACGACCAGGCTGAGGGAAGCTGCGTGTGCCCGGCCCAGGAGGAGGCGGCAGCAGAGCCAGCGCAGGGCTGAGTCCCAACCCCACACCTGGCCAGGAGTGTTCTCTCGCTTCAACACGTCAGGGCTCCAAGGCGGTGACCAGTGTGTGATTGGTGGCGGGGACTGCAATAGCCAGCCTCATCGTGGTTTGTCAGGGGAGCCCAGGTACCCATCTCCTTCCCTTCATAAGGCTGCTTTCCCTAGTCAGCTCCCACCTAATTCCCAAGTGCCCTCAGGCACAAGGCCCTGGGTGCTTGGCACCTCACGGCTGGTTGGGCATCGACCAGAACCTCTGCCCCAGAGCCGCTCGCTGCTCGGCAGGCTAGTCCTGTTTCCAATGCGATTCCTTCTGGCGACTGTGGCAAGGGACCTGGCTGCCTCTTGCCCCATTCTCTGCAGGAAGGGGCCGCCCTAGAGCCTGGCTGGCGGGATGGTAAGGTAGTTATTCTGGTCACGGTCCCTACTGCAATGCAAGGCAGCTCCTGCAGTTTGTCAGAGGGCCTGCCTTCTAGATGACCTCTTAATAAATTGGTGCCCCACAGTGGAACGAAGTGCATTCAGCACAGAGTCGGAAGTGATGTTGTCCTTAGGGGAAGGGACATGTCCCGACCTACCCCTGCAGCCTTTGTCTCCAAGACTCCTGCCACAGACAGGTCCTGCTATGACTGAGCTGCGACTCCCCGTATCCCTGCCTGGGAAAGACAGTTCTGCCCTCCTGGGGCTGCGGGAAACCCACGGACTCCCTCCGACACAGCACAGACCTGTAGGGACTCAAATGGGGATTAGAAGCAGCCCAGGTGCCCCGCCACTACACCCGGCCTCCCTGAGAACTAGTGTGTCTCTCCAATGCACTCAACTTTGGGTGCCTTTGAAATCAGGGCTGCGAAGGGCAGAGTTGCATGGCCTACTTGTCATTTCTCACAGATTTGTTGTATTTCCCTTCATTGAGTGAGAGCCAGCAAGAAACTCGGGAGTTTTGCTGAGATGCCACATCTGGGGGGGCACGGAAGTGGTCTGAGTCAGAAAAAGGAGAAGGCATTTTGGACTCCCTAGATGGGAGGAACTGGGGCACCAGCCAGTCAGCGTCAAGGGGGGCCACGGCAGAGACGATGGACTGTCCTGGAGGTGGGCTCCCTGAGCCTCTGCCTTCTAGGATTTCACTGTGGCCGGAGTGAGAGGCCCGGGGACAGCACAGGAAGAAGAGGCTTTGGTTGTGACACCAGGACTGGGAAGGGTCAGGGAAGTAGAGACTCAAGGAAGGCCCAGATGCTTGCGCAGGAGACGGTGATCATGGACGCTGACACCCAGCCAGACCCTGCGGCAAGCACTTTTATGTGTATTCATTTCTTAGTAGACTTTCTTTTGTAGAGAGCTTTAGGCTCACGGCAAAGTTGAGCAGAAAGTACAGAGTTCATTTTCACGTACATACCCACTGACACATCATCACCGAAGGCTCAAAGTTGACATTAGGGTTCCCTCTTGTGTGGTAGTCTGGGTTTGACAAATATATATAATGATGTGTATCTACCATTATAGTATACATGTATTCATTTTGTAAACCTTTTATTATAGAAATTTTCAAAGGTCCCCCCAAAGCATTGAGAAGAGAATACATGAACCCCAGTGTACCCACCGGGGCTACCACAGCGATCAAATGAAAGGGAACCTCACTGAAGGTCCGTACTGCAAGGCCGGGAGGTGTGTGGACCCCCTGTGCCTCTCAAACAACTGCTGTGACTGGCCGACCTTCCTCAAACATTCACCAAATGCCTTTCCCCGCACCAGGCACTGCACATGCCATGAATGAGGGCTTACACCCCAGTGACAGCTAACTCAGTGGGCTATGCCTTCACAGGGGGGTCACCAGTCACACAGAAAGAGCAGGCCCACTTGGCCTCACAGGCTAGAGGCTTGTGTGGAGTACGCCTGCCCGACTTTCCAAAGGAGATCTCCAGCTTTACCCTGCGGTCTTCCTCAGCCCCACCCTTTAGGAGTTACAACTTCCTCAGTTACAAGTACCAAAATCCCAACTCAAACTGGCATAAGCAAAAATAAGTAATGACAGGAGGGAGACTTACTGTCCCTGTAACGGACCCCAACGCCCACAGGTGACTCTAGCACTAATAATGTCATCAGGACACGGGCTCCGTCCATCTCTCGGCGCTGCTTTTCTCTGTGTTTGATTCCTTCTCAAACATGCTGTCTCCCCCAAGGAGGGGGGAAAAAGACCTCCCACCTTCCCAATAGATCCAGTACTTGACACTGGGGACTAAGTCTCATAGGTCCAGACTGGATTATGGGTTTGTCTTTGCACCAGTCTGTGTGGCTCTGCTTGGCTGTACCTGGGCACGTGTCTAGCCCAGAGGCCAGTGTTGGCGTCATCCACATGCAAACCTTGTGTACTGGGAGTGGAGAGATGGTTCCCCCAAAGGAAACTGAGGTGCTGTGACCTGATGCTGGGTAGGCAGTACACTTCCCTGTAAATATCAAATATATCCCAATGTGCTTGTATAGAATATGACTTCCACGCATGCTTATCTATCACATAGTATTCCTGAAGGCCCGTGCCTGAAGAACTGAAGGTAGGCACTCCTCTCACAATAGGGGCACAGTGGTGAGCCTATTAGTAATACAGTGGCAGGTTTCCCATGGGAAGTGCATTTGTGTTGTTTTGGCTGTCACTATAATTTGTTCTATCTGTTCTCTCAGTCCAGATGACTTCTCTTTTGAAACTAGATACCTTTGACTGATTTGTAGAGCCCTTCCTCCTCTTCGGGGGTAAAGCAATTCCTTAAATACGAGCATTCTCTTGCCTCTAATTTAGCCATCCCTTTTTCCTGCAGGGCAGGCCTCCAAATCCCCTCACGTCAGACACGCAAGCAGCCCACTCTGGCTTTTCAGGGAATAATGGGAAGCTGCCTTCTGACTGCATTTGCTCTCCTTGACCCTGGCACCAATTCCCATTCAGCTGGAATATAAAAACTTTATATTTTCCTCCAGGAAGGACACATCTTTTAGGTTTTCCTTCCCCTGATCTTCCACACATTCCCCTTATCCCTCTGGCCAGCTTTACCCTGTCTTCAGACAGCCATACTTCCACCTCACTTTTGCAAACTGCAGTCTTCAATGCAGCATGTGCCAGGTCCAGCCTCCTCAAGTGTGCCAGCCTGCTTCCTTCGGGATCCTTCAACCACACTTGAGAGGGGCAGTTGCAAACGTCCCAGGACACCAAATCCACACACACATGGCTTACGCCCTACTGGCCCTCCGAGGTTAAAGAACAGCTTAGAGCTATGGCCTCTGAATGTTTATGATCACCCACGTAAATCAAACTCTCTTGAGCATGCAACCCCACCATGCGTATATCTATATACATATCGTATGCATGTGTTAAATAAGTTTAATATTTTATTATTTATTTGAAAACTTAAATAAAACTAGAGATGATATAGTTTAGACATTCTGAACGATGTGTCTTGTGTGCCTCATGGTGCAAATAACTGCAATTTTAGCTACCATGGCCTCCATCACAGCTGTGACAAGAGGTCCTTCCCAAGCAGTGGGCTGCCACTGGCCCGCTAGCAAACCGAATGTAATTGCCCTGGAGTCTTTGGGAACACGCACATCGCCTTCGACTCTGCACTTGTTTACTGTCTTCCCAAGTCCTTTCTACACCCTCACCACCTTCCTGCCCATCCTTATGCCATCTATTTGCATTTCTTTTCTGTGAAACCTCTGGACTTTGCTGGTGGCGCCAAATAGTGTTGAAAGGTGGACAGGACCACTGATGTTCCAGTGTGGAAATAGACGCTCAGTCAATGCTTGATCGAAGGAAGGTGAAACTAGGCCGAGCCTGGAGAGGAGACGTGGCCGAAACCCTGGTCCCGGGCATCCCAGCTCTAACAGCGAAGCCTCTGTCCTACTGGCCCCAGAGGTAGCAGCGTGTCTGGGAATGATTGGGGCCCCTGACTGGAAAGGGTCTCCCCGCGGGCAATCACAGATGACTCACACTGGGTTCGCGCGCCGCCCGAGACCGCACCCAGCAACAACCAACCGCGACCCGGAGGGCAGCGAGGCCCGCTCACCCACGCCTGAGCGTCGCTCCCAGATGCGTCACATCCGGTTGGAACGGGCCCCCGCGGAGAGGTGAGGCGGGGCGGGCCGGATCGGAGGCGGGGCCTTGGTGGGCGGGTCTGGCCCCCAAAGGGCGGAGCTCGGTATCGTCCGCCGGCCCGGCAGGCTCTGGCGCTGGCGCCGAGCTCCGGGGCTGTGGCGGCAGGTGAGAGCCTCTGGCCCGAAAAGGCGGGCGAAAGGCAACCTCTGGCCCCGGCCTGGTTTCGCGCTCGCCCGCCCAGTCCAGGTGGCTAGCCCGAAGGGGAAGGACCGCCGCTCCCGCGTTTGTGAGGCCTGGCGCGGCTGTAGGACCTGGGAGTGGCGTGAGGGGTCCCCTCGCCGCGACCCCGGTATCACCTGGGTGGGTCGCCGGCTTGTCAGCCGCGGGGTAGCAGCGCGAGCCTGGCAGCGGCGCGCCCCTCCTTCTGTCCTTCCCTCCCTCCCGGGTTTGCTCTTGAGCTCTGCTTGTTCCCAAGCCTACAACTTCTACACTCCCAGGTAGGGAGAAGCCCCAGGTCAGCACTGCCAACTGCCCTAACACCTAACACTCGGCCAGTGTGGAAAAAGCTGCTGGCCCAGGGTTCCCTTGCTTGCCTTGGCGTACATCTGCTCAAATTCTTCCAGCCCTTCAAGCAGAAATGGCGTGGGATCTGGGCCAGAACCCTCTTGCAGTGACTCAAATCTGCCCACCGTACTGGAACAGAGTGAATGGTCCTTAGCCTCCTCTCCCTTCTGAACTGACTCTCGCCACCCCGGTGGTTTCAGCCCCGGGTGCCTTCACCTTTTCCTTGCGACTCCCCTCCACTTTGCTCCTCATATACTCCCTCTGGTTTTCCTGCCTCCCTCTTCAGCGGTGGGACGCAAGGCTGGACCAAAACCTCCGGGGTAAGTGACCCAAACTTCAAACCAGCAGAAGCTATGGCTTCCCAGGGCTTTAGGGGGGACTTTCCCACGGATGAGCCTTTTGCTTAACCTGCCCTCCACCTGCTAATTCTCCTGCTCCCCAGGCTCAGATGAGGGAGACCAGGGCCCAAAAATGATAGGATCTAGGGAGGCAGGGGCCTCTTCCAGGACTGGGACATGGCAGGGCATGAAGCAACCAACAGCAGTGATGAAAATCCACTGTGTCCCCATCCTGGTTACCCCAGTTCCAGCAGGCGATGTGACAATAGGGCGGTGGCCACCCAAATAGAGAAATGGGAGGAGGTGAACCTTTTTCTTTCAGCCCGAGGCATCCCACTCCCACCTAGAAAAACTCATAGTCCCACGGAGAGTTCCAGGCTCTGGTAGGGAAGGCATGTGGGTATGGGGGCGAGCCCCTGGACTCCAAGCAAAGCCCCTCAGATGTGACACAGTGGCTCCAGGATTGCCAGAGGAGTGGAAACTGACAGGAGGAAAAGCCCCCGCACAGACATGTGGCCCTGTCTGACCCCCCTCCTGCGCCCACTTCCCTGGAGAGGTGGGACCTGCACTCGCCCAGAACCCCCATGACACCTCTGTCAGCAGGCAGGGTAGGCCAAATAGGCATGGCAGCAGTGTTTGCAACTGCATGTTGGCGGTGCACATCAGCCCTTCAGGCCTTCGGCTTGCTGGTCACCCGCTGCCCACACCACTTGCTGATTGCTTTCTGCCTAACAGATGACACTCAAACACCCTAACCTGCTCTCTGATGGCCTCTCAGATATGACCTGAGCCAATATTTCCCATGAGCACCCTTTCTCCCCTCAGGCTTGTCTCCTCGTCATGCCTGGGCAACCCTTCAGAGATTTCATCCTAGTTGTAGCACTGTGCAGAGCCTCTGTAGCCGAGTCCTGAAGCCAGTGGGGATCAGGCTTGTGGTGACAGAACTGAGGGTGCCTCACCCAAATCCCTTGATATCAGGACATCTCCTCAGGGCCCCGGTGCTGGGGTGAGCCCAGGGAAATCAGCAGGGATGGACAGGCTGACCGGGACCTCCCATCTGCCGGTGGCCCCCTCTGGTTGAGGGATGGCAAGCTTGAGGCAGTTGTGCTGGGGGGTGGGACAGCTGAATGGCACTCAAGGCCCTGCTGAGTCTCTCAGCAGTGGACTTCCAGGTCCTCGTGTTCCTGGATTCACCAATACTCACCCTCACCAGTCAGCGCTCTGTGTTCCTTCTCTCCTCAGGAAGAGCTCTGCCATCAAGGAAAGCAGCACAGGGCTAGGCCCTACCCATGGACACTTTCCAGGTCAACCCAAAGGCACCAGTGAGGCTGCTCTCCTAAGCCACAGAGGGCCTGAGCACACCATCCTCTGGGAGGAGCCATGGTGTTTCGGAGGGGCAGCTCCCAGCCATGGTCCGGACCAGGAGGGGGCAGCGGTTGCACAGGCTCCCTAGGCATGCTCAGGGCTGCCCTGCTGCTTGTCAGCCTGGCAGGGGGTGCCCAGGGAACAGCCAGTACCAACCTCAGCACAGCTCTGGGCCATCCTGGGCCACTGCCAGGGGGCCGCTACTTGAGCATCGGGGATGGCTCTGTGGTGGAGTTTGAGTTCCCAGAGGACACTGAGGGCATCATTGTGATCTCGAGCCAGTACCCAGGCCAGAGCAATGGGCCAGGGCCCGGTCCCACACTGAGAGTTACCTCCTTGGACACAGAGGTGCTGACCATCAAGAATGTAAGTGCCATAACCTGGGGCATTGGGGGCGGCTTCGTGGTGAGCATCCACTCAGGCCTGCCTGGGCTAGCCCCACTGCACCTCCAGCTTGTGGACCCCCACGAGGCCCCACCCATGCTGATCGAGGAGCGGAGAGATTTCCGCATTAAGGTCTCACCTGCCGAAGACACCCCTACCACCGTTAGCGCCGGCCTCGTCCACTTCTCGGAGAACCCCATACTCTACTTGCTCCTGCCTCTTATCTTTGTCAACAAGTGTTCATTTGGGTGCAAAGTGGAGCTCGAGGTTCTGAAGGGGTTCCTGCAAAGCCCCCAGCCCATGCTGCTGGGCCTGTTGGGCCAGTTTCTGGTCATGCCCTTCTATGCTTTTCTGATGGCCAAGGTCTTCATGCTGCCCAAGGCCCTGGCTCTGGGCCTTATCATCACCTGCTCGTCACCTGGTGGCGGGGGGAGCTACCTCTTCAGCCTCCTGCTCGGAGGGGATGTCACCCTGGCCATCTCCATGACTTTCATCTCCACAGTGGCTGCCACTGGTTTCCTGCCACTGTCCTCAGCTGTCTACAGCCGACTGCTCAGCATCCATGAAACACTGCACGTGCCCATCTCCAAGATCCTGGGGAGCCTGCTGTTTATCGCCATCCCCATCGTAGTAGGTGTGCTGATCAAGTCCAAGCTCCCCAAGCTCTCTCAGCTGCTGCTGCAGGTCATTAAGCCCTTCAGTTTTGTGCTGCTCCTGGGTGGCCTCTTCCTGGCCTACCGCATGGGAATCTTCATCCTGGCGGGCGTCAGGCTGCCCATTGTGCTGGTGGGCCTCACTGTGCCCCTGGTTGGCCTCCTGGTGGGCTACTGCCTAGCCACATGCCTGAAGCTGCCAGTGGCCCAGCGGCGGACAGTCAGCATTGAAGTAGGGGTGCAGAACAGCCTGCTGGCCTTGGCCATGCTGCAGCTGTCCCTCCGCCGCCTTCAAGCCGACTATGCTTCACAGGCCCCCTTCCTCGTGGCACTGAGTGGCACTTCGGAGATGTTGGCCTTGGTTATTGGCCACTTCATCTATAGCAGCCTGTCTTCAGTTCCCTGAGGCCCCTGGGTCAAGCTTTTGCCACTCCTAGCCCCCACCCTACACCCACTGTCCCCACAGTTCTTGTGTACCAAAGGCCTTTAGTTCTCATGCACTATGCACTCAGAAAAATCCAGGCTTATTTTTGTTACTGGTTTTTTATTCTCCAGCTTTCAGTGCCAAAGAGGCCATGCTGAGTTGGGTATGTGGGCACTGCCCAGAAAATATATTTCAATAAAAGAGAAGCAAAACTTGGGTCTCTTCCAGTCTGCTCTTTGGGGCCTGATGGTGCGGGTAGGAAGGGTGTTGACTGGGTAGGTGTGGGCCAGGGTGGAGGACTGGCTTGGGTGACACGGCGACCTCTGCACAGACTCTCAGTCCTCCTTCCCCATGCATCCCCTCTCTGTGAGAGGTGGGCCTCTGTTCTAGAATGAACTGTAGGAGGGTGCGGACAGACACCTGGCTACCCTGCCTGCTCCCAAGTTCAACTGGCTTTCCACAGCCACACTAGAAAGGAGGAGGCAGAAGGCCTGCGGCCAGTGTTGCAAGCTTGTCAGGGCGGGGCCCTTTGTGGACTCTGGAGAGACAGACTCCGGGACTGCACGGACCTGCTTCACCCGCTGGCAGGATGCGCAGGGCGGGCCAGGCCATCGGCAGGGCAGGGCGAGCAGACTCTCAGCCCTTCCTCCTCCCTACCCCCCAGCTCTCAAATGAAGCCCACCTGGCCCAGATCGGTCCTCCTCCCTATCCTGGCGGGCCCCCCTGCACCGTCACAGTGCTAGACTTCTCACCCTGGGCGGTCCCGGTGCCGATACAAAGCGGGACGCCAAGGAGACTCCTCCCCCAGGGCCCAAAGAGGTGAGGCGGGCCGGAGGCGGGGCCCGGGGAACGCCGCGCCCCCCCCCCGGCTGCTTCCGGCAGCGGCGGGAGGTTCCGGCGCGCGCCCCGGGCTGCGGCGCGCCGGCGTGCGGCTGTTAGGGTGCGCCTTGGCCTGAGTGGATGCCGCGGTGGCCGCCATGCAGCTGACGGTGAAGGCGCTCCAGGGCCGTGAGTGCAGCTTGCAGGTAGCGTCACCAGGCCCAGCCGGCTCGCTCACGTCCCCCTCCCGCTGTGAGGCGCAGGGCTGGGATGAGGGTGGGTGCAGGGCTGGTGGGCCAGCCGTTCCGGGGACGCCGGGAGAGCTATCCTCAGCCGGGGCCGCAGGCTCAACCCTGCTCCCATCCTCGGCCTGGCCAGGTGTCGGAGGATGAGCTGGTGTCCACGTTGAAGCATCTGGTCTCCGAGAAGCTGAACGTCCCCGTGCGCCAGCAGCGGCTGCTGTTCAAGGGCAAGGCCCTCGCAGGTAACGTGGGGAGAGGAGACGCCCAGGGAGCCCCACACGAAGTTGGGGTCGGGGTGTGCAGGCCGAGCTAGAGCAGCAGTGTGATGGGGGGTGTTGGCAACTTGACTCTGGGCAATGGCTGAACCCTCAGTCAGATGCCACAGTACTCCCTGAGGTCACCCCCGCCGCTGTGGGCAACAACTTCATCAGTCTCTTTTTGGCAGATGGGAAAAGACTCTCCGATTACAGCATTGGGCCCAATTCCAAGCTCAACCTAGTGGTCAAACCACTGGAGAAGGTGTTACTGGAAGAAAGTGCCGTCCGGAAACTGGCCGAGGCCTCACCCCCATGCCCACCTGCCTGGCAGCTGATTGCCAAAGTCTTGGCGCGCCACTTCAGTGCTGCAGATGCCAGCAGAGTCCTGGATCAACTACAGAGGGTGAGAAGGGTAGCCCTGGATGCCCACTTCTGCCCCAGCTGCTCCCACCTGCCTCTGTCCTGAGTACTCCCGTTGGCACCCCTGAATCCTTCTGGCCTTCTCTCCTCAGGATTATGAGAGGTCCCTGAGCCGCCTGACCCTGGATGACATCGAACGTTTAGCTAGCCGCTTCCTGCACCCTGAAGTCACTGAAGCTATGGAGAAGGGGTTCTCCAAATAGGATTTACGGAGTGTGGGGATGAGCCCAGCCAGGCTGCAAGCTGCATGTAGCATTAAATGTGTTCTCATGTTGCAATTTGGCTTATAATAATAATAGCTGGTGGGTACCCAGGAACCTGTACCCAGCTCTTGCTAGGTGCCAGGCACCACTGAAAGCACTTGACCTGAGTTTGCTCCTGCACCTCAAACAAAAGGTGAGACAGCCAAGGCTCCTTGCAGTGAAGCGGGGGAGCCAGAATCCGAGTCTAGCCAGCTTCTAGAAGTGCCTCAGGATGAGAAAGAAAAGGGGCTGTTTGGAAGATCCCGAGGGATGGGCCTTGGCATTTTGTGTTTAGCCCACTGAGAATAAACCTCAAGTGACTTCTTTCCAGATCTCTGGCAGGTCCAGCACTGGTGGGAGGCTAAGTGAGAGTCAGACCTGCGCCCCCTCAGCTGCTGCAGCCAGTGCACACTTGACGAAGGAAAAGCAGGTTGGGGAGTCGGGGATGAACATCGTCCAGCTCTGTGTTGTAACCTCAGGCAAGTCCCTGTGCCATGTTGGTCCCCAGTAAAGGCCACTCCTTAAACCTCACTCAATTTCCTTCATCCTTACCCCATACCTGGTGGCGGGGGGGGGGGGTCCTGCCCTCTGTGTTCCATAAACAAACAGGCCAGAAGATAAGTGATGGCCCAGAGATGGGGTATCCCGGCCCTTCCTGTCACAGCTCTTCCCTGGGCACCCCCCTTTGCTTGTCTCCCACTGGACATGGGTAGTTCTTGCTCCTTAGGGATGACAGGTGACTGGCTTGAGGTCCCTCAACAAGAGCCAGGCCATAGCCAGCCCCCTGTACCACGCACTCATCCACAGAATGGAATGGACCCTTCCCCCACCATGTGTGCACACAGGCTTTCACTTTGCACGCCCCTCACTGCCTAGTAGGAAGCCTCGGGGTGCCAGGGAAGGGGCAGAAGCACGGCCTGGTGGCACTGGGCCTCCCACCATGCCTGGCATGTGGGCCTAGAACTCATCCAGGTACCTGCTCCTTGGAGAAGGGCATCCAGGGCAGTTGAGGCTGGGAGGAAGCTGTGTGCAGGGAGGATGGATGCTCCAGCCCCACCACCCTCCTTGCCTGAGGCCCTCCTGCTGGGTCCCTGGGCTGGGAAGACAGACAGATCTGATGGGTGAAGGATTTGAAGAGCAGACAGAAAGCCCCTGGTCCCGCCTGAGAGCTGGGAACATCAAACAGCAGGGCCCGCTTAGGGGCCTGTGTGATCTGGCAGCTCGTGTGATAGATTCGCCAATGCTCTCATTGATTTCAAGTCAGGAAGTTTATTTTGAAATTTTAAATAGCACTCAAGGTGAACGTGAGACTTTGATCCAAAAAGAACTATATTAGTTAGGCTGCTTTTGGTTTCCAGTGATTGGTTTAACCATAATGGAAATTGGTTTAAACAATAAAGGAAACTTACTGGTTTACAAAACTGAGAAATTCAGGGGTATTGGCAGCAGATGAACAACTTCACCAAATACCCAGTTTTGTCCTACCTCCCCTCTGCGCTCTGCAGTGTCCGCTTCATCCCAGGCTGCCGCCTCAGGATCGATAGATGGCCGAGTCCCTCCTTCTAAGCCAGCAAGGAGCACCTTCTTGCCCTGTAGTGTAGCTTCTTTCTCAGATGCCCCCAGCAAATAAATGCTGTCCTTTTATTGGCCAGAACTGGGTCATGCCTCCAATCATTTTGTCCAGGGGTGGGGGGGGGTGGGTAGTGGGAAGCTGGATATCCCCCTGCAAACACATAGGCCGTGGGAGGGAGAGGGGGATTCTCAAAATAAGCCAGGTCCTCGGGAGGGCAAATAGTGCCCCCAAATAGTAACTGTCCATTGCAGGGGGGTGACAGACGTACATTTCACACAGACCCTCGGGTTGGTCATTTGAGTTCCTTGTGCCAGTGGCTCCCAGCCAAGGGGCGACAACCATCTGGTGTTTAAGAGATATCTCCTGGGCCGTTGGACATGGGGGTCAGGAACTCAGCAGGGAGACTGGGCTGGACATGGAGACAGGAGTGGAGTCTTCAGGGTGTAGGATGGGATCCTCGCTGAAGGAAGAGCTGACTGGGACCCAGGCCCAGTCTGATTCCAGAGCTCTCTGCAGCTGACAGTCGGGAGTTACCTAAAGACAGGATATCCTAGAGGCTGTGAAGGTGGATGAGGTGGCTTCCCAGAGAGTGCGGCACCAAAAGGGGAGAGGACTGAACCTTGAACTTTAACTGGAGATGCGGTAGAAGCCAGGAACATCCCCAGATGCAAGGCCACAGGGAGAGCTCAGTATCAGAAGCCAAGGATACGCCTCCGGAGAGGGGAGGTTGTCCAGTGCTGCCAAGAGGCAAAGTGAGGGCAAGACGGAGCCTCCTCTGCATGAGTAACAAGGTCATTGGTGATGTTGGGGGTGGAGCGCAGAAAGCAACTGCAGTACGAGGAGAGGAGGAGGCGACGGCAGTGACTGGGGATGCCTCATTTTAGAAGATTGTGTGTGGCAGAGTAGGAATGGGCAGGTTGGGGCAGGGGAGGCAGGAAAGCGGGGGGGAATGCTGCAGGGGTCAGGAATGGGGCCAGGAGGTTCTGGTCCAAGCCCAGTGCCATCATAAGAGGAGAACAGGGACTCCAAATGAAGGTAGAGTAGCCGCCAGCTGCACTCTGCCTTTGTCCCTAGAGTCTGCGGAAGGCCCCGTGGACACCTGCAGGCCCTGAATGCTAAGATCCTTCAGGAGGTGTCAGAATGTCTACTGCAGGTGCTGCACCTCTCCTAGCCAAGTGTCCTCCCGGGCAATGGGCGCCACCCGACCCGTTGCTACCTGTCCCTTGCCCACTGTGGGGCCCCGTGACCCATCGCCTGCCCCTTGAGAAGGGGCCTCAGGCAGTCCTTGACTCTTCCCCCCAGGGATGTGGTGCAGCTTAAGGCCCTAGTGTGATCTCAATGACACCAGGAGAAGGCAGGATAAGTGACAGCCCCTCAGAGAGAAATGGTCTGGCACATGGACTAAGGTGCTTGTGACACCATTTCCCAAGGGCCCAGGGAGGAGGGGCAGACTCAGAGGAGAGCAGCATTCATTTTAGGGTGGGCTTGTTGAGTTGAGGATGCCCAGGTGACAGATTCAGTGTGCCCACAATTGGCTGGTGCCTTGCAGGCCTCCCGTGCAGGCCTGGCCAAAACCAGGCCTTGCCAGCTCCAATAGGTCCAACAAGGGCGCTGCTTAGCCAGGCCAGGCACTCTCGAGGCAGATGTGACAGCTGTAGTTGGCCTCAGACCTCCAGGCCCTAGAAAGCCTGCGGGAGAGACGACCACTCTGTCCACCTACAGGGCCCAGCTGGAAGGGCCTCCCTGGGCTCCTGGGGACTCGACCCCCTCCCTACCCTATCCACATACTCCTCTTGGGGTGACCGAATGACTCTGGCATTCCTCATTCTTTGCCCGCTTCTGCCTTAGCTTTCCTGCTTTTTCTTCCACTTCACTGCTCAGTCCTTCTCTCGCTCTGTTGCTGGTTGTTCCCCTTCACACACACATGCCACCTTTTAATGTTGGGGGTCTCCAGGGCTCTGTCCCCAGAGCCCGTCTTTCTCTGTATCACTTCCCAGGGGGGGCTTGTCCACCTTCACTCCCAGTCTGTGGCTCCTGTCAGCCTTCTCTCCTGAGCTCTAGGCTACATCTCTAGAGTATGATTCTGAGAAAGCTCCTGGCTCTGCTGTAGATACGTCACCCATTCCTTTAGCACACGCTCACTAGCACCTGCCGTGTCCCAAATGCGGGTAACACTGGATCTAGAAGACACATTTCCTTTCCTCTTGGCACCCACGCTGGCCTGCCTCAATGAATGAATCTACCACTCAGTCAGGCTTTTAACGACAGGAGGTGGAAGGCCACCTTTGCCTGTCCCAACTCTCTCCTCTCCATAGGCTATCAGGCAACAATATTTTTGGAATAGTCCAGAGCAGTTGCCTTGTAGATGTTCCAGATCCGGATGTGCCTGATACCTTCCTCCTTAGATTCAGCTTAAGCATTTCTGATGAGAGTGCGGCCATGGGGGTGCTGCGTCCTTCCCCCTCGCCCCCACCCTCAGCATCGGGAGGCGCTCAAGGGCAGGCTGTTGCACTGTTGCGGAGGCTCAGTCACATGGCCACGGTGGTGGCTGCGTGGTCTCTCTGTTGTAAAGTTGTACTTTTCCCTTCCTAATGCACAATTGATCTAGGATAAAACCTTGAGACCCTGTAAATATCCTGCTCCCCAACAATCTTTATCCAATGGTTTTACCACCCAAGGATGATTCTTGCCTGAGTGTATTGCATTGGTGGCTGCAAAATGGTGGGGTTTTGATGCTTGCTTGCTTTCTATAATTATCAGTTGGTGTTTATCCTTTCTCCCCGCTCTCTTTTCTCAATTATCAGATTACTTACTCAACAATTTAGAATCCAAGAGTGTCATTTTGGGGGGTAATTTTTATTGGACTATAGCATGCATACAGTAATGTGCATAAATCATCTCGATATAGTTTGATGGATTTTTAAAATGAATACACCCACGTGTCTACCCGTCCAGATCAAAATAGAGAACATTTCCAGCATTGCAGCACCTGCCCTGGTGCCCCCTTTCAGGCATACTCCTCTCCGAAAAGTTTTTTTGTAAAGGTTTTATTTATTTATTTTTAGAGAGAAGGCAAAGGAGGGGGGGGAGAGAGAGAGAGAGAGAGAGAGAGACATCAATGTGTGGTTGCCCCCCATATGCCCCCAACTGGGGACCTGGCCCACAACCTAGGCTTGTACCCTGACTGGGTATTGAACTGGTGACCCTTTGGTTCACAGGTCAGCACTCAATGCACTGAGCCACACCAGCCAGGGCTCCAAAAAGTTTAATATCATTTTGGATGGTCAAATTGTTCTAACTTTGGTTCTGTCCTGTTGACTCCTGTGTCTCTTCGACATGCCTGGTCCTTTTGTTTCTCAGGCACTTCCTTCCTGTCACTACAAGGTTCCACAGGTTCATCTTGCATTTCTTTTTCTGCCTCAACCCTAGGAAAAGCTCTGGTTCCTTTTAGTGGAGAATGGAATTGAGAAACCAAGGTCTGGGTGCAGGGTATATTCATTGCTGCTGGGTCTCATTGCTTCTAGACTCTTTCACTGGACAAGACTTTGAAAGATATTTTTTTAAGAGTTTCACCCTTCTGCACCACCCAGAGAGGGACCCCTATAGCATTGTTTTTGGTTGCCATGTAACTTAAAGGGAAACTTTCACAATGTCCAGAGGCCTTGAAGTCCTGCAAATGAAGGTGGAGGAAGCCCTTGAACTGCTTGCAGCAGGAACCCACTTAGGTGGCACCAACCTTGACTTCCGAATGGAACAGCACATCTACAAACGGAAAGGTGATGGCATCTACGTCATAAATCTGAAGAGAACCTGGGAGAAGCTTCTGCTGGCAACGCGTGCCATTGAAAACCCTGCTGATGGGAGTGTCGTTTGTGCAGGAATACTGGCCGGTGGGCTGTGCTGAAGTTTGCTGCTGCCACTGGAACCACTCCCACTGCCGGCCACTTCACCCCTGAAAACTTCACTAACCAGGTCCAGGTGGCCTTCTGGAAGCCGAGACTTCTGGTGGTTACCAATCCCAGGGCTGGCCACCAGCCTCTCACTCAGGCGTCCTGTATTAACCTGCCTACCATTGCTCTGCGTTACATACTCTCCTCTGGGCTCCTTGGACACTGCCATCCCCGCAGCAGCAAGGCTGCTCACTCAGTGTCTCTGCTGTGATGGATGCTGGCCAGGGAAGTTCTGTGCATGCGTGGCACCATCTCCCATGCACACCCATGGGAGGTCATGCCTGATCTCTACTTCTGCAGAGATCCTGAAGAGATTGAAAAGGAAGAGCAGGCCACTGCTGAAAAGGCTGTGACTAAGGAGGAAATTTAGGGCGAATGGACCGCTTTGGCTCCCAAATTCACTGCTGCTGAGCCTGAGGTCGCAGACTGGTCTGAAGGTACAGGTGGCCTCTGTGCCTATTCAGCAGATTCCTACTGAAGACTGGAGCGCTCGGCCTGCCCCTGAAGACTGGCCTGCAGCCCCCACTGCACAGGCCACTGAATAGGTAGGAGCAACCACGGAGTGGCCTTAAGCTTTTCTTCCGCAAACTGTTAGCAGAATGGAAATATGGTTGACAGAAAATAAACAGTTTCTAAAAAAAGAGAGTTTACACTGTGATCCCCAATTTTAATCCAGCATCACAGTTCTTTGTGTCACCTTCCCTTATTCCACAGTGAGAAGTCTCATTCCCAGGAGCATCAACATATTTACACGTTTGCTCTACCAGATAAAGCCTGTCTTAAAGTACACCCAAAATAGCTTTACAGTCACCTCATCGCCACCATTGCCAACAACATGCATCCTAAGAGTAAAGCCAGTGTCTTTTGTCCTAAGGATACATCTCAGGAAGGGAGCAGAGTCAGACAACTGAGTGTAAAAAGCACCTGAATTAATTTCTCTGTGTGGTTTTGTTATAAACTGGATATGCAGTTAGGCTCATTTGTTTTTGTTTTTAATTCAATTTTAGCATTTGATTTTTTCACTCTTTTTTTAAAGATTTTATTTATTTTCAGAGAGAAGGGAAAGGAGGGAGAAAGAGAGGAAGAGAAACATCGGTGTGAGAGAGCAACATAGATCAATCGCCTCTCACAGGCCCCCCGGACTGGGGACCCGGCCTGCAACCCAGACACGTGCCTTGCTTGACCAGGAACTAAACCAAAAACCTTTCGGTCCGCAGGCTGGAGCTCAATCCACTGAGCCACACCAGCCAGGGCAGATTTTTTCACTCTTTCAAATGTATTTTTGCACATTTAAAATATTTACAATGGTTCAAAGTCAAAACTACAGAAAAGTTTATTCCAAGAAATCTCATAAAAGTCTATTCCAATCCCAGAAATGGTCAACCTCCAATAGGTGACCATTTTCATTAGTTTTGAGTTTCTCCTCCCTGTGTCTTTTCTTCCAATAAATGTGTGTCTGTGAGAGTGTATGTCCTTTGCACTCTGCTTTTTTCACGTAACAATGTATCCTGAAAATTATTTCATTTTTATTAGAGATTTTCATTCTTTTTTACTGCTGCTTACGACTATTGTATGAATGTACCATAGATTAGTTCACCAATTCCCTGGTGATGGACGTCTACACTGTATCCAATAACTTTATGTTACCAATTATGTTACAATGGATAATTTTGTGCATGTTATTTTGTATTTCTGACATAACTTCCTGCATGGGGATTGGTGGGTCCAAGACAGTGATCGAGTTTTGTACATACATAATATTTTATTTCATTCAATGTGCAAAAAAAACACCTACTGTATAAACTGTACTGAACAAGAAAAAGGTACCAGACATGATATATCAACAACATATTAAGTGAAGAAAACAAGATTATCACTTCAGATTATTAGAAATGCTATGCAGCAATTTTAAATGGGCAAATATGATGAAGGGTGCCTGGGGGCAGTATGTTAGAGGTGATCCAGAAGTCCTCTCAGAGGTGACTTTGGAATCAAGATCCTACGACAAGAAGGAGCCAGCCACAGAGGGGTTTGGAGCCAGCCACAGCCTTCCAAATAGAAGAGTAAGTGCAGTGGGCTGGGAGCGGAATGCCCCTGGTCAAGAGCTGAGAAATGGCCCCAGAGGCTGCAGAAAATGAGGAAGCAGGCAGGTGGGGGTAGAGGGTGGAGGAGCTGGAAGCCAGGACACCCAGGGCTTTTATAAGATACAGCAAAGAGTTTGGATTTGATTCCAAGGGAAATGGGAAATTGTTTTAAGGTTTTAATCAGAGATGTGTGATATGTGATTTACATTAAAAATTAAAACCTAATCCTGCTGTGTGGAGAACAGGCTCTAGAGGAACAAGTGTAGAAAAAAACCAGGTAGGAAGCTGCAGAAGGAGGTCAAGGAGAAATGGTAGCTCCCACTGGAGACTAGCAATGAAGAGGGAGAGAAATGGGCTGATTACGCTCTGTTTTAAGGGGCAATCCAACAGGATTTAATTATACAGTTCAGCTCTATATCCTTCCTTATGACTACAATGAGGAAAACAGAAAACTAACATGAAAAATCACCATCAGAAACTTCATGTCACTTTAAAAACTTATTTTTGAGTCCTGGCCAGTGTAGCTCAGTTGGAGCTCAAACTGAAAGGTCTCGGGTTCGATTTCCGGTCAGGGCACATGCCTGGGTTGCGGGTTCAGTCCCCTGTTGGGGTGCTTGCTGATCGATGTTTCACACCCTCTTTTTCTCCCTCCTTTCCCCCCTAGAATCAATAAAAGAAAAAACAACATTTTGATTTTTAAAAAGTCATATAAGGTCACTGTCAAAAATGTTCAGGAAAATGGAAAAAGGAAGTTGTCACCCACAGTGCCATCGCACAGAGATAACAAGTATTTATTTTTTGGTGTATTGTTCTAGGATTTCAATGTATGTATATAATAATTTACTAAGTTGGGATTTTAGTGATTTCAGTTTTGCATTTTGATTTTTCACATGTGAAATTAGCCCTGCTCCCACTGCCACTACTTTATCTCAGGTCTCTATCATTTCCTTCCTTGCTTCTGCGCTGTTTCCCTACTGGCAGGCTCGATCTTCATACCGCCCACTTAGTGGTCTTTCTAAAAGGCAAATATGATTGACTCATCGCCCCCTATAAAATTCCCTTTGACTTCTCCATCTACGTTGGCGATGGGGGCCAGGTGCAAAGTAGTAGCGCTTGTGGACTATCCGACCCCACCTCCCTGCACAAATCACTGCAAGGATATTGAGCGGCATTTTGGGGGGACACTGGGCCCGGGGAAGGAAACTAGTCCAACTGTCTGATAGCCTCACACGAGGTGAGGGGAAAGGGGGACGGGTTTCCACCGGGACACTGGGGTCACAGGTCGCTCTAAAGAGGCGGAGTTTCAAGAAGGAGCACTCTTAAACCTGGTAGCCAACGAGGTGTCTCCAGGCTGTGTCAGGGCTGGCTGGGCGGGAACCAATCTCCCGCCCAACTGAATTGCGAGGGGGCGGGGACTCTGCGCAGGAGCTCTGGGGATCCCCAGGAAAACTGCGCGCTAAGGGGCGGAGCTTTGTGAGGGAGTGCCGCCTTGGGGTCTCCGGGTCCTGCGGCTTGCAGGGCCAGCTTGGTGGGAGCTGACCACCCAACTGGTTTCCCACAGCCTTGTCACTGTTCGGTCTCCTTGGCGGCCTCACCAGGGACCTGTTTGGGCAGGCGCCCTGGGGTCCAGTCGTGCCCAAAGAGAAGGAGCTTCTTCAGGGAGCCTCAGTTTTTTCAATGCCGAAGGACTCTGAAATCCCAGAGCAGGGTCCGTTTGGCGGGAACTGACCACACACCTCACTAGGTTCTGGTTGCGCACGCCTGTAGGGTGGAGTCAGCGCGAAGGGGCGGAGAGTGGAGATGCTCAGGACTGCGCTCCGGGGGCGGGGCCGAAGACGGAGCGTGGCGGCCATGCAGGCCCCGGACGCAGGCCCCACGGGAGCCCACGGCCAGGACAGCCAGGATGGCTACGGCACCCCTCGCGGTGCAGGCGAGGCGGCCACTGTAGCCGGCGGAGCTCCGCGTGTTGCGCGAGCACAGAATGCCTCAGGGCGGGGTGAAGACGCAGCACTCACGGTCAGAAGGCCGGAAAATCGACTACATACTTTGTAACCTACCCGAGGGGACAGCGGGGAATACCCTGGGGGCTGTCTTCTGGAGGGTTGCGTTGGGTGCAGAGGGACGGACAGGTCGGGCCCAAAAGGGGAGCAGAGGGAACCAGGCGCAGCTTGGCGTGTACGGGCCAGGGAGAGTCTGGAGGGGAAGAAGAAATGAGAGCGGGGGCGGGGTAACGGGGTGGCTGGTGGGCATTAGGGCCAGGGGTGTTCTGGAGGGGGTGGATGAAAGTAGTCCTGGGGGTGTGTGAAACTGGTCAAGGTGGCGTGAGAGGGGACCTGAGAGCAAAGTCGGTGTGGACGGTGCCTTAACTGAATCTCCACCAGCGCCCTCCGTGTGCCTTTCCCGTCCCCCTTGGAGGCAGACATTGCCTGTGGATCCCTGGCCCCAGATGCGGAACCCCACCGAGAGGCGATTCGGAAGGAGCTCACAGTCAGCGGCAGCGTCCTAGCCGTGTAAGCTCTAGAAGGAGAGGGGGCAGCAGATGGCAGGGCCAGACTCAACCGAGGAGCTCTTTACTGGAAACGAGGAGACACTCAAGAGTAAGGTCTGGCGGGCGGGGGCGGCGGGGACTTGGTGCGGTCCAAGGGGGTGTTGTAGTGAAGACAGCAAAGGGTTCAGTCTAATGCCCGAGGGACAGGGCAGGAAAGAGAGGAGTCATCACTTCTAACTTGATTTTCTTTTTTCCCCCTCACTTTCAGCTTCTGGAGAGCTGAAGACGCACACCTCCTCCGAATTTCCATCATCAACTTTCTTGACCAGCTTTCCCTGGTGATGCGGACCATGCAGCGCTTTGGGCCCCCTCTTTGCCGCTAAAGCTGGGCCAGGAAAAGGGGGCTGAGGCCCAGCCTTGCATCCGGCCGTAGGCAGAGGATCCTTCCCACAGCAGTGATTCCTGCAGTGGTGGCCGCTTTATTATGGGGCCCTAACCGTTTGCCTGTACTGGACCTTGGGCCCTTGTGGTCCACTTGTTTTGTTTAGTGCCGAAGTCTTTGTCACTGCAGCAAATAAAACAGACCTACTACTATTCCATATCTGAGTTTCTTTTCAACTCCGGCACCTCTTAATAGGCTAGGCTTTGTCTCAGGGGCGGAGGGGAGGTCTGGGAATCATGTGTTCCAGCACTGCAAGGTAACTGGAGACAATCTAGGAAATAGAAGATGGGTCTTGTCATGCAGTATTAACTACTGGGAACATTTTGGAATTGTTCCTTAGTTTTATAGCTGTATATATGGTCAGTGTGTAACAATAGCATAATGTATAATATTTTGCAAGGTTAGCATTTTTACTAATATTTTTCATCAACATGAACTTTTCCTCTTTCTAAAACTTCTTCGAAAGCTTTATTGAATGGAGGCATATCATACATTATAATGTAATTATTGACCATTTAAATTATTTTAAATTTTTGTCCTATTACAGGTCATAATTCAATGGAATTCTTGTATTAAATGTTTGTGTGAATGATTGTGTCCTTAAGACAGATTCCAAGAGGCCCTGGCTGGTGTGGCTCAGTTGGTTGGAGTATCGTCCAGTACACCAAAAGGCTGCAGATTCGATTCCCACTGAGGGCACATGCCTAGGTTGCGAGTTTGATCCCCAGTCAGGGTGCGTATGGGAGGCAACCAATTGATGTTTCTTTTTTTTTTTAAGTATATTTTATTGATTATGTTATTACAGTTGTCCCATTTTTTCTCCCCTTTATTCCCCTCTGCCCTGTAACCACCACGTTGTCTAGCATTCCCCCCCTTAGTTCATGCCCATGGGTTCTACATGTAAGTTCTTCGGCTTCTCCATTTACTATACTACTCTTAACTTCCCTGTCTATTTTGTACCTAACAATTATGCTTCTTATTCCTTGTACCCATTCCCCCATTCTTTCCCTTCCCCCTCCCTGCCAATAACCCTCCATGTGATCTCCATTTCTGTGATTCTGTTCCCGTTCTAGTTGTTTGCTTAGTTTGTTTTTGTTTTTGTCTTAGGTTCAGTTGTTGATAGTTATGAGTTTGTTGTAATTTTACTCTTCATAGTTTTGATCTTTTTCTCCGGTAAGTCCTTTTAATATTTCATAGAATAAGGGCTCAGTGATGATGAACTCCTTTAACTTGACCTTATCTGGGAAGCACTTTATCTGCCCTTCCATTCTAAGTGATAGCTTTGCTGCATAGAGGAATCTTGGATGTAGGTCCTTGCCCTTCATGACTTGGAATACTTCTTGCCAGCCCCTTCTTGCCTGTTAGGTTTCCTTTGAGAAATCAGCTGCTAGTCTTATGGGAATGCCTTTGTAGGTAACTGTCTCCTTTTCTCTTGCTGTTTTTAAGATTCTCTCCTTATCTTTAATCTTGGGTAACTTCATTATGATGTGCCTCGGTGGGTGCTTCCTTGGGTCCAACTTCTTTGGGACTCTCTGAGCTTGCTGGATCTCTTAGAAGTCTATTTCCTTCACCAAATTGGGAACGTTCTCCTTCATTGTTTTTTCAAATAAGTTTTCAATTTCTTGCTCTTCCTCTTCTCCTTCTGGCACCCCTATGATTTGGACGTTGGAATGTTTGAAGTTGCTCGGGAGGTTCCTAGGACTCTCCTCATTTTTTTGAATTCTTGTTTCTTCATTCTATTCCGGTTGAATGTTTATATCTCTCTCCTGTTCCAAATCATTGATTTGAGTCCCAGTCTTGCCTTCACTCTTGGTTCCCTGTATATTTTTCTTTATTTCACTTTATATAGCCTTCGCTTCTTCCTTTATTTTGTGTCCGTACGCAATCATTTCTGTGAGCATCTTGATTACCAGTCTTTTAAACTCTGCATCTGATAGGTTACCTATCTCCTCCTCTCTTAGGGATTTTTTCCTGGAGTTTTGAACTGTTTTTTCATTTGGGCCATATTTCTTTGTCTTGGCGCACCTGTTATGCTGTAAGGGGCGGAGCCTTAGGTATTCGCCAGGATGGGGCAACCCACTTCCCTGTGCTGTGGCGCTCTATGTGGGGGCGGGGTCTGAGAGGGAACAGTACTGCTTGCTTGGCTCTCTCCCAGCTTTCAGTCACTTCCCCCACTACCCACAAGCAAATTGTGCATTTCTGGTGCTGATTCCCGAGTGGGTGGGTTTGTGTATGTTCTAGGACCTCGTAGGTTCCTCCAGTGGACTGTCCTGTGAGACTGGGAGTTTCTCCCACCACCACAACCTTCACAGGTTTTTACAGCCAGAGGTTTTGGGGCTTTATTTTCCCGTGCTATAACCCTGGGTTGCACAGTCGGTCTCACTCCCCAGTTGTGCCTCCCAGTTTATCCACAGTCAAATGTGGGCCCGCCTCGTCCTCCAGCTGCCACCTTGCCAGGCACCCTCTCCACCCGGCTGCCCGTCTCTGCTGCTCCTGCCAGTCCGGATGAATGTTTCGTCTTCAACTCCTTGGTTGTCAGACTTTCAAACATTTAGATTATCTGCAGCTCTGGGTTTTTTGGGTTTTTTTTTTTTATTTGTTATTGTCCTTCTTTCGGTTGTACAAGGAAGCGAAGCATATCTGCCTACACCTCAGTCTTGGCCAGAAGTCTCCAATTGATGTGTCTCTCATAGATGTGTCTCTTTCTCCTTTCCTATCTATCTAAAATCAATAAACATAGTTTAAAAAGTTTTTAACTGGTATGTCTGTATTTCAAGAGTTGTTAAATTTTGACCAAATTTCCTTATTTTATTTATTTTATTTTTAATTATATTTTATTGATTATGCTATTACAGTTATCCCAACTTTTCCCCCTTTGCATCCATCCACCCAGCACCGCCCACCCCCTCAGACAATCCCCCCGCCTTGTTCTTTCCTGTGGGTCATGCATATAAGTTCTTTGGCTACTCCATTTCCTACACTCTACTTTACATCCTATGGCCATTCTGTAACTACCTATTTGTACTTCTTTTTTTAAGAAAAAACATTTTATTTGCTAATTTATTTCCAGAGAGAGAGGAAGGGAAGGGAAGGAGAAAGAAAAGGAAAGAAACACCAATCAGTTGCTTCTCACATGCCCCCAGCTGGGGACCTGGCCCACAACCCAGGCATGTGCCTTCACTGGGAATCGAACCAGAAACCTTTCAGTTCTCAGGCCAGTGCCCAACACACTGAGCCACACCAGCCAGGGCCTGTTTGTATGTGTTAATCCCCTCAACTCTTTACCCTTCCTCCACTTACCTCTCCCATCTGGGAACCATCAAAACTCTCCATATCCATGATTCTGTCTCTGTTCTTCTTGTTTGCTTAGTTTGTTTTTTATATTCAATTGTTGACAGGTATGTATTTTTGCCACTTTAATATTCATAGTTTTCATCTTCTTTTTCTTAAATAAGCCCCTTTAACATTTCATATAATAATGGCTTGGTGATGATGAACTCCTTTAGCTTGTGCTTGGCTGGGAAGCTCTTTATCATCCCACCCATTCTAAATGATAGCTTTGCTGGGTGAGCAATCTTGGCTGTAGGTCTCTGCTTTTCATGACTTTGAATTTTCTTGCCAGTCCCTTCTAGCCTGCGAAGTTTCTTTTGAGAAATGAGCAGACCATCTTATGGGAACTCCCCCGTAGGTAACCAACTGATTCTCTCTTGCTGCTTTTTTCTGTTTGTTTTAGATTTTATTTATTTAGTTTTAGAGAGGGGAAGGGAGGGAGAAAGAGAAAGAGAAACATCAATGTGTGGTTGCCTCTTATGTGCCCCCTGCTGGAGACCTGGCCCACAACCCAGGCATGTGCCCTAGATTGGGAATCGAACCGGCGACCCTTTGGTTTGCAATCCACTGAGCCATGCCAGCCAGGGCTCTCTTCCTGCTTTTAAGATTCTCTCTTTATCTTTAACCTTTGGCATTTTAATCATGATGTGTCTTGCAGTGGGCCTCTTTCCATCCATCTTGTTTGGGATTCTTTGTGCTTCCTGGACTTGCATGTCTATTTCCTTCATCAAGTTAGGGAAGTTTTCTTCCATTGTTTTTTCAAATAGATTTACAATTTCTTGCTCTTTCTCTTCTCCTTCTGGCACCCTTATGAGGAGCATGTTGGATTATTTCAAGTTGTCCCAGAGGCTGCTTATACTATCCTCATTATTTTGGATTCTTTTTTCTTCTTATTCCTCTTGCTTGGTTTTTTTTTTTTTTCTTCCTTATGTTCCAAATCATTGATTTGATTCTTGGCTATATCCACTCTACTGTTGTTTCCCTGTAAATTGTTCTTTATTTCAATGAGTGTATCCTTCATTTCTGACTGGATCTTTTTTATGCTGCTGAGGTCCTCACTAAGTTCCTTGAGCATGCTAATAACCAGTGTTTTGAACTCTGCATCTGATGGATTGCTTATCTCCATTTTGTTTAGCTCTTTCTGGAGTTTTGATCTGTTCTTTCATTTGGGCCGTGTTTCTCTGTCTCCTCATTGTGGCAGGCTCCATGTGTCTGTTTCTGTGTATTAGGTAGAGCTTCTTTGATTCCATGTCTTGGTAGTGTGGCTCAATGCAGTAGGTTTCCTATAGGGTCCAGTGGACCCTCCCCTATTACCCAAGCTGGGTACTTGAGGTGTGCCCTTCATGTGAAGTGAGTACACCCTCCTCTTGTAGTTGAGCCTTGGTTGCTATTGGCAGATCAATGGTGGGGGGGGATTTACCCAGACCAGTCAGCTGCAAGGACTGGCTGTGACCACTGACCACCAACCTCTGCCCTGTGTGGAGGATCAGCTGTGCAGGGGCAGGGTGGTGGTGCTCTGATGTGGATGGTAGCTGTCCCCTGGGTGCCCAGGGCCCTGGGGTTTCCCGGGTGGTCCAGGCCAAATCAGCCCCTACCTGTGTTGCCCGGGGTACCCTGCCTAAGCTATAAAGCTATCTGAGATGGCTGCTACTTGTGCTGGGCTTGGAGATTCCCAGATATAGCCAAAGTGTGAATCTAGGCTGTTTGCTGCTAATTTTGAACCTGGGGCTCACTGGGACCAGCTGTTGCTCATTTGAGAGGATTTAGGAAGTGGTACAGTGTGAACAAAGATCTGCCATTCATAGGGAAATGTATCTTGGGTGGGACCATAAGTTGGGTGGCTCTGAGTCTCTAGGGGATCTAATAGTGTTAGCCAAGTGGATGGAGTCTCAGATGTGGCACCAGCTTGCCGGCTCAGTGACTCTGTGGGGTGATGGTTTACAAAGGGGACAATGGTCTCTGCTCACCTTGACGCCAGATAGATACTTCAGTATTTACCCAGTATGCCACTGGGCCTTTGAAGCTGCCACCCCTGTCCTGGAGTTCAGAGGGGGTGAGTCTGAGTAGGTGAGTCCGTGTGTGGGTTCTTTAAGAGGAACTGCTTGGGGCTCCAGAAGTTTCTTCCACTGACTCAATCCCCGCTGGTTTTTGCAGCCAGGTGTGGGGATTTATCTTCCTGATATTGGAACACTGAGCTGGGGAGTCTGCTGTGAGGCTGGTACTTCTCACTTCCAAGATGTCCCTCCCGAATTTTATCCACCGCATGTGGATGTGGGACCAGCCCATTCTGTGTCGGCACCCTTCCTACCAGTCTGGATGGATGTGGTTTCTTTAATTCCGTAGTTGTCAGACTTTCATTCAACTCAATTTCTGTTGGTTCTGAGTAATTGTTGTCCTATATTTTAGTTGTAATTTTGATATGGTTGTGCGAAGAGGTGAGCCGTGTCTGCCTATACTGCAATCTTGACCAGAAGAGTTAAATTTAAAAAAAAATGTGTTATTTATTTATTTTTAGAGAGAGGGGAAAGGAGAGAGAAAGAGAGGGGGAGAAACATCTGACGTGTGAGAGAGAAGTCAATCGGTCGCCTCTCACATGCTCCCGACTGGAGGCCTGGCCCACATACCAGGCATGTGCCCTGACTGGGAATTGAACCAGTAACCTTTTGGTTCACTGGCCCGTACTCAATCCATTGAGCCACACCAGCCAGGGCAAGGAAGAATGAAATTGTTTTTAAAAGATAGATTCCAAGAGGTAGACTTACTGAGTTGAATATGATTTATTTTATAAAGCTCTCAATTGCACTGCAGAAAATGTACTCTCCAACCAGAATGCTGGTTTCCCCCATCCTTGTCGCTGTTGGGTCTCCTTGGCAAAAATCTTTTAAAAATTTCGTTTGCATGGCAAGAGCAAACAACCCAGAAATGATAAAATCAGAGCTTTGTGACCGACTAGTCTCGTCTCCGGTCAGTGAGGAAAAGTGCTGGGGCAACTGGCTTAAACCTCTCATTGGAAGGAGTGAGCTCCCTGTAAATTATATCGCAGCTCTTGCTAAAGTCATTTATTATCACAGCTCTTTTATAGATGCCATCGGATTGTCTCGAAGATGGTCGTGCTTTCTTGGAATAAAGGCAGCTTTGCTTCCTTTTCAATGTGGATGGCTTTTATTGGTTGATATCGTTTCTCGACGTCGGATTGTATTTTCCTGCCTCTCCACATGCCTGGTAGTTTTAGATCGGATGCTAGATATCGTGATTTTCCCTTGAGTGCTGGGTATCTTCATAGTCTGAGACATATGTTTTGCCATTAGTTCTGGATGCTATTAAGTGACTTGGCTAGAATTGGATCCTTTAGAGTCTGGCTCTCAAGATTTGCTGTGTGGGCCCTTTCAGAATGGGAGTCATTTTTGCCGCACCCTACTGAGGCAAAACCCGTGGGAGCGCCCTGCCTGATGCCTCCCAAATTGTGAGGTTTACCACCCTGGCCGGTGGGGACAGCCACTAGTCCCTGTCCTGCTTGAGCCCTGGGCGTGGTTACCTTTCATCCCTTCAGGTAGTTCTCCACCCCCCGGCCCCGCCCCCGGCCTCATGCCGATTCCTCACAGGCTTGTGCTGCTCAGTGGCCTGCGGAATACTGGGGGGGGGGGGGGGGGGGGACCCTCTGGGATAGGCAGCGTTCTCTCCCTCTGCCACTCTCCCCGCTGCGGTCCTCTACCTCGCAAACTCTAGGTGCTGAGGATTTCGGTTCCTACTCCTAAACTACGGGTGTCCGTGGGCTCTGCCAGGAAACTCCCTGTCCACACAGTCGGCTGGGGCAAGTGCAGGGCAGACCTCTCGTTTCTCTTCTCCCAGAGATCACTCATCGCTCGATACCCGTTTTCTTTACAGCCTGTGTTTCATATATTTTGTCTGGTTTTGGGGGGTTGTTTCAAATAAGTGGCAGCCTAAATCCAGTCCCCGTTACTCCATCTGTGCGAACAGAGCCAGCCATTGTAGGACGTGGGGAGCTGTGACGTTGTGAGCTGGGGCGAGAGAGATGCCCTCGATGGGCTGATGGCCGCGGTGGTCACGATGATTGTGAAGTATCTCACCTGACAGCATGCAGCACTCGTAGTGGCTACAGATAGGGTCTGTTTGTCTAGCTTGTTTTCAAAGAAGATTTTATTTATTTATAGAGAGAAGGAAAGGAATGGAGAAAGAGAGGGAGAGAGACATCAATGTGCAAGATATACATCAATAGGTTGCCTCTCGCACGCCCCCTACTGGGGACCTGGCCCGCAACTCAGGCATGTGCCCTGACTGGGGGATAGAACCTTTCGGTTCACAGGCTGGCACTCAGTCCACTGAACCACACCAGCCAGGGCAAGAATCATTTCTTTAAAAAAACTAGAGAGCCCTGGCTGGTGTGGTTCAGTGGACTGAGTGCCAGCCTGTGAACCGCAAGGTCGCCAGTTCTATTCCCAGTCAGGGCACACGCCTGGGTTGCGGGCCAGGTCCCCAGTAGGGGGCATGCGAGAGGCAACCAGATATTGATGTGGCTCTTTCTCCCTTTGCGTCTCTCTAAAAATAAATAATTTTTTTCAAAGAAATGATTCTTAAGTTCTTAATTGTTGATAGATGAGGACTTAGCTCTTTTACACCATGTACTCTGCTTCCTCTCCTCTTCCCCACATGGTTCTGTTAAATTCTAGGAATTTCTCTCTTTTCCCCTGAGGTAAAAACTCACCTAGTTTAGTTTTTCATAGTCGTAATTTGTTATTTCACAATGATGATTTTAAAATTCATCTTCTTTGACGAGCTCTTTCCTCTTCCTGCATGGTTCTCTCCAGGGCGCCTGCCTGCACAGCTGCCACCCTAGGACTTCCCTTTGTCTGGTCTTGAGTCCTTAAGCTAGATCACCTGGCTTTCTCTTTACTCTTTTACCTCTCCTTTTTCTTTACTTGTTTGCATTTGAAGTTAGGTTTAATGAGATCTAATTCCCATACCATTAACTTCCCCATTTTAGGTGTACTAGTCTAGGACTTGGGCAAATTATATATATTCCTATAACCACCACCAGAGCCTACCACCTTGGCCCCATCGACCCGACTGCTGAAACTGCTTGCAGCTTTAATATTTAGGTCAGGCCGCGGAAGTCCTGTTCCATGCCTGCTCTGGGATCCCCTCACTCAGAGAGAGCCAAGGCCTTCACAGTGACCTCCAAAGCCCTATGTGACCTGGCCTGCACCCTCACCGGCCTCCTCCCCTCCCCTCTCCACCTTGCTCACCCTGATCCAGCCCCATTGGCCTCCTCCCTTTTCTGAAACACAGTAGGCCCCCTGCTGCCTCAGGACCTTTGCGCTGGTTCTTTCAGGTCTGGAACTGCCTTCCTCTGGGGATCTACTGGGTGCACTCAAATATCATTCCTGGCCAGTCTAATGCAAATTGCATTCCACTTTCTCCCCACCTGCATTATTGTAATAGGTATATGGAGGGTAAGAGGTAGGTAGGTGTATCATGAATAAGATACAACTGGGACAGTAAGGACTTGTCAGATATGAAAGTCTGGGTGCAATGAAGCCACTGGAGGGTTCTGAACAGAGCAGGACAATGGGACAAGATCCATCTTATATCTTAACAGGATCCCAGTACCTCCCACACTGAGTACAGCCTGAGAGCAAGCAGGGCAGAAATAGGGATAGACGGGGATCCAGGCAAGAGACAAGGGCACTTGGACCAGGCTGGGGGCAACAGAGGCGGGGAGAAGGGAGTAGATTCCGAATGGATCTTGAAGGTAGAGCCACCAGCACTTGCTGATGACGTGAACATGGCCCTGGACCTCCTTAAATCCTCAGAAACCCTGCAATGAGTTACCCTACCTCCTGTAAAGAGAGTCCAGTTCATCTGGAGTCCAACAGTCTCCCAACCTGTTTCCCATGTTCGCCGACCACCTACCTGCCCCAAGGACAAAGCCACACACGAACTCCATTTTCCCAACATTTAATTAGGAAAAAAAAATTACATGAACAAAAGAAAACTCATGCAACGAAAGAGGAGGGAATGCTGTTTTCAGGACGATGAAACGGGGTCAGATTCCTCAGAAGAGGCAGAAGAACAAAGGAGTAAGGCACTGCCGCCTCAGCCCCTTGGGGCGGGCGCAGGACAGGGCAGCTGAGGATGAGGGGATCCAAGGCAAGTGCAGACAACACTGAGGAAGTTTGGCAGTAGGGCCAGGAGAAGGGGAGTTCTGGGGCCCCCAGGACCAGGTCAGGCCCCGGAACACGTCTAGTTCCAGCTCTCCAGGTGCACGGAGAGAACAGGGCCCCGTGAGAATGCACGGTCCAACTCCCAAGGAGTGTGGAGATGGACGCTGTGGCGCAGCTACAGGGGGAACCCCTGGCACAGCCACGGTCGGAGGGCAGCTTCAGGTGCATCGCCCCACTCCCAGTGCTGCTGGTGCCAAGGTCCCCTTCTTGGAACGGGTGGGGTCAGCCATGGCAAGGATGAGGTGCCAGAAGCTAGGCCAAGGCTGACAGTGTCTCAAGGGAGTCAGGACGACTCAAGGAGAGGTGAATGAGGTTAGCGACATCCCGGGGAGGGGGACACATATTTACAAATAGAGAGGGTGAGGTGGAGATAAATTAAATAAATAGGCGGTTGGGGGTATAAATAGCAAGGAGGGCAGGGGCTGTCACAACACCCGGGCGCAAGGGCAGGAGGCTGGGGGCGTTGCTGCTGCTGGGGTCGGGGGGGCTTGGTCCTGTCACCCCCTCCCTGCCTGCAGGGCCCAAAGCAAGGCACTAATGACGGGGGCCCAGGTGTGTTGGGGGCATTTTGGCCTGGTGACCTCACCTATGCCACCCAATCCCGGGCTCAGCCCTGAGACCCAGGCGTGAGCCCACCCCCTCCTTGACAGGAGGATGGCCCAGGACTGAGAAGCCTCCTCCTCACCGGTTCTGCTACCCTTAGCTGTTGCTGGACATGAGGCTGATGATCTGTTCCAGCTTCTGGCGCAATTTATGCTTCCGACAAGAGACGTCTCTGTCCAGAGCGGTGAGAACCTGAGGGAGGAAGGCCCCAGAACTGGGCTCACAGGGAGGGGCCAGATCCCCCTGGGCAAAGCCCTCTCCCCTTGAAGTGTTGAGCTCTCCCCTCCCTCACACCTCTTGGGCACATCCCTCCTCCCGAGGCCCCAGGAACCTGGGAAGGGCTCCACCCTCTTACCTCTGAGCACACCTCCCAGCTTTTCCTGGGCCCCAAATCCTCCTCCAGCTGCAGAGCCTTCTTTTCCTCCTCTCCCAAGCCTCATCTGGACTCGTTGTCCCCAGTTCTCTCTTCTCCCACCCCCCTCCTAATGCCTCCCTGCAAAACTTCTCTCGTCCAGATCTCCATGGTCTTGTCACCAAACCCAGCCAGCTTTCTTGGGTCCCCTCTCCCTTGACCGTCAGCAGCGCCTGACAGCTCATCACCCCCTCCTCCCCGATCCTCCTCTGTAGGCAGTGGTGGGGGGTCCTCACACATGTCCCAGGACCAGCTCGGCGCTCTTGGGGTCCTTCCCACCCCACTGGCCACCCCCACTCGTCTCTGCTGCCTGCTCCACATCTTCTCTGCCACCTCTGAGTGTCCCAGGGCCCCAGGGCTCGGTGCCAGAGTCACCCTCCCTCTGCACCCACTCTGCTGCCCTTGCTGAGCTCGCCCAGGCTCAGGGCTTTCAGGGCCACGCCCTGGTTCACAAATTCGTATCTCCAGCCAAGAATACACCCCAAAGTCCACACCTCTATGTCCCTCGCCTGCTGCCTCCTCCGGTCACAAAACCCACAGGCCCTGCAAAGGGCTGCCCATGCTCCTGGCCCTCAACTTTTGCCCAACCCAAACTCTGTCCTATAGCCAGTGGCTTCTCTTCTGGGTCCCTCAAATCCCAGCACTGAGGAACAGCGTCACCCGTGCCGACCTAGGGGCCTGCTTTGGGGAGTGAGCGTGAGCAATCTAAAAGATGGGCTCCCTCCACCCTCCAGCCCTCCACTTCCTGGTGGCACTCCTCGACTCCCACCAAGTCCCCTGCCTTTGTCACACCCAGAGCAGCACACACCTCCTGGCGGTACTTGGTGACATAGAAGTAGAGCTCGCTGAGCGCGCTTAGGACACTGAAGTCACTGGCATGGAGGCGGGACTGTTCCACCAGGTAGGCATCCATGTCCTGGTCACTGATGGATGCCATCTTTGCGATGTCCCGGTAGTACCTGTTGGGACCCTGAGTAGGTCACATGGGCAGGTGGCACACAAGCCAAAGTCCCTGCCCTGCTTGCCAGGCCAGCCTCTGGGCCTGTTTCCTGTAGTTGGCCCACCTCAGACGAGCCAGCCCAGAGAGGGACAGCTCCTGCCTGCCCCAGCCCACGGCAGTTTCCCCTGGGCCGCCTGGCTCTGCCTCCCCCCAGGCACGGGGCCACGGACTAGGGCGCACCTCTCCACCCAACTCTTGTAGTTTGGGATGTCCTTGGCATAGAGCAGCTTATTGGAGGGCGAGTCCTTGCCCAGGCGGTGCTCGGATGTGGAGCAAGAGTCCATGAAGGTCTGGGCCACCACTGACAAGCAGGCGTCCGTGATGCTGCTCTTGTGGATGTCGAACACAAACTGCGGATTCTTGATCACATTCACCCAGAAGCGCAGGGGCAGGCTGGACGGAGGGACACATGCATGCAGCTCACTAGTCTCCCCGTGAGCACCCTCTCATCACTGTTCCCCTCCACGGTTCCTGTCTGGCCAGCCCACACCTTTCCCTGAGCACCGAGGGTGCCACATTTAGGGGTAATAGCCTTTTCTTTAAGTGTCTGCCAGAGACATAAGAGAAAACAGCTAGCAGTTGGGCCAAGCTACCAGCATCTCCGCCCCGTGCCAGGCCCTGAGGACTAAGAGCCACCTGTCGGTACTGGCCCTGCTACCGACCAGCCAAATGTCATATAGAGCCCACCTCAAAACTGCGCTCACTCGCCCTCTTTGCTCAGTGGCACCACGGACACTGGTCTGCTCCTGCCTGGATGACCCCTCCAGCTCCCATCGGGTGTCCTGACCCTGTGGCCCCTGAGTCCTGGCAAAGCCACCGGCCTCTTTCAACCACCCACCCCTAGAGAGGCCAGCAGCAGCAAGGCACGGGGCAATACCAGTTGCTCTTCCAGGTATGGCGTACGTCAGGGTCACTGATCTGGTGCTGGTCGGCCTGCTCGTCCAGGAAGTCAAACATGTACTTGATGGCCAAGGGCAGGGCAGAGCCCCGGTGCGCCGTGCTAAACACGGTCTCAAAGAGGTCGTCCACAAACTTCTGCAGCGTGCCCTGCGGGGGCACAGCAAAAATACGGGCTGTGAGAGAGCCAGGTGAGAACGTCCCCGCAGTAGGACAGGCAGGGGACTGACCTGGCAACGAGCAGGGCTCCCCTGCAGGGCCGGCGCGCCCCTGAGCCAGGGTGGCCTGGGGCAGGCCTATACCTTGGTGGCCAACAGCCGTGTCAGGTAGATCTCTGAGACCATCTTGCTGCCACGGTCCCCCTCGCGGTGGTCGGCGTGGTCGTGGTTCTTCACCAGGTGCCACAGCTTGGTGCCCGTCTCCTGGTCAGGTGTGATCATGGGTGCCCGAGAGCGGAGGCTGTCAGGGCTGCTGGCTGTGCGGAGCAAGCTCTCTGGGGCAGAGGACCAGTTTCCCCTTAAGCCAGAGGGGCCACACCAGCCATTGCTGGGGCTCTTGCCCCGCTCTGTCCCGGGAGCCCAGCAGGCTGAGGGGGGCCTGTCTGCTCTTGGTAGCCCACCCCACTTCTAAGCCCTAGGGAACCGGAGACCTTCCAAGGGCAAGGCCCATGGAGGCCACCAAAGCCAAGCTGGCCGCTCGGGCAGGGTCTCCCCGTGACGGCTGTCATAGCTTCAAAGGGCACGGGGCCAGCAGAGGCCACCACACTGAGGATACCTACCATAGCGGCTGAGGGAGCGGGTGAAGGTGAAGGAGTTGGCCATGTTATAGGCAGACACTTGCTTGGGAACCAGTGCCACCAAGGAACCATCTGTTACCTGGAGACCCCAGAGACAGAGAGGGAGCAGTGCAGGAGGCCGAGAAGACGAGGGGCCCAAGCCAACACACAGCCCGACCCTGCAGTGTGCATGCAGAATAGCTCCCGGGGCTTTCTGAGAAGGGCCTGGGAAAGCAGGGGCCGAAGAGGGAAGGAGCCAGGGTCCCTGCTCCTGTGTCATCAGGGCAGGGCCACAGCTCCCAGGTGGCCCTAGGGGTGAGTGGGCCCCCAGCCCCTCACCTGGTAGTGGGCCAGCGAGTTGACCCTCTTCCAGTCACACTCGATCTTAGTGGTGACGTCCTCATCCTGGAGGATGATGCGGGCCATGCGGCCCTGGCGCCACTCTGCGGGCCACGGACAGTCCTTGAGGACCTGCTCGGTGTCCCCTGAGACCCTGGGCCCACTCAGAGGCCAGAGGCCAGGTGGGCAGTGTGTGTGCCAGCCAAGGTAACATGGCCACAAGGTGGGGGCCAGGAGGACAGGGTGGAGGCCTCACCTAGATCCATGTCCTCAGCTTTGGGACGCTGGGAGTATGGAATGCCCTTGTAGACAGCATCCAGCAGCTTGTCTTTAGCCTGGGTGATGCTGTCGCAGTTGAGAACCTTCACCGGGACCTGAGTGCTGCCCTCGCTCTCCGGGCACACACAGTACAGGGTCTGCAGGCGAGGAGAACCACACAGTGGGTCCTAGGCAAAGCTCCCACCCATCCCCCATGTCCAAGCCCCGCCCCCCAGGTCCCCCACTCACCAGCGTCTTGTAGTCAATCTGCTGCCGGATGAGCTTATCCTCACTCAGGGAGTAGCGCGCCTCACCTGTGATGGCGTCGATGGGGCCCTTCTCCATCTGTTGCTTGATGGCGCAGTAGAGCAGGAAAAGCGGCTCTCCGGCGCACTCCTGCGGCCAGAGTCGGGAACATGGCTCGCTGCCTGCCTGACAGCCAGCTCCTTTCCCGCGTCCCCTTCCCTGCAGCCCAACTGCCAAGCGCACCTTCAGAAACTTATGCAGCAGGAATGTAAACCAGTTGGTAAGCATCTTCTCAGCCACTGACTCCGTCCTAGGGCAAAAAGGCTACTGGGGCCCTGTCTGGCCTGGCAGGGGTTAGGGCTGCTCAGGGGCCAGGCTGGCAGGGGTCGGGGGCCGGGGTTGAAACAGTACCTGCGCAGTAACAGCTTTGGGTGGTTCTTGCTCTCAAGGTTCTTCTCTATGAGGTCTGCCAGCAGTTGCTTGAGCAGCCCTGTGGCGTAATCGAGGCGGCTCTGCAGGGCCACCATGGTGAGGGAGGCCACCGTGCCACGATCACGCATGGAGAAGCTGCTCTGGGCCTCCAGTGTGTGGATGAAGGTGAGCACGAAGGCGCGGCTATGCAGCAGCTGCCCAAAGAGCCGCAGAGCCTTCTCGACATTGGGCGGGCTCTGTGAGGGACAGAGCGTGTCAGAAGTGGGGCACTGGCCGTGGGGACGATGGGGAGTAGGCAAGCGAGGTAGGAGGCTCACGTCCAGCTCCTTGAGCACTGGGTGAGCCTCAATGCCTGGGAAGAGCACGCGCACGGCATAGGTCCGGTAGTCTAGGAAAGGGATCTGCACCACATCCATATGGTTTGTCAGCTCGTTGATGTCTGTCTGCAGCTCAGCAAAGGCTGGGAGGGGCGGGGAGAAAAAGTGAGCAGAACAAGAAGAGGGAAGCACCCAGCCCACCCACCTTGCACTGCACCCCTACCCCAGGCACCTTCCTTGCATTCCAGAGCCACGCGGGACTCCAAATTGTCCATCTGGAGTTGGAGCCGCTTGAGCGTGCGGTCTGCATCCTGAGTTTTGCGCTTGTAGGCGACCAGCACGGCGGTGATGGCCAGCAGCAAGAGCCCGCCCCCTGCTGCCAGTCCCACCATGGCTGGCAAGGTCAGTGCCCGCTCGGCCGTGATGTGTAGGGTGCCCAGCCAGAACTCCAGGCCGCCCACCAGCACCTACGGGGATAGGCTCACTATGAGCTGAACCCCACACCCACCCCGCACTCCCCTGGTGCCCTTCCCACCCCCGCAACCCACCATGACAGGCTGCCGGCCTGTCTGACTGGGCGAGTCACACAGGAGTTGCGTGTCTGAGACGGTGAGCGCACACGGCTGGCCCCCGATCAGCACGGTGTAGTTGAGGCGGGAGCTGCCAGCTGCCACAGGGATCAGATTCTTGCCCTGCGTATGGAGGGCACGGTCAGCCAGAGCTCCCCACCTCCCTGCCCTTCACAGCCCCTGCACCCCACTGGCACCTTCAACACTACGTGGGAGCCAGGTTTGACATCCAGAACACCGGAGGGTCCAAGTGGCTCAAAGCTGGGGTCGGGGTAGTAGGTGAAGGACGACCGGTTGAGGGAGCGGGCTGTCTGCACATGGTCTAGCAGGAAGCCAAACTCATCAGGGTGTTCGCCCTGGGCCCGCGGCTGGGGCCGCCCCAGGAAGATGCCAGGGGCCTTACACAGCATGGCGGTATCGTTGATAACCTGGCACGTCTGCGTGGACAAGGGCGGGCAGCTCAGTACATGAGACTACACGCTAGCAGGAGCAGGGCGAGGGCGGCTGGCACTCACATTCGTGGTCTCGATGCCTCGGTACTTGGCCCGGACCCGGGGCTCTTGGACCGTCAGCAGGTGGGTCCCACTTACAGTGATGGCGGTGCTTCCACTGGGGACAGGGGAGAGGGGCCTTAGGCTCTCTTCCCCAGTGCCCCCAGGCCAGCCCTGGAGAGCTATCAAAGCTGCGGTGGGGGCCAGTGACCCGCACCTCCAGTCACTGGGTAGGTGCCAGGCGCTCTGTGGTCAGGAGGACACTGCCCCCTCTGCCAACAAAGGCTCAGGTTCAGAGGAGTCTACTTCGATGCCCAAGGACCCAGGGGTCACGTAAGGCCCTGGAACGAGAGACTGGGGACCCGTTCTCCCTAGGGTCTTACTTGATGATACTCCAGGTGGGCTCCAGGTGAGTGACAGTGGGGTCCTGGGTGTAGGTGTAGAGAACTCCGGGGCTGGAGATGTTGGCACGGTCAATGGCCAGGGTGATGGGGGCCTGGCTGGGGCCCAGGGTGGAAACAGGCGAGATACACACGATTGCTTCGGCATCCCTCCTATGTGCGCAAGCGGAGTGCTTTGAACAGGTGGCCCAGGGACCTCACCGGCCCCGCCCCGCCCCTGCAGCCCCTACCGAATGCCCACCCCAAGACTGGCAGGGCCCTACCCACCTCACAAACTGGCACTCGCCATCTCTCATGATCACTGTGACCCTGCTGCCGGCATCTAGAGAGTTTCCAGAGATGGTGAGCCTCGTGCCCCCGGAAGCCGGGCCCCGACTGGGACTCACACGGTCAAACGTTGGGGTCTGTGGGAGAAGCAGCCCTGAGGGGAGGGAGAAGGCAGCCCGGTGCGGGCCATACCCTCTCCGAAGGGGTGGGTGTGGGAAGGGGTGGGCGGCTCACACACCACAAAGCTATAGAGCTGCTCTGACTGTGTTCGGAAGTCAGCAGAACAGTCGCCTACACAAAGCTCCACAGGCCCCGGCGGTGGACTGGGCACCAGCGACTCCTCCATCTCACACACGATCCTAGGGGTCAGAGAGGGTCAGAGCCAGCCTCGGAGCACCAGCCTGAGTGCCTGCACGGCCACACTCACCTCTCGGCGCTGATGTACTCAGCGGGGATGGAGTTGCAGCGCACACCGGCCACCCGAAGGCCCACCTCTCGGTAGGTGAGGCCCAGGTTCTCACCCACAATGGTGACTCGGGTGCCTCCCTCCTTGGGCCCCATGAGTGGGTGGATCTGTGCAACAGAACAGGAGGTGAGAGGGTGAGCCCTGACTCCCAGGCGCCCAGCATGCGGAAGGTGTGGAGGCTCACCTGGGCAATGCGGGGGTGGCTGCAGCGCGTGCCCTTCTGGCTTGGGTGCATCCAGTTGGTCTTGGGAGCTGGACAGTGGGCCCGCAGCTGGCACCTGTGCTCCGAGACGCACCAGCCGCAGTTGAAGCGGGGGTCGGCCTTGAGGCAGAGGCCGCAGCTGGGTCTCTGTGCCCAGCACTTGTACAGAAGAGCTGTGGGCACAGAGGGCACTGCTGGGGGCCAGCTATGGGGAGCTAGGGCCACCGAGGGCCCTGACAGAGGGTCCCCCTGTTGGACCTGGTCCCAGCGTGGGCCAGCTCTGCCCTAGAAGGCAGATTCCTCAGCCCCATCTCACCCCTCACCTCGGAAGGTGGCAGGCTTGTCGATGGGGAAATCTCCGTCCCAGACCACAGAGAAGTCCAGCTCGGTGTCACCATACTCATCACCTTCATAGGAGTACTGGGGGAGAGGGACCACAAGACCCCTCAGAAGGTCACCTGCCACAGCCACCTCAGGCTTCCAGGCCAGTAAGCTGGACACAGACCCAGGGGAGGCGCGGCAGGGGAGCCTCACCGAGGCGTTCTGGCACTGCACGCTGCTGCTGTTGAAGCGCACGGCGGGCACCCGCTGCTGCCGCCCCTGCACTCGCACTACACACTCGTAGTTCTTCTGGCCTGACTGGGGCTGTGGCAGGTTCTTGGCCCGCAGGGTAAGAGGCTGCATGACGCCAACAGGGATCAGGAGGTCCCCGCTGGGCAGGATCTCAGGACAGCCCTGCGGGGAGAACACCCGTCAGCCATACCGCAGCTGCTGCCATCTTGGCCCAAATGGGCCAGCCCTGCATTGAGGAGGCTCCAAGAAACCAACCAGATCAAAGACAGAAAGGCCAGAGGCCAGCCCACACAGAGCCCAGCCCCCTCACATGCAGCACCCGCCTCACCTCAGGGCTGTGGACCCTGCCTTCCTGGAAGGAGCACTCGTGGGGGTGGCCGGTACACACATGGCGGTACTTACACCAGTGGCAGGGGTAAGGGCTGCCAACGCAGGACATGCACCTGGGGAGGGGAAGGCTTCAGCAACGACAAAGAAGGCCAGGCCTGCCCCCTCAACGCCCCTCCGATGGGACACGCAGGGAAGTGAGGGAATAAGGCACCAGGGCCCACCCGAGGCCTACACAACACAGCAAGGGTTGAAGTGACATGGGGACAGAGGTCAGGGAGACCAGTACTCACGACTGGAGGACGCTGCAGTTGTAAAAGACAAAGTCAGTCCCGGCGAACCTCACACCAGTCTCCTTGGAGAGCAGCTGCAGCCGCACGGTGCGGGTGGCCCCTGCAACGAGCCCCAGGGTAGCCGCGAGCCGGCCGGGGACCGAGTGGCCCCATCCCAGGCAGCCCCAGCCACTGACCATGCCCCCTGGTGAGAGCCCGGAGCTCCTGGAGAGAAGGCGAGGGGCAGCGCAACTCCCCAGAGGGCAGCAGGACGGCCTCGTTCTCCGTCACCTCCTCAAAGGCACAGCTCACGCCTGCGCTGAGGTCGGGCACATTACGCATGGCCACAGTCAGCTGGGGAAGGCAGAGGACTCAGCAGGGTACGCCTCGAGCCAACGCACGCATTGGCCTATGCCCCCTACCACCACATCACTTACCTGCACCCCAGGCGATGTCACTGACACGTTGTTGGGCCGGACCCGCACCTGGACACACTTGCTCAGTTCCTCGGCAAAGCCATGTGGGGCTGAGGCACCTGGACAGGCCCCTTCTCGACAGCATCTGCATGGGGTCAGCCAGAGCCCATCGCGCATCTGCCCTGGGAGGGCCCTGTCCCGGACTCAGTGGGGGTCTGGGGGGGATAGGGTACAGCCGGCCCAGCCCATAGTGCCTGGGCCCCTGGGGTCCGAGTGGCCTCGCTTGGGGTGGAGCTTGTGCTCATTAGCTGGAGAAATGGAAGGAGAGGGAAGGGAAGGCCTAAAGGGCCCCGCTGAGAGAAGTGAGCACGTGGGCGAGGGCAGGTAATGTCCTCCGCGACCAACGACATGCCCGGGTGGCTCCTCCCAGGAACAGAGCCTCGCTGAGCCCATCATCACCGCCCAGCCCCGCACTGCCTCCCTCACCTGTGCTGCAGCACACACCAGCCACAGTGCGGGTCCCCGGAGCCCAGGCAGGCTGCGCAGCTCACGTACTGCTCGCATGTCTCCACTGGGAGCTGGCTCACCTGGGGACGACCTCATCAGCACCCACCCCACCCCCACACAGCCGCCCACCGCCACCCGCCTCGGGCCCACCTGCTTCTCACTCAGGAGGTAGATGTGCCGGTGGTCAGGGCTGAAGAGCAGGTCTCGAAGTATGGGGCTGCCATCCACCACAGGCACTGTCTCGTACAGGTGGGCATCCTGGGAGCCATCGACTCGTACCTGGGCCACGAGACCAGGGACGAGGGATGACAAGCCAGTCTGATGCCACAGCAGCACCCCATGCACCCAGGGCGTCCTCTCCTAGAGCCAGGGACTTTCCAGCTTGTGGCCAAGCTGAAGCCGGGGCCTGGCGGGGCTCAGCGCTCGGCCTTCCCCTGCCCCCACATCTCCATGAGCAGGGGAAGGAGGGCTCAAAGGCCATCCCCTGGAGGGCCTCGAGGGTGACTCAGCCAGCCAGAAAACGCTCCCAGGAGACAGACACAGAGAGATTATTGATGCCTAGGGATGGGGGATGGGAGAGAGGGGTGATATCTGAAGGGGAAGAAGGTTTAGGGTGATGACAATGTCCTGGAATGAGACAGTGGTGAGGGTTGCACAACTCTGCAAACTTCCTAAAACCACTGGAATGTATACTTTAAGCAGAGGCAGTGTACGCAACGGGAATTACACCTCAATAAAACTGTTAAAATGACAAAAAGGGCCCAGGATGGGAGCAGGCCCAGCCCAAGACCTCAGCAGCTCCCTTCACAAACCTCCCCCCAATCACCACCCAACCCACCCCCCCCCCCCCCATCTCCCTGGGGATAGCTCTACAATTGCCAGGCAGGCAGGGTGAGAACGTGCAGGCTGTCCTGACTCCGCTTTAGAGCAGAGCAGAGCTCCCAGGGCTCATCTTCCCATCCCGCAGCACCCGCAGCCCTGGAACGGAGGCAGCTGTGGCACTGCCGCGCATGACGGGACGAGAGGGCAAAGAGGGTTCTGTGCCGTGTTCATTTGACTAAGGATCCAGCACTGACGGCCGAGCCGTGGCCACCTACTCTCCCGGCAGGGAGGCCCCAAGGTAGGCCTGGTCTCTGTCCCTGCAGCCACAGGAAGCCGGCAATTGAGGCAGAAGCGAGCGGTGGCGCCGGCACAGGTGGGTGGCTGCGGGAGCGGCCCGTGGATCACGGCCAGTCTCCTGGGGCCCAGCCGCGGAGGTGCCCCTTCCCCTATGGGCTGTGTACCGACCAGGGTCTCACAGGGCTCACCTGCACATTTTTGTCCCTACCCCTTACCGTGTATCTCAAAGCCTAGCCCAGTCTCCACGTGCCAAGGGGGCCAGGGCCTACCTTCTTCAGACTGCCGCTGCGCGTGCCGATGAACACCACGGAGTGCTGGTGGTAGGTGTAGGCAGCCACACTGGCCATGCCATCAGTACTGTCGGCCAGCAGGGGCAGCCCTTCAATCACATGCAGGCCGCCCAGTGGCTGGTTCAACACCAGCCCGCAGAAGTTTCCATTTATCTGCATGGGCTGGTGAGACAGGAGGAATGCGTGTGAGACTCAACGCGTGGGGGGCGGCAGCTGGGCGGAGGCCATGAGACCCCATGTTGAGGAAGGGAGCAGGATCTGGAACTTGTTTCCCACCCGTTAAGACCGACTGCTCGCCGTGGACCCCACAGGAAATCGGGGGGCTGAGGAGAGAAACGGAGGAGGAAGAGGAGGCAGGAGCACGTAAGGAGGACGAGGCCTGGGCCCGCGAGATGGGACCGGCCAGGAGACTGCCACTGACTCAGCGAGGGACACCCATGAGATAGAGCGAGATGCGGCAAACTGGGGGTGGGTGGAGGGGCAGAAAGAGAGAGAGATGGTCCACAAGCAGAGAGCGCCCACCGAGAGAGAGTGAGAAGGCAGGCCAGGGGAGAGGGCAAAGCGGCAGATGCAGGGAGAGGACAAGAGAGGGCAGAGGTCCCTGAGAGGGAGAAGCAGATGTTCCAGGGCTAAAGCCCACTGTGCTCACAGTATTGATGCAGGGCAGCTCCTTGTTGAGCAGCCAGGGGAGGGCCAGTGTGCCTTCCCCTCGATAGCAGGACTGGATACGGCGCCGGATGTGGGCGTTGATGGTGCTAAGGGTAAAGAGGCAGAGGACGGTCTGCCGGGGCGGGCTTGCCCGGTTCTTCTGGCCCTGAGAGAAGACAGTAAAGAGGATGTCCTCATCAGCCGGCACACCCAGGGCCTGGGCCAACAGCAGGCCGGGCTTGGCCAGGTGGGCACTCTGCACTAAGCGGTACTCCACGCCGCGCCAGGAGCAGCCGATGGGAAACTCCACGTATGAGTAGAACTCTGAGTCCCCTGCGCACATGCGCACGATCTTGGATGTGAAGAATTTCTCGCCCGCTGTGTCCAGCAGCGTCTGCTGGGTGTCCAGCTGCAGTGTCAGGAAGTACACGAAGGAGGCACTCACAAAGCCGTAGATGTAGTAGATATCAAAGGCGGGGTACAAGGACAGGGTGTCTGAGGGAATCTTGATCTGTGAGGAGACAAACTCATCCTGGTACACCTGGAGAGCAGGCCGAGGAGAGAGCATGGGACGAGACCTGGGTCTGTTATCAACCCCCCAAACTCTGGCCCTTCAGCCCCCCCACGACATTGTCCCCCCCAAGGCTTCCCTCATGACCTCCCCTGGCCCACAGTCAGAGGAGCCCAGACCGGGAGCCCCATCCTGTGCCTCAGCCCATCCTCCTGTCTTCAGAAGCTTGCCCTCTCTAGCACCAGGGCTCTTCCAGAGGTGGAATCAGGAAAGAGTGAAGGCAGGAGGGATACAGATGCTGGCTCTTGAGAGGGACGGGAAGAGAGGCAAGGGGAGGATGGCAAATAAACGGGCAGGTTCACCCACCAGACTAAACATGTCGGCACTGTCCTCATCACTGATGAGCTTGCGGGAGCTCAGAGTGGGGAAGTACTCAGACTTGCCATCCACGGCGGTACCCACAAACAGCTTGCTGGGCCCCTGGCCCTGTTCCACGATGACACCGGCCATGGAGTCGGGCTCCTGGGCCCCTGATAGATAGTGCTCCTTTCGGTGGTGGGGCTCACCCAGCTTGAAGAGGTCATCCAGGCGCAGAAACTGGCAGATGCCTTGCCAGATGCTGCCACAGGCCACCAAGCGGCGGGCAGCGTAGTCTATGAGAAGCAGCTTGTTCACATTGTCCACAGGTGCCAGGCGGTGGGTGCACACACGCATACTGGGGGGTGGGTAGCAGCGAGCATTGTCCTCAACAGGCCCTGTGACGTGGGCCCGTAGCTCGGTCAGGTTGGGGGCCAGCTTGAAGACTCGGTTCACTGCACCCACAAATACCTCCCCAGTCACCCGGTGCACAGCAAGGTGGGTGAGCGTGGTATCTGTCACCGAGAAGGCAGTGAAGGGCCTGCTGCCACCCAAGGCTCCCCCCATGGCAAGGAAGAGCAACGGGAGGAGGCTGACAGTGGGCATGGCAGGTGGCTGCGCCCCGGGACGAGCCTGAGAAGAGATGGCGAGTGCAGGTCAGAGGTCAGAGCCCCCTGGCCCAGGCTGCCGGCCCTCCTCCTGCCCCAGGACCCCCAGCAGGCTAAGCTCCATGCCACAGTGGGTGGAAGCCACTCATTCACCTACCACCACACCAGAGCCAGAGCCCCAGATGGTGACCATGGCTGGGAGAGGAGGGGCTTCCACCAGGGCGCATGAGTGAGCAGTAAGAGCAGGCAGGCTTGGGGGCCATCAATCATCCCCCACCCTCCAACCCCCCCACCCCTGGAAAGGAGCCAAGAGGCCTCGCCTCAATTGGGCCACACCCAAGGGGGCAGCAGAGCCAGATGCTGGGAAAGGCAGGGAGGGAGGCCCTCCTGGAATGAGACCCGAACACCAGATCCCAGAGCTGGGAGCAGCTAGCCACACACAAGAGCCACTGTAGACAAACCCCAGGCCACAGAGACTACCCACGCCCAAACTGGGGGAAGGGGAAAAGAAGGGAGAGAACATCACAAGCCGGGGGCTGGCGGGGGGACACCACCCCAGAATGGCACAGCCACCAGAAGCCCTGGAACAGAGCTTTGGGGCATCACGGCCTGAGACTGGACCCGCACAACAGCACCACCACATTTCCACTCCTGGTCCCAGCTGCCCCTTCACCCCGAGGGCCTCCCTCAGATGGCTGTCCAGGAGCCTGCTGTCTGGCCTACCGGCTGCAACACAAAGCCAAGTCTCGCCTGCCCACCCCCACTCCCAGCCAGGCACCACCGAGACAGACATAAGTCAGGCTCTGCTCAGGCACAGCCAGACAGATGGCCCAGGCAGTTCTGCACAGCTCTGCCTCCAGATCCAGAGGTTAGCTGGAGAAGGGGAGGCGCCAGGGGGCCCAAGGAACCCTACGAAAGGGGAGCACAGACCCCAAATACAGAGAGACTTTGGGGAAATGGGGTGGGGGCTGTGAGGACAGTGCCCAACTCGGCTGGGTTTTCACCCCCAGGCCACACCCAGCTGTCCCGCCAAACCCAGGTGGCAAAGATAGCAGAGCAGCGTCACAGCAGCCGACGGGGCAGCCAGCAGGGAAGAGCTTAGTGCTACCCTCTCAGTGCCCAAGCCCCAAGGGAGACAGAAGGTACCCAGATTCGGTGGGTGTGGGGGATGCAGGGAGCCAAACCAAGGAGGTGCAGAAGAGAGAAAGGAAAAAATGCATTTGCTAGAACAAGGAGCAGGCCTAGCTTGAAACTGCAAAGTTTCAGCTCAGACTGATCACCTCCCCAGGGTTCTTTTGTCAGGTCCACATCCTGGACCCCTAATGCAACAGCCAGAGAAGAAAGGAAGGCAAAAGAGAAGACAGACTGCATCCCGCCCTCGCCTCCTTCACACCCCGCAAGAACACAAGCCGAGGAATGGGGACGGGGACAGACTGGGAGGGTGACCTGGAGAGGCAGGATTTGAATTCCAAGCCCCCCCATTCCAACCTACACCTGTAAGTGGGAGCCTGGGGCATCATAGGCACACCCACCTCTCTGCCACAGCTCAGCCAACAGAGGGCCGAGGATAAGGACAGCCCCTCACGGAGACAAGGCTGGAGACAAGGCTCCAGCGCCCGCTCCCCAATGCTCCCAATGCCCCCCACCATGCTGCTAGCCGGTCTCGCCCTGCCCCCACCAGGGGCACCCCTCGGCCGACCCACGGGGACCCTAGTGGATGGAGGCGCCACAGCAGTCCTTGGAGAGGCCGCTCCTCCACCACAAAGGGTCCTCATTGGGCAGGGGGGCTGGGCTCAGAGTGACCATCCCTACCAGCTCGGGGCACGAAGGACCAGTCAGACCAGCGCCCAAGGAGCAGGAGGAAAGGCAGGGCGCGACCCCCTTAAGGTTGACAGAACCCTCGCGCTGCCCGAGCCCCGGGCCGCTGAGTGGGCTGACCTCGAATGGGTGGCGGGGGATGGTGGCCACCTACCTGTCTCTCCGCCACCGCTGGCTCCTGGTGGCCTCCCGCCAGCCACGTGGACGCGCCCCCGATCCCCACACCGGTCCTGCTGGCGTCCCCCCCCGACCCCGCCGCCGCGCCCCACGTCCTGAGCCTTGTGCCCCGCGCACCACTGCCGCCGCCGCCACTGTCGCCGCCGCCGCCGCCGCCCACACACTGGGCAGGCCCGCGGCCGCCAGGGCCTTTTAAACACGGACCGTACCACCGCGCCGGGCGGGGGCGCCCAGGGAGGGCCGGGCGGTCGGCCTCAGGGTCTGGGGCCGCTTTTCTCCGGGGTCGGTGGAAGGCCCAGAGCACAGCCCAGGCCCCGTGAGCTGCTGGAGTCCCAACCCAACGAACTGACACAGCCCCCCACTCGCGCAATGGCCGCGTCCGCAGCGCGCGCCTGTCCCCCTCCTTTCCACCCGCTGCCTCGGGCAACCCTGGGACCCGCGCGCGCCCACGCCACACCCCCTCGGGCCCGGGGCGCGCGCTTGGCTAGCTCAGGCGCGTGCCGGCCCCGCCCCGCCCTGGCGCTCGGAGGAGCGTCGGGGCCACCTGCTGCCAGAGTGCGGCCTCCATGGTCTCTCCGGCACACGCCAGCCAAGAATTCTGCGGTCCTTGCTTAGGACACGATACCCGTAATGGTCCATAACCTGGAGGGCCAGCGACTAATAGCATGCAAGTGCCCAGCACGAGGGCTTGAAGCTGTCACCGTTTACACTTGGCCCCTTCCCCAGCTGGAGACCAGAATGGGAATCTGGGGATTTCGTTCCCTTGCTTTCCACCTATAATTCATCTATCATATAAGTCATTTAAGTCACACATTTAAAGTGTGACATTCAGTAACTATATTCACAAAGTTGTGCAACCACCCCCGCTATGAAATTCCAGAACATTTTCGTCACCCCCAAAGGAAACCATCCTACCCATTAGCAGTCACTCCCCAGTCTCCCTCCCTCCAGCCCCTAGCTAAGGTTAATCTACTTTCTGAGTAGGATTTCACTGTCTGGAGGTCTCAAATGCATGAATTCATGCAATGTTCGCGTGTCTTTGCATCTGGCTTCTTTTACTTCCCATAATATTTTCAAGGTTCATCCATGTTCTAGCATGTATCAGTACTTCATTTCTTTTTTAGGGCCAAATAATATTCCATTACATGGATAGGCCACATTTTATTTTTTCTATTCATCAGTCAGTGGACATTTGGGTTGTTTTCATCAATTGGCTATTGTGAATAATGCCTCCAGAAACACTAGTGTACAAATTTTTGTATGAACACATTTTCATTTCCCATCCACATAGGAGTGAAATTGATGAGTCACATGAGAACTCTACTTTTTACATTTTTGAGAAAAAGGGCCAAACTGTTTTTCAAAAGTGGCTGTACCATTTTACATTCCCACCAGCAGTGTATGAGGGTCCCAATCTCTCCACTCCTTTTTTTAAAGATTTTATTTATTTATTTTTAAACAGTGGGGAAAGGAGGGGAGAGAGGGAGAGAAACGTCAATGCGTGGTTGCCTCTACGCACTCCCCAGTGGGGGGACCTGGCCCACAACCCAGGCATGTGCCCTGACTGGGGATTGACCTGGCGACCCTTTGGTTCACAGGCCAGCGCTCAATCCACTGAGCCACACCAGCCAGGGCCCAATCTCTCCACATTCTTGACAAGACTTATTATTATCTTTTTGTTTCTAGACATCCTAGTGGTTTTGAAATGGTGTCTTGTGGTCTTGATTTGCATTTCCATGATGGCTAATGATGTTGAGCATCTTTTCATGAGCTTATTGGCCATTTGTATATCATCGAAATGTCTATTCAAGTTCTTTGTCTATTTTTAATTAGATTTTTGTTTTGTTGTTGTTGAGTATTAGGAGTTCTTTATATATTCTGTATAGAAATCCCTTATATATGATTTCTAAGTATTTTCTTTAATTCTGTGGGTTCTCTTTTCACTCTGTTGATACTGCACTTGGATGCACAGTTTTAAGGGTTTTTTTTAAAGATTTTATTTACTTATTCTTAGAGAGAGGGGAAGGGAGGGAGAAAGAGAGGGAGAGAAATGTCAATGTGTGGTTTCCTCTCACGTGCCCCCCAGTGGGAACCTGGCCCGCAACCCAGGCATGTGCCCTGACTGGGAATTGAACCGGTGACCCTTAGGTTTGCAGGCTGGCACTTAATCCACTGAGCCACACCAGCCAGAGCAAGTTTTGATGATGCCTAATTTATTTATTTATTGTTACTTGTGCTTTAGTTGTCATACTTAAGAAACCATTGTTAAATCCAAGTTCACAAAGATTTACCCCTATGTTTTATTCTAAGAGTTTTATAGTTTTGCTCTTAAATTTAGGTCTCTCATCCATTTTGGGTTAGTTTTAGAATATGATGTGAGGTTATGGCCCAACTCATTCTTTCGCATGTTGCTATTATCTAGTTGTCCCAGCACCATTTTTTCAGTCGTCTTCCTTTTCTTTTTCTTTTTTTAACTTTATTTTTCCATTACAGTTTGCATTCAATATTACTTTGTATTAGTTTCCAGTGTACAACACAGTGGTTAGACAACCATATACTTTACGAAGTGTTCCCCCGATATTTTCAGTGCCCACCTGGCACCACACATAGTTATTACAGTATTATTTACTATATTCCCTAAGCTGTACTTTACATCCCCATGACTATTCTGTAACTACCAATTTGCACTTCTTAACTCCTTCATCTTTTTCACCCAGTCCTCCAACACCCTCCCCTCTGGCAGCCATCAGTCTTTTCTCTGTATCTCTGAGTCTGTTTCTGTTTTGTTTGTTCGTTTATTTTGTTCATTAGATTCCACATTTAAGTAAAATTATATGGTACTTGTCTCTCTCTGACTGATTTAACTTAGCATAATAGTCTCCAGGTCCATCCACGCTGTTGCAAATGATAAGATTTCATTCATGTTCTATGGCTGCACTATATTTCTATATTTCACTGCATATATGTATCCGGCTTTTTTATCTACTGATAGTCACTTGGGCT